AAACGCAGCTATACTGCACTTTGTTCATCTGTTGTTTGATTTTTTTCCTCTAACTCCATGTTGATGTGTCCAAGCACAGTGAACAAAAAAAACATGAACAGGCACAGATTTAAATAGAAATAAAAATGCTCGCAGTCCTCAACTAATCAGAAAGGTCCAGCGCTGCAAGCCTCACCCCCAAAGTTAGTGTAATTATCAAAAGTCCTGCGCCAACTTTTGGACAGCAAACATTTCCCTGGAACTTCCTTTGAACACTTGTCCAGAAGTGGGAAAGAGTTTCTCTAAAGGTTCCTCACCTCTGGAGAAAAAGGCCCAAAAGCTGAAGCCTGAAACTCACCTGCGAATGTGTTTCTTTCAATGCCTATACTGTACACTAATATATACTCATAGACAGATGCACAAGTGAGCAAGAGGAGCAGAGCCCATTTTTGTTAAAAAAATAAAAACCCTCTCAGATGACTATGATGAGATGCTGAGCTGCTGATGTCGCTCACACAGCAGTGACAGTTCGATAAAAGTCTGTTGGTGCTGACTGAAACTTGAACAAATAGGATTAAACGGCCTTCTGCAGAACAATCAAACTCTAACTTTGAGTGCATAACGTCTCCAACAGTCCCCGATCACATACAAAACAATCCACAACTGACATGACCGCCGACAGCAGCAAAGAGACGTTTAAAATTCTAAAAAAAAGAGAAAATTGATTTTAAAAGCTTTCTAATAGCATAAAAAACCTGCAGATGCATCGCTTTATGGGATAAAAGTTTCTGCAAAACAATGACAAGGGCACAGACGATCCAGACTGAGACCCTCTGCCAGTGTGTTCAGCAATATTTAGACGGATGTATACAAGAAAACCCAACTTACAATCTTGTTTCTCAAACTCTCAAAACGAATCCAGTCATTAGGAAACCACACCTTCATACCTTCCATCTGTGTGTGGATAATTGTGTGCGGCTGTACATATCGGGCCGTCATTCTTTGCATACGTTACCTTTTCTCTGGTGAGCAGGGTGATGGGCGGGACACCGTTGGCGTTCTCGTTGCCTTTCGTTATAGCCACTTGCTTCAGGAAATCCACCTTCTTCTTGCTGGCAAGGAAAAAGATTTTGTTCTCGCAAAACACCATGATGGTGTCTGTTAACTCGTAGCCGAACAGCCAGGTCTGAGGGGACAAAAAATAACACAAATACACTGAGTTATACACCTATAAAACCCTGAGCACAGCTGAATTAAACTGGAAAATAATCATGATTTTTAAAAGTCAAGATTCAGTTCAGTATGTATTATTTTACAGATTTAAAACGAATACAGCGTCACTATTAAATACCATCAAAAGCGTGACCGTCACTCAGGGAGGATGATGTGAATTTGTAAAACCATCGACACTACGTTTAAATCCTGGGTCACACATGCTGCTACATACAAACGTAAAAAAAGTAGTTCCATGAATAAGTCCGCAACTCAAAGGAAAAAGAAAACCAACCTCCCACACAGATTAGACATAATGTTCTGATCACGCCTGAAAAATAAACTCCAGTGAAGGTCTTGTGTGGAGAACATTAAGTACTCTGCTTAACTGTGAGATCACATCATCCGGAGCCTGAATGTTGAGGCCTGTGCTGGACATCCTCTGATCTTATCGTCCTGCTGAGACGGGACCCACTCTCACCTGTATGGCCGTGGACTTGGCGTAAACGATTTCCTCATCCACTCCCACGGACACCACGATGGCATCGACTTTGCCAAACTCATCTTCTCCTTTCTGGAATATAAACAAACAAACAAAACAAAGCCAGTTGAACAATATGCAAAAGAAAACATATCATAATGCCATTATTTTGACAGATAATAATCCAGACTTGAATCTCAGTTTTTGCATTTCATTTCCACTGAAAAAAGAAAATAATGACGTGATTGTCTGCACCAAACAATCCTGTTCCCTTAGTTTTGGAGAATTTGATTTGTAGGCGAGAGCATCTCTGTAGCATCACAATGCTTCATTTAGAAGGACAATAATGTTTATTATGACACAGCAAGCTTACAGCTGATGTAATGTGGATATTTAACTGGATCATATTGTGGTTTAACAATAGTTTAAACAACCTTTTAGCCCCATAAGATAAGCAAACACAAAATAATGTCAAACATGGGATAACAAAGTGCAGATTGAAGTCCAGAGTGAGGACTGCTCTTCATTCAGGGTCATTCTTTGGGGAACTTAAGGCAGACAAAGAGTTTGGAGCTTAACAACACTTGATAGCTGTGCTGGGTAAAGGCAGGTAGCCAGTTTTGTTAGCATCACTTAAAGTTGATGTGGACCATTCAGAAGCTTGATGAGCAACATCAGCACCTGCTGCTGCTGCTGCTGCATCCGACTTCATATCAGTGATTCAAAAGTCTCGTGAAGCTGTTTTAAAGCCGTTAGCGGCAGTCAGAACTCTTCAAACACTGAAAATGAACCAGAGACGTTTCTTTGCGTGACTGGGCTCCAACATAAAGTCCTGTTACAACTTCTGGCAGCAGCCAAGAAGTAGCTTTAAGGTTAAATAAAGTAACGTAAGACTTTGGATAAAGTAATTTCCAGAAGCTGCGGGCATCCTGCACATGCTACTGGGATGCTGGCGTTATTCTCATGCTAATTAGCCTGCTAATATTAGCATGGAGCGACGTGCAAACTGATAGTAATTGTAAACACGTTTGCAGTTAGCCAAATGTCAAGCACACTTACGTGATTTATTAAGCTTCTATGACCGCTTTATCAAGACGTATTTCTCAAACTGGCACACGCTGGGTTCTTTTCACAGTTAGCGGTTTGGCTAGTGTGTTAGCTTGACGATGAAGTTGACTAGCTAGCAGGCTAGCTAACGTGGTGAATGGACTGGTTGGTGTGCTAACATGAGGTAGCTAGTAGATACGAGCACCTGAAGGAACGCGTCCCCGATTGTTGTGGAGGAGTTTCAGGGCAAATAAGGCTTATGAAACCGGGCAGACGGCGGCCTGGTCCACCTGGCTGTTGGCGCTGGAGGTATCGGCGCTCACGCTCACAACAGTGAACTCGCTCGGCGCAAAAACGCGGCTAACTTAGCGGTTGGCATCCTCCAACGGCTGCTCACTTTCTCTGCGTTACAACAAACTGTAAAAGCCCTCCTGGTTCCCACACACGCTTCACTTCGACCTATTTTACCTTCCAGTTGCTGTATAGTCTCTTGATCCGGCGGTAGTACGCTTCCTTGTCCAGGTTTACCGCCATGGCGAGTCCTCTGTTGCAAACTCCAGCTCCCGGCTTCGCTCCCGTGCAGGCCGGATGATGATGACCAGTGTCAACTAACAACAACGCACTTTCTTTCCACGCCTGCTGAGATCCAAACACCACTACGAGATGCTGCTGCTGCGGCTTCCCTTATAAATTCACCACAGAGGCCTTTCCCACTGAGTGCTCATGTACAAACATACACATTGATTGGCGTTCATCCGGCTAAAAATCGCAAATAATTAAAATTTAATGTAATTTCTGCCCCCTTTTTTTCGCCACACACGACCACGCACACACCAATCTGTTATAATTAAGTCCTCGCCCCCCCTCCTTCTCTTCCTCCCGTGCTTCTTTTTCCTCCCTCCCCCTCCGAGGCTTCACATATCAGCTTTTATAATGAACATTTGAAACCATAAAGGCGCCGAACTCAACCTCACTGCTTGATTTTAACCAACAAAATGAAAAAAACACAGTTTTAACGCGCCGTGCCTCAATTCCCTCCTTTGTTGTTACTTTATAATTTTATTTGATGTTTTGTGGCGCATTTTTAAATGTAATTTGTTTCCCTGCATTGCACAACAGCGCCCCCTGTCTTGTGTTGACCACGCTGCTTTTTCCCGCCATGGTGGGGTTTCCCGCCACCGTCATCAAACGCTGTTCCTGACGTCTATCTCGCGATACAATCTGAGACTACGGTACTACTTGTGTAAAAATTCCTTCTTTTTTTAACCTCTTTTTTTCTCTGCCATAGGAAATAAGTTGGTGCTTCAATCAGCAGGGACACTGAAGGACATTTTATAGTATTTTCTTAACATCTGGGATCCTGGAAAATAGCAAATTAAAACGTTCTACTGTAAGTTTTATGTTTAGAAATGCAAATTTACAGATAAAAAAAGGACACATCTATTAATTTTTATAAGTCTACCAGGATATTGCCTTGATCCAGTTTATATTATTCCAAAATCTGTAGAATTTTTGTGTAAAAAATAAACAAATAAATACAAATGTTAAGAAGAGACACTACAAGTGAATATGGGAGCATTTTAACTAATTAATATTACGATTAAACTTCCCCAGTGAGTTACTCACAAAAAGACAATATTTGTTTTGTACTACAAGTTTTCAAAATTGATTTGTTTAACTATGCAAATGAGGCATAATATCTTCAAAAATTCTCCAATTTGCATATGTATCCAGAACGTTAATCTAAACACTGGATAAATCCAGCCTCCGTTTCTATTAGTTCGTCCTTCTTGATTTATTCACTTTGTGGATATATTAGGAACAGAGGTTTTTATGAATGGAGCCGTGAGTCACTGCACAAGGAGACGTCTTCACGAGGGAGAACACCCAAATTAAAATCCTTTATGATTCTCACTTTTTTTCTTTTAGGTGCAGTCGAAAAACTTCTTGATTACACCTCGTTTCTTTTAATTAATCTAGAATTGAGAAATGCTGTCAACAGCCAGAAAAAAAAATGATAAAAAATCTGCACGTTTATCAAAATAAAATATTCTATAAATCAGGAAATCGATGACGTATAACTGAGTCCGCTGTGATACCAACCAGAGGACAGACCTGCGCTACTGAAGAGAAGATTTCTTTATAGATGTGCAAAATAATTCGACAGATGCAAAGAAACGTGTGGGAAAATAACCGCCTAAAGGTGGATAGTGCATTAAAAAAAACAGTGATTTGTCTCATCTTAAACGCACCGTAACTCCCCCAAGCCTACAGCTGTATATTTCTCTTCAGTACACGGTGACATGTACTTATATTTATTGAATGGTACAAGGAATGACTTCTTTTTTTTTTTTTTCCTTTTTTTATCTCAAAAACATTTCTTCTGTTAATCAGTGTCAAACCAATGGCTTTTACCATGTAACATTATTTTCCTCAACCAAAGAACAAAGTGTTTGAACCTAAAATACAATAAAACAAAAAAAACAAAAAAAAACAAGAAACAGATATTTCTTCTGAAATGAAGAAAAAAAAAAACTTGTGAAATTAAACACAAATGTCTCTCCAGGTGTAACCCACGGGTCAGAATGTGTCTCCAAATGTATATTAAAACATAAAATATTTTATTTCATAGTTAAAAACATTTCCAGGATATCTACAATAAACCAGACTGATCACTGTATCATTTAATCTGACTGGGAACAGTTTGGTTTTTGGAAGCAACCCTCCCTTCCTTGATTATTCAACAGACCAGCCACTCCTTAATCGAAACAAAGTCATGTTAAAAAATAAAGCTTTTATACTGTATTCCCTTTCCCTTTACAGTAAGTAGTGTTGTCAGAGCTGGTGTGTTCATTTAATTCCAATATCTTTTTTTTTTTATCCTCATAAAGTTTCACCACAAATCTTCTTCATGAAGCAAAATACGCACCACATGTGTAGAAAGCTCTTACGCCGCAGGATGCTTCAGCACGAAAGGAGAACAGAGAACAATAGAGAGATTTCTTTTTCCTGAATCTTAGCACCTGTTTTGAATGTCTGAAGTCAAAGACATTTGATTTCTAGTCGGTTTTTCTTTCACCAAAGTGGCTTTTAAAGGTGACAAACAGCATTTAGCTGGTGGCGGATTCATTCGTCTCAAAATGGCTTCTTCTGCTCTTAGACTCCAAAGTAGCTTTAAGACTGTTTGTGCTTTGCCAAGTTGTTGGTCTTTTAAAACTCGAAATTAGCCACAAATCACTCAAGAACAAAAAAAAAAACAACTTTCAGACTTGGTTCACATTAATCAGTTCTCACTGTAACAGTAAAGGGAAGAACGTACACATGTGAAGTTGGATTGTTTTGAAATGAATAAAATAAACTCAACACATCTGCAAGAAACTGTTCCTGCTCTTTTTTTTTTTTCCTCTTCAAAACAATTAAAAACACCATGGGTCCATATAAAATGATCTATTTTTATCAAGTCCATATGTTAAGTTCACAATACATGACCGAGAGGAAATGTGTGGAGCCGAGCCTCTGGTGTCTTCTTCAGCATCATCATTATTATTATTATTCAGCCATCTGTCCGTGTCTGAGTCGCCATTACGACTGGAGTATTTGCAAATAATTTGTAGTTTGTTTTATTCTGCTGGAGAATCTTTGTGCCGGGAGAAGTCTGGGAGAGTCACAGTAAAACACAGCATGTTTTAAATACTTCCCTGTGACTGCCTGGTCTTTGCTGAAGTCCCCGAGATGACATGAGCACGATAAAACAAACCATTATGTGCCAATACCTGAGCCTATTATTCTGTTACTCCTCTGTTCGTTTGCATTTCATGTGTTATCTTTGTCCTTTTGTCTCTGTGTAGCAGTCCTCCCTCAGACGCGTCCTTTCCCTATGTGACCGTGGCCGAGCTCTGCCCTCGGATGGCACACCAGGCCATGAAGACGTCTCTGTGGAGGAGACCAGGTTTAGAAAAAAGGACAACTTTCAGTCTTTTTCACTTCATTGCAAAAGTCACATTTCACATGTCGTACCGTTAGAACAAGATGCAATCAGAATCTAATTGTAGAGATTTGGAGAAAGATCATTAAACTATCATGTTATACACATTTAAGCAGAAAACAAATGGTCCCTTCTGTGCATAACCACAACCTGGGAACTGATTAGCTTAGCATCCAGAGCTAACAGCTCACCTGGCTCTGTTCGTACGACAAAATACGCAAACCAGCACTAAAACAAACATGTTCTACGAGGCGCGCTCCAATGTTCCAAGTCTGCAGCTATAAAAAGGAATATCTGCACCTGATTTAAATTTAGCTGCCACCCCCTTCCAAGCAGTCTTCTTGTGCAGCAGCGCTCCCGCCACATTCAGAGCACTTCGTGGAAGTCATGTTCTGTGAGCCTGTCGACCGTCTGCCATAAACTCCTCCATAATGTCAAAACAGTGACGCCTTTAAATTGAATTTCATTCTGGGGACCTAAGAAGTCGGAGGCCAGACTTCTGACCTGATTTTTCGATCTTGGAGACTGTAGCTCTTCGTAGCTCTTCCACCAAAGTTTGCTGTTTGGGCTCTGAGTCGTGGCCACAGACTCTGCTCTCATGACCATTTATGATCCTTGACATGAAGGTTGAGTCGGTTTGATGCAGAATTTTATGTTTGCTCTCCGCACAAGTTTTAGAATCAGGGTGAAATCACAAAAACACACGTGCAGGTGTTCAGAACAGGACTTCCACAGAGTATTCCAGACGTAGCAGGAGCTCTGGGAGCAGAGCAACGCCGCGCAAAGACACTTGGCCAAATGTAAATCAGGTACGAATTTTGCTACAGAACTTTTTGGCTGCACTTCATGTACAGTTTCTTGAATCAGCGCTCAAACACAAGACATGCTGTGGTCTCTCGTGGGGTTTCATGTGTCGGACTGCTTTTTGTCGTCACCATGAGACAACCAGAGATCGTAGCTTAGCTCATAACTCTCTGTAAAATCAAAACTAGTCTTATGTTAGTATCTACAAACTAAACTAGGGACAGTGTTCTATCATGAGCTTTCTGAACTTCAACAACAACAAACCCTGCAAAGTGAAAATCAGACACAAACACTAGAAACCTTCAAAGCTTTCTGTTGAAAACACCTTTCACAAAGATGCAAAAAAAAAAAAAAAAAAAAGCCATTTTCACAACAATATTGCGTATTTCAGGAACTCACAACTGCAGAAAACAAGCAGCTCTTATTTTAGAAAACACGCAGAAGCATTTACAACCCGTGTTTGGTGTCCGTGTTGTGGATACACACCTGCAGTGTGTGGCGACACACTCGTTGCTACAGTACTCCTTGTCCCAGTCTTTGCTCTCCACGGCAGGGTTGGTGCAGCCGGCACGCACACAGATGTTGGGATTGGAAGCGGGGGTCACACTCGGACCAGGGGCGACATTCACTTCCACTTCCATCTGAGAGACCAGAAATAAACACAGATGCAAACATTTCTAGACACATATCTGACACCAGCGTCATGTCCAGCCTGAACGCTCACAACTCCTCAGAAACCAAACAAAAGAACTTCCATGAAATATAAAACTTAACGTCCATATGTAAGTTTGCAAAGTGTGATCTGCTTCCAGATTGTTCACAATTACATCAAACTTCCTGTTTCACTCACCCCATCCTCTCCTTCTGCCACTTCCTCTCCTGCTGCCACCACAGCAGCCGTCTGTCCCACCGCCACCGTCAGAGCCGAGGAGGACACCGACGTGGCCGTCTCACCGGTCACGATGATCGGCGTGCTTGAGTCTGACTGGCGTGATGATGGGACGACTTTAATCTGCAGCGGAGGTGGAGCGGTGGCAGCAGCCGCGCCTCCGCCTCGAGGCTTGGCCTGCAGCGGCGGGGGAGCCTGGGCGTGCACCATCTGCTGCAGCCGGGGCGGAGGAGGGGTGCTCTGCATCTGCTGCAGCGGCGGCGGCTGGCGTGACGAGGAGGCCGGCGTCGCCGTGACTGAAACGCCACCGGACGGCAGCGGCGTCTGCTTGATGATGATCTTGGTGACGGTGGGGGGGTTCGGGGCGGGGGCGGCCGGCGGAGGCTGGGGCTTGATGGCACCGGTGCGGGAGCGCGTGGTGACCTGAGGCAGGTCCAGGATGATGTTGGAGGTGCAGATGTTAGTGATGGTGTTCTCCTCGGGGTTGTAGTGCTGGGACCTGGTGGGGCGAGCGGCGGGGGCGGGGGCGGGGGCAGGTGTAGCTGTGATCGCAGGAGCCGGGGCTGGAGGTGGAGGCGACGGGGAGGTGTCCATGACTTCTATGGGGGCCTGAGGAGAAGAGAACGGACTTGGTGAAAATGTACAAGAAGAGAATGTTCGCCGGTTGTTTAGCTGGAAGCCCAAAAACAAACCGCAGAAATCTTCAGTCCACAGATGTAGAATTTACTTAAAGTGAGGCAGCGCCGGGCTCCAGCAAGAGCTCTGTCAGAAGGAGCCCCGAGATCCGGAAACGATTCACATTTATCTTGTTGGGCTGGGCCTGCCCCGAACAGAGGCTGGACAACCGAGTTTAATTGGCCAGTTACTGTGACGTGAACAGGCCGACCACTGTTCTCGTGGAAGTTCACTGAAATGTTAACAGAACCTGCTTGGATCCAATAGTAAGTGTGTGTGTGTGTGTGTGTGTGTTGTCCAAAAGTAACTGATAGAAAAAAGGAGTTTCCGCTGCCTCCCAGTCCTCACCGGCCGTGTTATCTTCAAGGACGTACATTGTGCTCAGTTGAAAAGTGCAAAACAGGATCACAGGTTCAGAGAGAAATACAGTTTCAGAATCGTTCTAACAAAAACCTTCTACGACCCATCATCTGTCACAATAACACTTTGTCGTTTCAGGGGATGTTTTTTCGCTCCTGTAACATCTTTCGTCACTGTGGGATCATTTTTCAGTGCAAAATAAAGTTCTGCACTTTATGGAAACAGCACGACTATGACTGTAAGGAGAGAACTCAACAGCGTCCTCTGTGCAGAATAACACAGTTATAAAGCTATAAATCATAAAAAACACACACTACAGTTGAATTTCTTTGATTATTTGTTTTGAACAAATTGAGAAAATAACTGCAACCAACAAGCCTTTTTCCAAACGTCCCCACGTGTTATAAACGCTGGAAGGTCCAACACAATGGGCTGTTTGAGCAGCACTTCTACAGTTTTTACCTCGACACTATGTTCTTCAGAAAAGACATTTCACCGTGCTGAACGTATCTCCCAACAACTTGCTCCTCTGTACGGCGTTTTGAAGTGTTTAACAGGATTTCTGTTGTTGCTCTAGTGTATTTTTTTCCCTCTCAGTCTCCCTTGTCATCTCCTTTCTGCTCTGTGAATACACTGCCTGCATTTCATCTGAAGAGTCACAGAATTTTGGTCTCGTGACTTACAGAATATGGTGCAAACATCACATTTTGCTGATTTTTTAAAAAATAAAACTGAAATGAAAGTGACTCTGATCAGATGGGAGAATTTTAGGCAGATTTTTCTCGACAAAAACATGTGTCACACGTATATGTTTAAAGTTGAAAGCCAAAGAAAACGTGCCTTTCAAACCCAGTGGCAGGTTTTTGGGGACATTTTGATTCCTGTAAACGGCATCTAGAGAGTTTTACTGGCTGCTGTGGTGTCTTCCCACCGCAGCAACGCAAAATGCAGCGACACAAGTGATCAAGAGGGAAACGTTTCCCCAATACGACAACTGCTGACCTGATGTACTGATCACATCCCAGTTTCCAGCCGATCACATGCTAGCCGTGTAGGATCAGAGAGCAGAAACAGCAGGGTTGGTCGGGTTAGTGAACCCCTATGACGTGCTGTTTTGGCATCGAAAGGCACATTAGATGAGAGGTGATCGCTGCCTCCGACAGTCAACAAGCTGACACGTAAAAAGATGTTCTGGATAAACAAGACAAAGTGAACGAGACGGTTCCAAACATGCATCAGCTGCTTCAGGTCCAAAACAAACACAGACTGGTTACGTATCGTACGCAAATACACCGAAATGTTACCGTGTGTGTTTTAGATGTCATCAAACGCGCAGTTCTGTTTTTTGAGGAAGGATCTAGTTTCAGTCGGTGTGGGTCAAAATAAAGCTTTTTAACTCATTACTGACGCAGATTTCTTTTATAATTTCATTACACAGCTCATACAGTTTTTGATCAAAGTCAATAAAAGCTTCTACCGGGTCAAGCAGCAGAAGACGTACACACGACTGCTCCTGCTAGCGTATTCTGGCGGCTCTCTCAAGGTTTTTGAAACTGGGATGCGACACTGAAGTCCAAAGAAATGCAGTCAGTGGAAGAGCGACTGACGTTGTTTTGATCAACGACGCCTGCTGCCAAGTTTGACTCACCTGAGAGTTCTGGCTGTCCCTGTACTCTGCCAGCGCCTTCAAGTAATCCTTCTTGGCTGCTTCATTTTTTCTCTTGTAAACCTGAAGAAAAAAAAAGAAGAAGGATAAATTAAGCAGCGGCAGGAGGACTGTGTTTAAATGTCACGGTATCTTATGATGCCTTCATAAAGGGGAGAGAGAACACCATAGTTCTAACACTTTCTGTGTGCAGTAGATTCAGTGTTTTTAACGCCCAACATCTTGCTTTAGCTTATAACAACACTGATGTAGGACTTTACTGATAAAAGTACGTTTTATCTGTGATTACAGAGCTCATTCTTACACTATCATATTAAGCATTTAAATTCCAGGTTTTCCAGGAACCTGAGCAGGAGGTCTACCTGTTTCTGTTCCTCCCCCAGGCTGTCCCACATGGAGGCCACTATCTTTGAAACCTCTCCAAACGTGGCGTTGGGATTTTGGCCCTTGATAGCTGCCTGCGTGTCCCTGAAGAACAGAGCGTAGGCCGACACGGGTTTCTGGGGCTCGTTGGGGTCTTTCTTCTTCTTCCCCTTCTTCCCTCCTCCTGCGCCTCCTTTCCGTCCGACGGCCGAGGAGGAGCTGGATGTCGGGGCCGAGAGGGGGGACTCGGACAGAGAGGGGTCGAGGGAGATGACTCCGGGGGAGACGGCCAGAGAAACCGGAGATTCAACCAGGACGCTCTGATTGGAGAGAGAGAAAAGGATGTTGGAGTTAAAGATGAAGCACATTGATGCTCTTTGCGTGCAAGCAGGAATTGTAAAGACCAACGGCTGCACTGATAATCAGGGATCAGGTACTTCTGGCTGCTGGTTCGGTTCATTGATTGTTTTGTATTTGGTGACACCCAAAAGCATTTTCCAAGAGGATACACGCTTCAAGTATCGTAGATTACCTGCACCACCATCTTTCTGTTAAAGCTATTACAACTTGAGGTGGAAAAATGAAGAGAACCGAGAAAACCCCAGTGTTTTATTCGAGTGTGAAGTCGTCTGCTGAGGAAGAAGAAAGAATTTGGAGCGTGTGGTGAATATAAGGCGAGGGGAAGGAGGATAGGAGTAGACAAGTAGGAACGCAGGTGTCTCCTGTAATCCAACTATTGTTGACATAAACATGGAAACCTCCCTGGAACACCACGCAAAGCCTGGTTGTCAGTAAAGTGAGTTCAGACATCAAACACAGGTTAAACAGCGTAAAGGAAAGAATACTAGCCCAGGGAAAAATGACAAGACACCAGAGGAGGCGAACAGAGAGAATCTGACGGCTTACAGGCACATGATACCAATCAGTGACCCTGATACCCATCTCAGTACGGAGGATGCATTGATATGACTATTCTGATCCTACAAATGCCTCCAGAGGCCTTTAAAACTCACCCTTCTAAAGTCGTCCATGTCATCATCCTGGAGCGAGCTGGTGGGCGACGCCGTAGCCGACAGAGGGTTTTCAGGAGACTGGGGTCGTTGCAATATGTTCCCGCCTCCCAGGCCGAGCCCCAGCTGAGCGCTGAGCTCTGACTGGTCGATGGTGGTCAGCTGGTTGGACCCCAGTAAGCTCTGGCCCATGTCTCCGACATCGATGGTCACCGGCGACGAGCTGCTGAACTGAGAGCCGATGGGGTGGCCGAGGTCCTGGTGGGAGCACAAGGAGACAGTGAGCGAAGCTGGAGATGAACACTGAGATGCTGTTAGAGCGTTCCTTATACTCACCATTCCCAGCGACGAACCCAACAGAGCGCTTCCTGCCGACTGGTTCATGACTCCCAGACTCAGGTGCTCCAGCCCCTGCGAGGGCGCGCTGACGAAGGTGGAGGCGAAGGAGGGGTCGTCCCCTTCGACCACGGCGTTCCCGGGCACCACCACGCTGTCGGAGGGGCCGGTGTCCGACAGCTCCCCGAAGTGGGACACCACATCGGACACGGTGAGGGCCGAGTCTGGGTCCAAGGAGATGGGAGGGATCTCGAACTCTTCATCGCCGAGGCTGGGGGTGTGGAACGTCTGGGGGAGGAAGGCGGAGCCGAGAGGACAGAAACAAAAGGCGGGGATGGAAAGTAAAGGTGGGGATAGGAGAGGACAGGACAAAACGAATTAGGAAGCAAGCCAACAACCATTTGAGGAGGAGGGAAAGCGAGCCACAGAGGAGTTAGAGAAGGATTACTGTTAGTCATTCAGCTTTCTTACAGAGTTTTACTATTTTAGATTAACAGCTATCCAAGAGGCTTCCTGAAGGATTCACTTCCTAAGATTTTTAACACTAAACCGGTTATTACTTCCCTTTTCAGTCTTCAGAAGCCGCTATCACAAAACAACTCTGTCTTTGCGCTGGTTTTCTGGTATCACAAAGCAGCTTCATTTTAACCATTTACATATCGCCATGGTAACCAGATGATCAACCTGTCTGGAGCTCCACCACCGGCCAATCAGATCACAGTCCTACAAGACCATGACCGGGACAGAAGTCCTGACAGTGCAGCGACGTCTCAGGAGGCTTGAGCAGAATGTCTACACTTGTTTTTACTGTTTGGTGATCATTTATAAGCATCTACACGTTGTTATTGTATTTAAATTACAGTGTAGACGCATGAGTTATAATATGCATCGATATAAAAGCTGGATTTAATTCAGAATTAATGCCATCATATAGTTTGCACTTTGTTAAATGTTGAGGTTAATTGGTGATTGTAAATTGTCCGTAGGTGTGAATGTGAGTGTGCTTGGTTGTCTGTCTCTAAGTGTAGCCCTGTGATAGACTGGTGACCTGTCCAGGTGAACCTGCCTTCACCCTGAGTCAGCTGGGATAGACTCCAGCCCCCCATGACCCTGGTGAGGATTAAGCGGTGTGTAGATGATGGATGGATGGATGATTAGAAACTCTGCCTCTGTTAAATTAATATGCTAATCTCTGATCATGAAACCCGGGAGCCACATGATAGTCGTGTTTGTGATACCAGTTAACCAGAAGCAACGCAACTGACGGCAGCAGGATCACGTTTACCTGGTCATGCATGGAAAACCACAACTCAGCATGAAGCTCAAATCTGTCAAATCACGACATCAGTCACACCTGGACAGTAGAATATGAGAAAACTGCGAACTGCAATGAAAAGAATGGACACGAAACCACCACCGAAGCTTCAGAGCAGCAGCTAAAGCTCCACCACGTACTGCATCGTGGCCACATTATTAACTGTAAAACGCTCTCAGGCCTCATGCAGCCGTTTTCTCTCATTCCTCTAACTACGTCTCCTCCCTTTGACTTTCTGTCTGTTCTGATGGCAGAACGACGGAGATGAACCGTAGAGTCGTCCTGAAGCCCGACTGCTCATCACGCAGCTGCTTCACGGTGAAAAACCTCCAATCCTCCCGTCACCCGACACCTTGGATGAGTCAGTTCTGCAGCTTTTTAAACGTGTTCATGCTGTTCGGTGACTCACTCGCCGTTAAAAGGCTGTTTCCTAAATTGCGGCATCAATTAAAGGAATCTGAGCAGCAGCAGGTGTGTGAAATATATAAAGTATTTATAAATAGTTCATACTCCACCAGCAGATCCAGCGAGGTTGAAGAGGTCAATGGGTTTAGAGGAACACTAAAAGATGCGAGTACGTCAGTAAGTGCATGTTGAAGCAGATTACAGACGTCATGGCTCATATTTGAGGAACTAAAAGCGTTTTTATATGCACTTAAAGAATTCATACATACATAAGAAAGGCCTTATTTTGCGTGACTCACACATCATTTAGAATTTATGTGAGCTGGAGAAGAAATCAAATATTAACACGGCTGCAGTGCTAAAAAGACACAATTTGCCAAGATTGCTCCGCCGTGATGGTGGCGCTGAATCCCAGAGCTCAGCATCGCTTCTTCTGAAAGATAAATCCTCTTTGAAAAACTCAAAGGGTCGCTTAACGACACTCATCGATGCGCCGAGGGCGTTTTCAGATTCATCAAAGACTGTGTTAAACGTGCGGATGAAAGAACATTCAGTCTGCTGCGAAATGTATTTAACAAACCACGTCGACAAAAGTGACAAACCTCGATGTGAGGCTCTAAAGAGATGTGAGGCGGTAAACAGGACAGCACATTGTAGCTGGTTTTCTAGAATTACTGGACAATTTTACCTCCTCAGGCCTCCATCAATGACTGAGAGAGAACAAAATAAAAAGTAAAATCTTCTTTAAACGGGGCAGAAACCATCCATGCAACTCATGAAGGGACCCCAAGTAGATTTTGCTTCGTTTCAAAGGGAAAAAAGGTTTAAAACAGGAGCTTCAACAACAGCTACGTGTTCCTGAAGCTTCATTTATCAGTTTTATGCCACTAAAAAGCTTTGTTTGGAACTTCTTAAATCTTGTAATCGTGCAGCAGACGGATTATTTTCTCATCCAGCTACAGGTGTTGTTCAACAACCCTCTGGGCTTTCCTCCTCACACCACCGAGCATTTATCTTTCAGCAACATGAATTCATGTGGTATGGGATGGATGGCAGAAACGTGAGGATTGAAACACTGACAACGTAACACCACATCTGTTCATTAATGACATTAAAAGATAGGCGGTGATTCGTTTGGTTTCCAGGCACACGTTGGAAATCTGAGGTCTTGAACCAACAAACAAAAGCCAGTGGAGGCGTGAAGACGTACCTCAGAGGATGAGAGGAAGGGATGACCGGAGCCAGAGATGGTCAGGTAGTTGTCGCTGCCTCCAGGGAACTGAAACAGACGCATGGACCAGTTAGAAAGAAGAGTCCTGGAACATCGATTCATCCATTTGGGTAATGATTTTTACGTCATAATTGGCTGATTGCAGCTTGATAAATGTGAATATTTTCTAGTTTCTTTACTCCTCTGTGACTGAACACCTTTGGGGTGTCATCTTGGGCTCGTTTTTATTAATTTACTGCCAGTTTAAGGAGCAAACATCTACAGAATAATCAGCAGTAACTTCATTATTAATATTACATTAACTGTGTCCCTGAAGTTTTTAGTTTCTTTGTTTTATTTTACCTGCTGGTTTTGTTTTTGTCCTTTTAAATCTTTAATGTAGCACAAATGAAAAGTGCCTATTTGACTTGTTTTATTGCTGCTTGTTTAAATGAACTGATGTGAGAAGTTTAGAAGCTGTTTTGTCCTCATAGTGACAGGATGCTGCTTTTTGTCCTTTTGTGAAAGGTCACAAGGCAAAAGAAAAAACCTCCAATGATCCCTGACAGCTGCAGGTTCGGCTAAATCCGAACCTGTCCCAGAACCAGCCATTGTTCTGTTTCACTCTAACATGCATTAACACTGAATAAAATGAGGATATTGGAGCCCAGCAGCCCGACACGGTCCCACCGGCCCCTCTGGACAGTCACCTTGTTGTCAGAGTCAAACCCATTGAACGACTGCGGGTCCAGGAACTCTGGATCTCCGTCGTGCTGCCCGGTACCGTCCGTTAAATCCGAGTAAAAATTCAGGTCCATCTTTTCAGCTGGGCCTCATATGTCAGCTGTGAGGCCCCTCTTCGCTCCGACAAGATCTTACGCAATTAACCGAAATCCCCTCTCGGTGCTTCTGTTGAGACAATGTGCGGTTCGGACCGCCGGTACCGCTGGTGGAGCCGAGCCTGGCTGGATTTCTTATGATTTAGCTGACAGCTTCGGCACAGATGTTGCTGAAGCTCACGCGGCTGAAGCTGAGCATGTGTGCGGCAGCAACCGGGCCAAAAATAACCCCGTGTGGCTGCTGGCCGGCCGGCTAGCTACCGAGGTAACGTGGCTGGTAACCGTCTTTCTTGCTGACTTGTCCTAACCCGGTTTAGCTTTAGCTGCTTTGACGCAAGGCTGCGGTACTCCTCGCTCCGCTACCAGCCCGGCGCCCGTTTGTCTGCCGCCCCGCAAACGCTTCACCCAACCAGCGGCCGCAGCGAGGCGGACACAGCTGCGGACGGTTAACGGATGAGGTCCGGAACACGGCTGCGACCGTTTCAAGGTGTCTGACAGCGAAGGAAAACAGACCGAAACCCCGTTTTGGCTTCGTGTTAGCCCGGGCCAGGACGCTCAATGGATCCCGAGACACGGATCGTGGATGGGAGCGTCAAGCTACCCGGATGCTACACTGGATGTAGGGAGACGCGGGTTTCAAAATAAAACCAGCTTCCCAGCAATTTGATACCTTCAGGGAAAAGTCAAAAAACGATCAAATTTCACCAAAAAAAGTCGCGATTTGTTGCCTGAACGTTCCTGTTTGCTGGGATAGTGTACTTGCATTTTTACTATTTGTCAAAACAAAAAAACACCAAAGATATTCAAAGCTGTGAGGCTATTCTTCAGCTCGACACAATCAACCTAAACTGTCTGGCATGTCAGACAGCTGTCCAGGTTAGCTGTATTTGTTATTTGAAAAACAAAACATACTCAAAGCTACGAGGCACAATTAACCACAATTCCCTTGTGCTGGTTTGGCTATAAAACCTTCAAAATGAAATACTTTGAAATATTTTGAAAAATATTCAAATGCAATTTAAAATAGTTAATATAATTGTGGCGGGATCCAACCCACACAAATACCTCCAAATAGCTAGGGACAATATCAGGGTTGAACAATTATTTGCTTGCAAATTACAATTTAAAACAATGCAGTGAGAAAAGCAAAATGTTGAAATTCAGGATGTAAGTTTTGCTGATCCAAGATTTAAGTTGCTTTGTCAGTGGATTTATAAAGTCACTGTTACATGTTTTAAAGCTATTAAGCTGAAGCTGAACTTTAAAGATTACACTGCAAATCTAATCACAATAATTATCAGAGAAATTGTAATTAAATATGTTACTAATATCATTTATAGCTATTTCAAAGTAAAACCAGAGCTATTGCCTTCAGGTTCACTATTAACCCAGGGAGAGGTTTAAAAGCCCACATGAGCTGCTCTTACTACTGACAATGGTTAATTTAATAAATATCTGGATCTCATCATCAGTCACAAATAAAGACGCCTGTTGAATGGGAGGTGAAATGTCCCCAAGAACTAAAAAAAGAAAAAGAAAAAAGTACAATTGACTTCTAATGAAGCCCTTAGGATTACTATTACCCTGATGACTACACCGACAACCATTTAAAACACGACTTTAGGGACTGTTTGATGCTGGTTTTATGTAGAATAAATGCTGAGGACATGTCACTACACGAGCTTTCTGATTCCTGATTTTATTTTGAAGGCCGCGACAAGAAGCGGCTTACTGCTGCTGCTGGTGTCACTCGACTTCAGCTAATCCAGTCCACAAAGGAGTTCCCTTCGCTTCAGTTTTAATGCGCTTTATAAAAACATTTTTCTTTGTTTCTGACAGGACACAATATGAAGTCGTCAAATAACTCAGTTAGTGATATTTTAACGACAATAAAGTTCAGATAGTCGGGTATCGTAGTTTAATCTTACCTCCTGCTCTGTCCAGTGGTTCGGTCCAAATAAAATCTTCTAGCTAAGCGTTAAATCATCAACAATTACCTCAAATAAAACGATAAAACGAGAAATTTGCGGGCAGATATTTAAGGTTTAAGCTGTTCCAGTGCCGTGTGGTAGCTTTAAATGTTTTCTACTGATTAGAATTAACACCAGCAGTTTGTTAGACTCAACGCCGGGAGTGAAGGGTCTCTGACGGGAGTTTGACTTAACCAACCGCTTTAATTAAGGGAAAATCATTAGTCAGGTCAGGCCTCGTAACGAGGCCATCATTGTTGTGTTTGGGACAACCAAAGATCTTGTGTTGAAGAACAACAGTGAATCTTTCATTATGACAAACGTTTCTAACACCAGCTACTCTTACCTCCATGCTCACCCCCGAAACCTGATTAATATTTTGTTTTTATTCCACTTTTGCCAGTGAACTTCGCCCAGAATTGATTTCCTCAAATATCACAACATGGCACCGGCTTCCGGATTGTACGTACAGGTGGAAGTGACGTCAACACGCAAAACTCGGAAGTTACCGTTCCAAAATAAAAGGTCTGCGTGTGGAGTTTCTCATCAGATCATTGAAATCCTGAAGGCTGCAGTAAAGAGCTACTGGACCTTTTGTACTCAGACTGTTATTGCTGGGATATGAAAACAAAACAAAACAAAGAAACAAAAAAAATAAAATAGTTTCTCGGTGCTGTAACGTATCGCTGACAAATAAAAGCTGCTTCTTCTTCTTCACTATAATGAATGACACTAAAAAAATAACAAAAAATATAAAGTCCAACATTATAATTACCTCCTTCTCTTTGGTTAATGTCTTTAAAATTGTTAAATTTGTAAAAATAAGTCTTATGAGTCTGACAAATGCCAAAAAAAAACCCAAACAGGACAAACAACAGAAGAATCTGATCATAAATTCAGTTCAACTTTTAACAGCAACATCAGTCCATAAAAACAGACCTAATTTGATATAATACAAAACAATCACAATCCTCTTTTGTTTCTTTCAAAATCGCTTTATTTATTCCGATATTTTTTCAAGCAAAGTTTTTATGATTCCTTTTTATATTAATGTAATTAAAAAAAGATAAAACTTGGGATCTTTTTTTGTCTTTATGTACAAGCAAGAAAACAATGTGTAGGAAATAACAATGAACATAAAACAATCCCTGCACGGTAACACTGTAAAAAAAAGAAAATGAACAAAGCATTAGAGTGGAATCAAACACCCCGAGTCAGGAGCTCCTCACTTCAGCAACAAGCTCAGGAGTTCCCATTCACACACACACACACACACACACACACACACACAAACGTGCACACACAGAGCAGGATGTGAGCAGGTTGTTGTCAGGTGTGCATGAGGTGGAGAGTTTCAGGGCACGAGCTCACACTACGCAGCGTGGCCGATGTTCTCTTGAGGGGAAATGGAAAACACCGTGATGTGCCAAATGAACAGTCACACACACAAACATTTACACACATGCAGTGCAGTGGTCCTCTCCATGGTGGTCCAGGGGGTCAACAATACTGTTCTCCAAACTCTTCCCACTTGCAGCTTTTTCAAACTCCCTCTTCGCTGCTGTCATCTACCAACTATTCACATGCAGGCCGACAAGGAGCCGGCGCGACACAGAGAAGACCTCCGACGATTTCCTGGCATTGGTTTCATTTTGGTTCTCCTGGAATCGTGTTTGACATCAACAAATCCATAAATGTGGTTCATAAAAACAGCCCTGTTCTCGATCTAAGCTATTCCCATCAGTATCAGAGCAGACTGCTGGCGTTTGTGTTTTGCAGATAAAGATATGTGCCATTTGGTAACTGTAAGCCGTTTCTGTCGTTTGTTTTCATCAGATTAAGTATCGAAGCCCATTTCTGCCAAGAAAAACAAAGATTATATTCAGACACTGGAACAATATAAACCTACTAAAATACAGTCTAAATTATGGGATAAAATTATACGTGTCGCATATCTTGAATTTATTTAATAAGAGAGAAATTTGACTTTTCATTTCTACATTTCAACTTGCCAAAAAAACACATCTTGTGTTTGTGGTGGTTTTCTCATCTTATAAGACATTTTCCTTCTCATGCCACCAGCTTGTCAGGAGTCATTTTTACTTAATATCTTATAATTTCAACTTAGTGTCGTGTCATTTTGACTTTTTATATTAAATCTATTTGAAATTTTATGAAATACTTCATATCTCGCAATTTATCCAATTAAAATCAAACTTTTTTTAAATTCCTGTTTTCATCAGATCTTTTTTTTTTTTTAAACCAAAAAAATTTTTAGTTTTTAAAAAGTTCCAAGTTCCGCATTGTCTATGGTGAACTTTCATCTTTCGTGGAGGAAGTGGGCTTCCATACAGGAGACCAGAATCTGAGAAATAGCAGCAAAATCAGACATTCACACAAGAATTAGGAAATAATTCACCTTGAACCTCACTGTGGATAAAGGTTTGTGCAAACATTCGTGGATATGAAGAGATGAGGCCAGTATTGATATGCAGTCCGTTTCCTCCTCACAGATCCTTTAAAATGTTAAGTTTTCAAAGTCAGGAGACACCACCGATGTACACAGACTCACCTCATACGTCCTGTAAGTAAGTTTTAAACTAAACTCCTCCCTTCCTCTGGTGCAGTGTTACTTTTCCAGTCTTTATGTACGACTGGAAAAAACCGTCCATGTCTTAAAAAATGAAGTAAAAAAAAAAACAACACTCTGCTCAGATCAGACATTCAGGCTCTACTCACACCTCTCACCTGCTTCCAGAAGACATTCTGTACTAAGAGCAACCCTGAGTCTCGTCAGCGAAACAACTGCTCAGTTCTGGGACGCTTCACAGCCGCTCACACTCGGCGTTTAACATTTTTTCTCAGTCAGTGGTCAACTGGGAAAAAAATAAAAAAAGACACAATCGTTCCTAACACAAGGCTGGTCCCTTCTCCGACAAATCAGAGCTCCTTCAGGTGGATGAATCTCACACACAAACACACACACACACACACACACACACACAGCTGATCAGTCAGGTGTTTTTTTTTTTTCGTTTTTTTGTTTATGCTCTTTCATGGAATCGTGTTGGCATTTCCGTAGCTTGACATATGTGGAATGGAAACTGCTGTCATGGCAGAAAAGTGTAAAGGTGAAAGGAAAGGGGCTGAGTGGGGTGTTGGGCGTGACGACTGACGCTGCAGCCAATGACAGTCTCTCTTTTAGGGCCCGGGCCCGCAGAGCTCTCAGACCCCGCCGTCTCCCTTCGCTTACTTCTGCATGACTGGCTGCTTGTTTTTGTTCATGCTGGCTTCCTGTGTTTGTCCAATCAGGAGTAGATGGTGATGACTTCACTTCCTCCGCCTCTGACCAACAGGACTCGCTCCAACCCTTCTGTTAGGACCTCCAGGAACTCCATGTCTGGCCACTGAGTTAAGGACCGTTTCCAGCCTCACTCCCCTCACCCCCACGACTCTCTGACTGGATGGCAGGTGTCCTTTAACACCTTGAACAACTGACAGTGCGTTTTGTAATCTCTTGTGAGCGGATTGATTGGGACGGTGTGCTTGTCTTCGTGGTTAACTGACCACCTACAGCAGCAGCATAATGTGGCTTAACTGCATTCTGCTACATTAGAACATCCAGAGTGACGGTCTTCCTCATTGTGTGGGTGTCCTGGATGCTATCAGAGAAGCTAACACGAGTTACTCTGTCTGGCTCGGTCGCTAAACTTACAGATGTCACCACCATGTCCACTCCAACACCCTCATCTGAAAAGCACTTTTTTTTGTTTGTTTTGTTTTGTGGGGTGTGCAGCCAAGTGGCCAAAAAGTGCACCTTTAAGACCCATTTACAGGACTCTTGTTCAAACAATAAGCGAGCCAGATGTGGTGATGTACGTGCTGCTTGTGTCTAATCATGGATAAGTAACAAGAGCAACAGCAGTTCTGGTGACTGGTCACATAACCACCGTGTTACCACTGATGTAGCCACTGGTTCACCACAGCAGCTCAGTAACCACATATCTCCCTCCTTACTATTAGTTACAACTAAAAAAGCTGCTTTAGTTTCAGGACTTTACATCTGCAGAATCCTTGTCAAGTAAAACCTTTTTATTTTGACCTCTATTTGTAGATGACTGTTTGCTTTAAAGAACCAATATTATGCACATTTACAGCTTTATAATTATATTTTTGGGATCTACTAGAATAGGTTCTCTCTGAAATGCTCAGTTTTAGCTTTAAGAGGGCCTTCCTAAAATCCCAGTCTACTCTGATTGGTCGACGACAAAGCGAGGCGATGCATAATGGAGCTGTAGCAGAAGCAACTCTTGTGAGGAGTTACGGGTGGATTGTGAGGCAGCTACTCATTCACGCTGCTGGTCAGCCGTTATGCAAATGTGTTGCATGGTAACGTTGGTAAGTTACAGAAGAAAAGCCTGGACATTGAATGAGGTATTTCAGGAAGGTAAGCTGCAGTGTTTTCTGTGAGAGAGAATATTTCCCATTGGCCTGGATACTGGGCTTTGTAAGTTTGCAAATAAAAAAACTACAACACACTACAGTAAAGGGGAAAACCCAGAAAGCATAATATGGGCTCTTTAAGAATATTCTACAACTGTTAAAGCTGGACAGTTTGTAGAGGCTTAGAACGACAAACGTAAAAATGTCTCATGTGGTGCAACCCTCAGTGTGAAGGATACAGTTCTCGTCTCCGTCAGGGTTCCTCGGGGGTCCCGGCATGTTGAGCAGGACGAGCCGAGCATCGTGGGATTTGTTGACGATGACCTCGTTGAGTTTGACGGCGGTGTGCATCCGCCTGACGTTGGAGTGATCCCTGAAGGAAGACAAGCTACATTTAACCCCCTGGTTGGCTGAACACAGCGCTGCGACCTGATCAGACAGAACTCACGGCCTGATGCTCAGCATGTCTCTGAAGCCTTCGGGTGTGGAGCAGCCGGAGTGTGTTGCTCGGTACTGTGAGGTCTTCTCTTTGGTCCAGGTCATCTGAACACGACGATGGTGCTCGGAGCTGCCGCCGCCGCTGCTCACTGCTCGGTCTCGCTCTCCGCCGTCGGTGTCGTCGTCGTCGTCAGACCCGATGCTCGTCAGACGCAGCATGGAGTTCCGGTCTTTCACCAGCTGAGCCTGGTTCGTACAAACACACAGAAACAAGCTCTTTCTCATCTCGTCTCTATTTGAAGCTTCTTTACTACCTCATGCGACTCTCCCTTCCCCAACTCCTGACTCTTTCTCTTCCTTCTCCCTCTCTGTCTCTTTGTACCTGTCTGTCTCTGTCTCCTTTAGAGGTGTTTGACGTGTGGACTCCGGTACTCCTGTACCTGGGGGAAAGATACACCTACAGACAACACAAGGTCACCTCACTTACTAAAACAAAACACAATCTGCATCTACTGGAGCAGAAACACTGGAGGTTGGCTACAGGGACACTAACAGCGTTAGTGCTGAATTTAATAAAACGACAGCCCGACCTGAGTCAAAAGGCATCTGCAGGTCAGAAATGAGTAATGAAACGAGCCAAAGAGGGATGAGTGGAAAAGGAAAAGAAGGATTACATGAGAATTAAAGAGTGGAATGACAGAAGAACAAAGTTTTCTTTCAAGTCAGCAAATTAAAGAGACAGTTTGATAGTAAAGAAGCACATTTGACCCAGGTCAGCAGATATTAATTCTGTTATAGAAAACTCTAAAATGATCCCTTCAGATAAAGAACTGAGAATTTCAGATGAATGATGATCTGAAGTCTTGGTCAAGAAAAGAATGTGGCATGTAATAAATCTGATTGTGAATTTCTGACAGTTTTACAGAAAAGTGTTCCCTCACAGCTCTCAGGATTCGGTGTTTTGCTCAAGGACACTTCACTGTACTCACTGTGCTGCCACACAAAACAAATGTGCAATTTTGGTGTGTTCAAATGCATTTCAGAGGATTCAATGCAGACTCTTTTTCTGAAGGGTTCCACTGCTCTCATGGAAGTTCAGAGGCATTCACAGATCTAGAAAAACCTCTTTGCTTTCACAGCGTCTTCAGACAGGCCACTACGTCTAAACTGCTCTACTTCAGACAGCCGTCGCTCTACTGTTACCCAAAGGGAACTTACATCATCAAAACTCCAGCGTACTCTCTGAGGAGACCGGTGGCAAAAGGAAATTGAATGAAATTTTAATCCTGATTGTGAGTTTGCTGTCCTCCCACTCCCCCAACAGTATTTTCCTGTCAGTAACTTTGTGTCTTCCAGGGTACAGCGCTACGTGGGTGTAATGCACCTGAGTGTAACTGTTACAAGCTTCATACCAAACACTATTGTTTAGTTTCTATGCCTCCCTTCTTATAGCAAACTCTGATCCCTGAATTCAAGCCCTCTCTCCAGTCTGGTCCTTCTCTAGCATCAGGTTTTATGCAGGAATAGTGGAGGAAAATAATGACCTCTACACCAATCTGTGGTATCTCTGAAGAGCACATCATCTCCAGCTTACTTAGACTTCTAATATCAGACTTCTACACTATGCCAAATGTTCAGCTTAAATAAGTTGCCTAAACTGGGCCTTTTCCCTTTAATTTTCAATGACATTTAGCTTTTAAATGTTTGTCATTTAATCTGAGACAACAATGTCTCTGATTTCCATAATATAGTTGAGATTTTGCCGATATGCAATATGCTAATATTTTCCAACTCTCTGTAGTGAATTAACATATTCTGCCTTCTGTTGTGGTGATGACCCTCTTACAGATGCAGACATAAAACACAAAGGCTTTTTAAAAGTAAACACAGAGTGGGCAAAGTACAAAAACTACTTCAGCTTACATGTTGAGTATGTTTTATGGAACATTTTCAAAGAAAACTGTAAACTGAAAGCCCTTACATGCCCCTCAATACCAACATGTCCTGTACCAGTGATACTGACAATGTGCCGGTATCAGTGTGCATCCATACAGTGTCATAAATTTAAATTTCTCAATCATTGTCAAAACAGAGAGCTTTTAAAGAAAAAAGAAAAAAGAACGACTATCTTTAAACTGCCTCAACAACCTTCTCTACAATTAGGAATTTTTTAGTTTGATAAAAATTCATGGACTCACAGCTGGCCGTAACCACTGCCCTCACCTGAGACCTTGTAGCTCCACCTGCCTCTGGCCTACTGCTGCTGCTACCAGGGTTTCCCTGGTGAAAATGATGCACGACATTCACAAACAAATAAGGTTATGTGTGTTATGGCCAAGCTTGCATACAGTTGACGTTCACGTTAATAATGTCCCAAACACCTCTGAAGGATCATGTAGCAAAACCTTTAATCCACCGCTAGAAATGAGGCACATTTAATCATGCACCATGAACTTAGGGTTCACATGCACACAGCAGTCTCACAGTTGAACTAAACGTACCTCTCTTTCCCGGTCTGACTTAGACAGTCGCATCTGTCGGAGCATCTGGGACCTCTGCTCCATCATCAGTGTCCTCTCATAGGTGTACGCACTGATATCACTGTCATGCTGAGGAGAGGACGAGACACTCAGGTTCAGAGGAGGAGCAAGAAAACAGCGATGTAGAGACTGCCATTATCGTACTGTATGAATTATATTGTTAGATAATGAACCGGTTAAACTGCATTGACCTACCGATAATTCTCTGAACCCTGACAGTTCCTGGATGTTATTTTGCACCCGTCACATTTTTACTCACTGTGGGCTCGCTTTTCACTGCAAATTAAAGTCCTGCACCTCTTTGGAAGCAGCACAGACATGGCTCGACGTAGAGAGAACTCAAACATGTGTTTTGTGCAGTATAAGAAAATTAAAATGTGATTAATCAGAAAAAAGCTGACTTTTCTTTTTAAAATATAAATAGGGAAAAATGAAAAAAGGGAAATATTAGGGAAATATACATACATACATACTAGAGACATTTTTGTAACTTATATTTAGATTTTTTTTTTGTCATATGACTGTTGGTAACAACTTGAGTCACTTATAGCTTCCCAGTTGTGCTAAGGAGTTCAGATTTTTTTTCTGTTTTTCACTGAACCTGGTTCATGCAAATGGTTTATTTTTCCCAATTCTTTAAATGAGACGTGTAGAATAAAGTAATAATAATGAAAGTGTCATCATTTGAAGCTCAAATTTGGTTCCTTTACCAGATGCCATTGAAAGTCACAATGTTTCTGCCAACAGGTTTTTGGTTTCCGAGGAATAAATTCTCGTGGAGAGCTCTAACACAACATTTTGGGGGAATGTATCCAAGATGATGTATCTACACTTTTTTTTTCTAGTTTAAACATATAGTTGAAACCAGCTAAAACAAAACATTAAGAGTAAAAACAACCATTCAGCAACCTTAAAGCTTCATAAGGAGAAGTAAAGGGGGAACCTGGATGTGGTACACTTAATGTAAGTGTACCTGATCAAAGTCAGCATTGTAAACTTACCATCTCAACTACTTCCACGTCTGCCTCGATGCGTAGGTGATAGAGGAAGGTTGCCAGGTCCTTCTTCATCTGAATCGAATTGTCCTCCATCTGGGCCACTGTGAAGATTCGCATCCCACATTTACGCCACACCTGAGGAGAGAACGACGCGGCCAGGTGCAGGAGTTAGGTTGACAGGAACTTTAAAGACTTTAACAGATTCTCATAAAAGAGACATTGTTTTCCTACCTTGTGTTGACGCAGGAGGAAAGGCAGCAACATCAGCATCCCTCCGTCATGGACAATCCACCACACGTCGATGTAGCCCTCTGTGCAGGGCTCACTGTTGCTGGGGAACAGCGAGATGTTTTTGGGCACCAGCAGGGCCAGGTGAGCCGCTGTGGTCACCCGCACTGTGTCTGGAGGGAAGAGAGGTGGCGCTGTTAGCCTGCTGAACGCTAAAACCATGAAAATGTGAAAAAGAAAATGATTTGCCATCCTCTTCTGACTCACTGATGAAGGTCTTCCAGGACTGCGGGTCCTCGCTTTGCCTCCAGGCGTGAGGCCAGCCCATCACCACAGTGTTGGGTTTCATTCCTCCCAGGCCGCTGGACTGGATCATGTGGCTGATGCCTTCTCGTGGCTTCTGAGCAATGATGCACTGACAGAAGCCCTTCACACGCTCCTTATCCATCAGGTGCTTTAGAGTCTGACACAAGACAAACACAAGGCCACAGACGTTAACTTAGCCGAGGACAGGCAGTGTTTCCTGACTGTCATCTGCTGATAGCCACATTCAAAAAGCTTAATGTGAAACTTGTCCGTGTTTCATGACCACTGCGACCCTGCAAAGACAAATGTTCCCACCTGTTCAGCAGCGAGAGCCTCCCCGTAGCTTTGTAGAAAGTTGCCAGAGACAACAGTGCCAACAATGGTCAGGCCCTTTCCCGCCTTCAGCTGGCTGGCAAACGTCAGCAAGCGAGGAGACTTGACGTGGGCGTCCTCGTCCAGTTTTAGTAACACCAACAGCTGGGGCCTAGACAACAGCAGGCAGCATGACATGTGAGTGTGTGTGTGTGTGTGTGTGTGTGTGTGTGTGTATTCATTTACATGGATTCTCCTCAAATATAATAACATTAATAACTTTTCTCTTTAGACTCTAAGAGGATCATATTGTATACATATTAAAAGCCTAATACTGTAATATCAAAAGTGAACTAATCAGCACATTTGCTATTTATTCATAACATGTGACTGTACCAGTGCTGCTCCACGAGAATAGTGACTTTTTAATAATATAATTGGTTCGATATTAACCTTGAAAACAGCCACTAACTGAAATTCAACTTTCAAATACAACTTTTATGCCTTAACTTAAACTTTTACTAGGTTAGTAAATTTGATTAGCTACAATTCAACAATAAATTGGCAAACATCTGTTGAGGATTGTGAGATTTGATGAAAGCTCTGGAATAGCTGCTGAACTGACCTTGCAGTAAACTGTTCTGTAAACCAAAAGCAGACATTATAGTCTTCTATTACACAGTAGTCAGACTCACCGGATGTAGATTGTGGGTATAAGCCTGCCATGGGCTGTAACCTTCACATAGAATTCTCCTGTCCTCCACTAACTATGTGTTAAAATCTACCTAGATGCTAAAAAGTTTAAGTTTTGCCAAAGGTTTGGATTGTGCAATAAATCAGTTTTTTTTTCTGTGAATTTTAGTGGCAGTGCTCGCCTCCCTGAATGCAAATGTTCCACCAAACCATTTCTGCCCTTCACTATTTTGAGTGCACACAGTCGCTGCATCCTTTTCTTTTCAAGACATCTGTGATTGATTTAAAGAAATACAAACATGCCAGAGCTGAATGATAATGAGGTGCAATGAGACCAGTCAACAGAGAATAGTCTGACTATGTGGGACTAATGAGACAGTAAAATAAAAACATGTTGATTCTATCATACATGTTTAAATCAGACTTTTTGCTCCCTTACTAACACACACCTACACACTTAGACTTACTTTGAATTGACTGAATCATTGTGCAGTTTTCTATATTTTAAGCTCACTAGAAAATGCAAATTGTAAAGCTGATTCTAAGAATGTGCAACAGTTGTATCTTTCTTGTATGCTTAAGTTTAGAAAGTCCAAACCAAGTTATAATATCTTATGTGACACAATGTTAAAATGCAAGTGACTAAAAGAAATGAAAGTGTTCGTGGGGCAGTTCAGTACCTCCAGTTTTTGGTGTGCGGTGGTCCCTCCTCCAGCCTCAGCAGAGCATAACGGGCGGCGCTGAGTGACAGACCTCGGATCCCATCCCCCCACTCCTTCTCGGCTCTGATACACACACACACATGGATACATGGAATATAAGGATCTACAGATATTTATAGTGTGATATGTACTGTATGTACTCCTCTGGCTGACACCCACAAAAAAAAAAAATCACATATGACTCACACTGGAAATAAACCAAACTAAAAATATGACACAGACACAATTACACACAGCACTCTTGACCATGCTGTACATGTACAAGCATGGGGAGGAAATACATCTCCATGGCAACATACCCGTGATACTCTATGTACTTGTAGATCATGCCGGCGATCACCATGGCAACGATTGCGTAGTACCAAGAGGATATGAACATGAGCGCCAAGCAAATAGTCATTCCCAAAAATGACAAGGTCCTAGACAGACAAGCACCAGAGGTACACATCAGTGTGTGCTTACATGTGTGCATTTGTGTGTGAATGTGTGTGTGTTTGGTGTTACCAGTGGTAATAGGAAAAGCGTGGCCTCCAGTTAGGCGTCCTCAGGAGGGTCTGGAGAGCACAGGCCAGGTTCACAAACAGGTAGCACATCAGGAAGAACCTACACAAAGACAGGGGATTAAAAGTGAAGCCCCTAAAGCAGTTGGGAGTGTGATCAACTCTACACACAGACACACAAAGACAAACAGCTGTGTCTCACATTGTTAGGATGGGAGCCACCAGGTCCAGAGAGGCGATGAGAATCCCCAGCTCGGCTATCAGAGCCGTCAGCAGCAGGGCCCAGGTGGGTTCCCCATTAGCTTTCCCATGGCCAAACACCTGGCAGAGACGCACACGAGTGGAACAAGAGTGAAAATAAATACAGACGCACCAAGTAAATCATACGAAGCTTAAGGAGGAGTTTAACAAACACTGAACACATATTTTTTCTGCGTCTATTTGTAGCTCAAACTCACATTAGGCCTTTCTCTGCTCAGATTCAAACATTTACAAGCTTCCAGAATTTCTGTAGTAAGCTGCTGTATTGTTAAGGTGATTTTTACAGGTTCTGATCCAACATGGGTAACACAAAGCATTATTTTGATCAGACAGTTTAGGTGTCACTTGCTGAGGTTGAAAGAATTTTGCTGTAGTTCGCAAATGTAGAACAGAACCAAACAGCCAGCTTTAAATCCTGAAATTCCAAAGGTAAAAATATCTGCCAATTGTTATAATTGTTATTAGACAGCAAGTGTGAGGAAATGGCAGCTTCAAAACTGCAAATCAAATGCAAAAGCTCCAATGCTAAAGCCTGAATTACAGAAAATTCAGCATCTACACATTTCAACAAATTACACTGAAGCTATTTGAGCAAATGGATCCTACTGGGGGTCAGAGGAAACAGGCACATTGTAGACAGATAGACGATAAGCACAGCCTTTACATTTTTCCAGTATTTGTGAGCATTGTACATCATGTTGTGTATAACATCAGATGGTGTGATTGGGCGTTTCCACAACAGCAGTGAGGAAATTGCAAAACACTTGTGCTGAACATCATTTGTGCACTTTGCTTTGGTGTCATCGAGTATCAGAATATCAGATGATGCTTCAGTATACAAGTGCAAAGAACTCTCACGATCCTCAAAGATCTTGTAAATACGTACAAGGCAGAACATATGAAGCATCTCATTTTTAAAATGTAACATTAGGTTAATCCTGAACAGAAGAAGCCGCTGCAGCCCACAGAAAGCAGGAAAGAGAAGTGTGACACTTCCTCAGTGCTTGTTCCCTATTTTAGCAGAGATTTCTGGGTTCTTGTAATTAAAATATTTGTAGCTCTAACCCGGAGGAAGGGGATGATGTTGTCCTTGGCAATGGCCTGCAAGAGTCGGGGCGCGCCGGTCAGCGATTGGAGGCCTGCGCCGCATGTTGAGAAGAAAGAGCCGATCACAATGACCCAGGGGGAGGGCCAAGCCAGAGTTCCCACTACCAGGTTGCCTTTAACAGAATCTCCAAACCTGCAGAAGCAATAAAATACAATGCATTTTAGCTTTTAGAGAAGAGCTGTTTTAAATGAAATCATACAATATCAATAGTCTCTTTCACCCTCACACACAACAGAAGACATGTACATAGAGCCAGACACATGAGAGGATGTACTGACTTGTCTCTGAGGACCACGCCGTCGATGCAGGCGCCAAACAGCACAACACTGCTCAGGTCTGGATGGACAACACTCAGGAAAACAACGCTTTGATCAAATGTATCCAAAACGCTCTTAGTGTCGTAGAATAAGCAAAAAGTCAAATTATGCTGAGGACAATAAGGGAAGCAGACTGTTTCATTATAAGACTGAGAAAAAAATGCTAAAATAATACTAATTATCTTCAAATATTAAGATCTGACAGTTATTTCATTCCAAAACAGTATTTGGGCTCAACATGTAGTCATTGAGGTGCCAAAGAAGGCTGGACGTTGGTTTATCATTTACTGAACACAAATGATCTGGTTTTGTAAGCAGAGTTCTTGGAAATTCAATCATAAAACATCATGAAAGGATACAGACGATAGAGGTGGTGAGGATGGCAAGGATGGTTCCAATCGGGATGGAGCGCTGAGCGTCTTTTAAATCCCCTGATCGGTTGGAACCAGCCATGATTCCTGTGGAAGACAAAAAATAAGTCGAGGTTGTTAATATTATTAAAATGACCAGCAGTATAACTTATTAATGGCAGTGTGCATGCTGAGCAGCTTTAAAATACCAACTTTTTTAGTATTTAGGAAACTCTTCATGTTAGACTGAATCACTTTTCAAAAGAAACATCAAAAGGCTGAGTGTGGAAATATTCTTCAAAACATGGACGAGAATCCATACATTTTGAAGTATTTGTTTTACAGGATATGATGTACTTGGTCCTGAATCAACACATGTCCCATGAGCAAGAATCAATATCACACCTACTGTGTTTCTTTTCTCAGAAGCACATGTGTACATGTCTTGTATGCCTTTATCTGTGAGTTACCTGTTAACATAGTGGGTTTAGTGTGTGGGGGGAGAAAAGAAAAGAAACAAACATCTCTGTACCTGTGACCGAGGGGAAGAAGATGCCCACGAGAAGTGTGAAGGAGGTGGTGATGTCAGCGAACACATACGGCTGCTGAGTGGATGCCGGATGGGAAACGTGAGAGGAGCTGAGGGAGCCTTTCTCCACTACATCCCCTTTGCTGAGGTAGGAGCTCCACAGGTTCTCTATGAGGAGATTCAAAAAGTGCTTTGTGTTTGCGAGATCATGTATTTATCTGCTGGCTATGATCTTCTGGAGGGTCACTGATGGGCTGGAGCATATCACACTGGACAGGACATGTAGCCAGTAAAACACAGGACTGACACAGAGACAGACAGACAACGAACCACACATATGCATTGACCAGATCTAAAGATGAGTGACATGGCTGACTGTCTAATGCTGCGTCTCATATACCTCAAAGTAGAAAGTCAAACCTCAAAACAATTTTCAACCGCCATGTGTTTGATGTACAAAGTTTTCTTGTGTTGAGCAGCAAACGCTCTCTAATGTTTGACATTTAGACATCGATGCTGAATGAAGCCTAGTTGCCAAAACACTTAGTTGCTACACCTGTCACTCAAAGCAGCCACACCCTTAGGTACGTGTGACTTTAAGCCTAAAAACAACTTAAATATGGGTGAACTATATGAATATCCACCCTCATGCAGTTGCCATGAACAGAGAAATTAGCTAAAGAGAGCAGAACAGGTTTTTGAACCAGGCTGTTGTCATGTTTATGTCTGCTGTAAAGTCGAACAAGTGGTTCTGTGGGGACTGATGTGCTTTTACAATCAAGAACCATTTCAACTAGTTTTTGGTTGCAGCTTACGTAGACAGACATTGTCGAGTCGAAAATTTACCACAGCAGCCAGAGAAAGCATTCAAAGTGCATTCAGCCTGATGACAGGTTTGAAACTTGAGCCTTTGAGGCAACATTACAAACCACTGTGCTGCAGATGATGTATTAATTTACTTGAAATTCATGTACTCATAACCTTGTGACTACATTTACCATTTGGTCTGTATGCCAGTAAGCTCTCCAAATAGAAGCATCGACGTTGTTGTTGTCAGTTTCCTCTGTTGTTTGATGACTTTAATATATTACTGATGGTTCAACTTCAATTTAAAATGAAAGTAAAAAAAAAATCTCTTTACTACTAAAAATCCTTTCAGCTTTGCTTTTTCTTTTAGTTTTAATGATTAAACGAAAGAGTGTGACATTTTGTAAAATGTGCACTTTGTGAAAAGGTAGACGATCTCATGCCTGTCCACTAATCACGATGTTACAGCCATCACCCAATCAGTTTAGTGACAGTGAGTTCCTGGAGTCTCCTAGAACCTCCATGAGTCCTCCAGGATGTCAGCGCTCCGAGCACACAAACACCTGCACTCTTTACCTGAAATGATCCCACTGGCCAGACCGGGGATCCCTGAAATCTCTGAAAAGTTGTTGGCATTGAAGTATTCATCACAGGAGGCGTTGAGTTCTTGGCCCTGGCAAAAATGCTTCCAAAGATACGACGTCTTCTCCACCACAGCAGGGGTAAGTGTGGGGAAAAAGGTGGGACCCACTGTGCTGTTTTCTGTTGGGAGGAAAAGAAGCGTGTCAAGAAAACTGAACGGGTCTAACTCAGAAGATGAATGTGCCTCCTACTCCTTATGATTCCTGATAGCAAGAAGCAAGTAAGATATATTAACATACCAAAAACAGTCGTGAAGTTAGTGTCTGGTGCCTCGGCTGTGTCTTTGATCTGCACCAGGACAGTTTTCCTACACTGGTTGTCGGCAACATCATGGCCGTTGATAGTTCTGTTTCCCAGCATGCACACGCTGCAGATAAAAGCCCATCAGTAGGTCAAAACTGTGAGAGCTACAGGATTGGTCACATATTTTTGGAAATGCGTAATCAACACTTACGGAAAATGTGGCTCTTTGAAAGCAGAGACCAGCGCTCCAATATATATGGAGACAATGGAGACGATGACACAGGCCAGGAAGATGGAGGCCAGTTTGTTCACGTACTTCACACCCACAAAGACCAGCAACGACATCAAGAGGAGACAGATGGTGCCGTAGACCCGCATGTTGTTCAACATGGCTGCCCCTTCACCTTCAAAAATGGCTGCCTTAGGTGCAATGTACATCTGGAGGAAGAAGGGAGACAAGTTAAAATGCAACACATTTGTAATCAGAAGTTCGTTTAGACATGGCATATGAAACATGAACTCTTTTACATTCATGTTTATTTTGACTTCATTTTGACATATCCACGACACCGTGACTCTCCGTGTGACAGCACATCTGTCTAATATGATGAGAAGTACAGCGTGACTGGATGTTAGATCCTGATCGACTCAGTCTCCACATCGGGGATAATTTAGAATTCTAAAGTAATGAATTAAGTTATTGCTGTTGTGTGACGTGCACAAATGCAAACAACTTTCTCACTTTAAAGAGAGTCACATGGATCCTGCTGTTGCCTGATGCTGCAGATATTTAAAAAAATAAATTAAAAGAAGGACTTCTATAAATAGCTAGAAGCGACAAACTAAATTTCAGCTTCTCTAAGTCCAATCAGACAGCACAGTTTCTGCTGTCATCCTGGTAATGTATTATCTTTATGGACATTGTAATAGATTTGAGAATGTAAGATCTAAGTGAAAGAGGAAAGTGTTTTGTGATTTGTGACTTTTGCTCTGTGAGAAGTTTGCAGACCAATGTTGGTGCTAAAATGAGAAAAAAAAGCCTTTTCCAAATCAACTCCCACAAGTGGAAGTATGCTGCCTTTGAGTGGCAATCTGTTAATGTGACTGCATGTAGTTCAGACTCGTGCCGTTTTGAAAGTGATATGGAAAAGCTATTAGGTAGTAACTTTTATAGAAAAGTGACCAGGATGCTTCTTCAGACATGAAGCGGACACGTTCTGATGCAGAGTGCAAACTACAACAGAAAGGTCAACTGCAAAGATGACGACAGCAACAGAGTGAAAACTTACCAGAAGGATCTCGATGGCTCCCAGGATGTACATGGCTCCAGCGAAGGTGGTGCCCAAGTAGAAACACAGGCCCACTGCCCCCCCAAACTCAGGACCAAGAGAGCGGCTGATCATGAAGTAGGAGCCTCCCGCTGGAGAGGGGGAGGAAAGAAAGAGGGAGGAGGAGGGGAGAGAAAGGGGCGGAAGTTGTACAAAAGGGTTGGAAGAAGTGGAAATGCAAAGGAAGAGAGAGGGAAATAGAAAAGTTGGATGGTAGAAGAAGAAGCAAAGATAGATTGTAAAAGGAGAAAGACAGAGATGATGGAAAGACAGCAGGTGGGACACAAAGAGAGACAGAGAGAGAGAGAGAGAGAGAGAGAGAGAGAGAGAGAGAGAGAGAGAGGGATGGATGGTTAGTAACATTATGATGTTGGGAGGTAAAGGGAGAGAAAAAGAGGACAGCCGATGAGAGAAGTCATCCTATGCTTGTAGAAGTAAGCATAATGTTCTACATGAAACATTGGAGTGAGAAGATAGAGCAGATTTTTGGTCAAATAGTATCTGCAAATGACACACGACAACTGTTTGTTGCCTCACTCGAAGTACTGGATTAGAGTCAGACCTGAGAGCGTTGTCCTTCTTTTGTTCATTCTTAAAACTCAGACACAAAAAGACTTCTACACAAAACTCAGTCTGAATAGTGCTGAACCTTGTGGTATGTATAGCACTGCTCTTAAACCAGGAGTGTTCAGTGTGGGTGTCAGGACGCTCTGGGGGAGTCAAAGACATTAAATGAAATGTCAAAACTACTAAAAACAGCACATTGTAGCAACAACTGTTTAAAAAAAGAAAAAGAAAGAAATAATTGTTTTATTTCCCCAGTGAGGTATCAATAAAGTTTATCTTATCTTACTTGAGTCATGTAGATTACTTTCACTGATATATTCTGCTACTAGCCGCTATTAAATTATCATAAAAGAATATTATGGTTATTAGGCTGTGGTGTTGTCATTATGCCGGTCGGTGTTTGGCTCAATTAGTGCAAATGCTTGGCTACACATAACATTTGCATGTTTCCACCACCTCCGGGGGGGTGTCACCAGTCTTTGGTACCATTATTTTGGAGTTTGGGGGCTTAAAACTTTTGAAACCACTGTCCTACACAGCTCTGGCACTCCAAGTGAGCTAACACAAGCAACACTCTTAATTTGCTGATACAATTTGAACCAGTTATACAACAGAACATGGAAGAATGTTACATACAAAGAGCAACTATCAATCTTCTGACTGGAAGCTGAGAATTCAGTGTTTGGTTTCCAAAATGCAACCCTTTAAATTACAAAAATTCATGTTAAAAAAAAGGGCATAAGAATGTCATGTTGTAAATTCAAACTTATATAATGTGTAAACTGAATGAATGCCGCCATCCTAAGTCAGCTGCTGAGAAGTTCTTGAGCAAGGACGCAAGCTACAAAAACGGACTTTCTGCAAACATTAGAAAGAAAACAGACTAACTAGAAAACCTCAGTGCTGAGCTGTATTTAAGAATCCAAACACTTTTTGTATTACTTCTTCACATTACCCACAGTAAACTACACACGTACAATATAAACTACCATCTGAGACGAGATGGTGAGAAAGCGTGAGAGCTCGAAGCTGTTCAAGTGAGAAAGAGAGAGCATGGAATGAAATGTCTGATGCCAAACAAGACATGTTAGACATTAATTCTCTATGTTACCAAGCGTTTTCATTCTACGTTTAATCATCGAAATGTCACATGCTAGTGAGAAAGAAAAAAAAAAACACTACTTTGACATTTGGGATATTCGTCTAGAGGCATTTTGGTGAAAGATAAAGTCAATGGCAGATAAATATCCTGGGTTTTTAATGTATGTACAGACAGAGAGGGAGAGGCAGACAGAGGGAGAGACAGGACAAACAGAAATAACACTAGTTAGATAAACATATGTACTACATCAGTACCGCTATAGCTGGAAGATGAGAAGGAAAACTAGGGGAAGGCAGCCTGCAAAATTCAACTGAACATCTACAGAGGTAACGGTGGTAAAAGAGTGGATCATCTTGGAAATCAGCTTCAGATTAGCAGTCACATACTGAAATCTACATAGTGGCTGACACACTTTTTATCATGGGGATGAATATTTGCTCCACGAGATGTGATCAAAAAGTTTCAAGTCTGTTCCTGCAAAAATCTAGAAGTCTACTTAATATAATTCTGGTTGCCATCGCTGTCAAAGCAGTTCCCTTGAGCAGCAAAACACTGCTCCCAGCTTCATTATATACATCAACACATCAAGCACCATCTGCCGCAGGTGGTTTATCTTCTAAACTTAGTTAAAACACCAGCCCTTTAAACTGAATTTCATTCTGTGGAAAAAGATCGTGATTATGTTGCTCTGGTCAAAAAACTTGTTCAAAATCACTGCACTCCAACCCTTGGGTACAAATTCCCAGTGTACAATCACCTGAGTGTTCCTGTTGCTCCTCACCAGGTGTGTCTTGTCTGGTTTTAGAGACTGTAGGCGCTTAAACTGTGAAAACTGACACTTTTTCTCTTGTTAGTAGCCGTGAACCCACCTGTCTTTATCATTTATGATCCTCCACATGAGGGTTGGTTCATTCCAGCTGTTGACTAACACAGAATGTGATGGGTTCTTCTCTGCTCCATGTGATCCATGAGGAAATCACAAAAGTGCATTGAGCGGTAGCTTCACACAGGCCCCACTATTGATAACGCAGTGTAATCTGGTCTCCTGACTTGTGACATGCTGCTCACTTGTGACCGTGACAGACTTCATGCTCTCAGATTTGAAACTTTCTGATCACACCTTGTATCTGCATGTCCTCACCTCTGTATGAACTGGTTGTTTTACTGCAATATCGCTGTTGAACCATCATGTGCTGGTGTCAGAGATACAAAACAATGCGCCAAGGCCTGCACCATTCACTCCACATGTATGGAATAAAATGAAAAGGAACGATGGAGAGGTGAAGGAATACCTGGAACAACTCCATTAGTGGCGATTGCGCTCATTGATATCGCAGTCAGCAACGTCTGTGGAGGACAGACAGTCACACAAACATGTTTAAATATTTTACAGAGCTTTACATCCTCATGCCTGTTCATCAACACTAATATACTCACACAGCAACAGCAGATAAAGACAATGGAGAGGGCCTGCAGGATCCCAGCAGTTCCCACCACCCAGGTCAACCGCAGGAACAAGATGACACCGAAGATGTTCTGCAGACAAGGCAGGTAAACGCCCATGAACGTCCCCATCTGCGGCGACTGGAGGCAGACAGAGCACATGGAGGGGACAACAGTTAGGCACAAACAATCTAAACATAGCACACAATGTTATTACTTTTTAATCCTCCATTTTCAAGTTCTTTCTAGGTGTATTTCACCTTTATTTTCCATGTAAACAAAGAGAAACATAGGACATGTGCACACACTTCAGCAGTGGTACCAGAGTTTTTCCTGGCTTAGAATGGGCCTCTGGGGGCGGGACGACACATGACAGTAAGTATGACCAGACCATATACATTAAAGGTATTCAGTTTGTATTACCTGTTTTTTGTTTGTTTGATTGATTGTTTTTTTTTTTTACAGAAATCGTTGCACTTTTATGTTTTCTGACTATTTGCCATAAAAAAAGGTCTGTTATGCCGCAGATGTTATATTAAGTAAATTAATAACATTTATTCTCAATTCTCACCAACCTCCACACAGGAACAACTCTGGGACTCCAGGCTTTATTGTCTGATATAATCCCTTCATTTGAAATGAATTCAAGCTGAATATTAATTTATACTGACTTATAGAAAAGTGAATATTGTTACAACATTTTTCATGTTGCTGAACGAACACACTTTTGAATTAAAAAAACTATTGAATTTCCCTTCTGGGATAAATAAAGTATTTTTCATTTCAAACTGAACTTTGCATTAGTGTCACTGGCGCCAGCTGAATGTTTCAAATGCATTACTTTCCATCTACTATGTTGAAACTGTATAAAAAATTACCTGCAGCTACCAATTTCAACTAATTTTTCACTATAATAAGCTAAAATTTGAACTAAATTACATGTTAGCTGATATTTTGCCATTACAATTGGCCAACTATTTTAACTGTTTCTAAATGACTTCAAAGCTAACCCTTTCAATCATGTATCCATTATGCTTGCTTACGTTCAAGCACTCTTAATTTGCAGTGTGATGTGTTGAGGTGTCAGAACTGACTCAGATTGGTGGGAGGGGTGTAATGTGCTGTCAGCGTAGTGTAGCTGGTAGTTCCCCTGTAAAATGAATGAAGATCAGCACTTCACTGACTTCTAACAGTATGTAACCGTTTTCTTCCTGTTGAAATACTTTTTAAGACATTTCTTTGAAAAGACTGAAAGGGTTCTGAATAATACAACACAGAACCTGAATCTGGAGGTGAGGTGTTGCCATCAGGGTGCCAAAGTGTAAACTGAGGTGGTAATTTAATTCATCCCACCTGGCACCGAGATATTATATGGCAACAAGTAAAACAACAAAGTAATTTCACTAAGTTTTCAACACTGTGCTTTAAATATTTATTATCAGATCTGACTGCATTTGCTTTAATGATGGCCTGTTCTACTGCTAGCCGATTATAACCAGTTTTTATTCACTGAAACTGTGATTTTTCTTCTTTTGTATGAATTCTTGTATTGACAACAAATGCTGACACGAGTGCTGTGTGATGCAGTGGCTTCAATCCCAAGACACGTTTCCCTGTGAGACAATAACGTACACATCTGTCTAAAATATATATTTGTAATTAGGTCAGCTACAGCATAGGCTTTCCAGGTACTTCCTGAAAATCCTTCCACTACACCACCCCAGTGCACCAGACTTATGTTAATGCTTACACTGAACATACTGTGGGGCCAGAAGGCAAGATCAAAAATATTTTGGTTTAACTTTCCAACCCGTCTGTTGGCAAATGCGTCGCAGCAATCCAGCAAACGCACAATCAGAACAGGGTGGGAATGGTTAATTACCCACAACAGACTGTCTTATCTGAGCCAGTCAGCACCTTATCAGCAGGGATTGCAGTGCACATCAGGGTCACATCCTGATGTACTTTCAGTTCAGACACCGAGTCAAGACGCACGCACAAGATATCATTTGTGACTCATTGACCAAGCAGATGGATGATGAGCACAAGTGCTAATTTTTCAGAGATTTTCCTAATTTCTTTCCTTTGTATTCCTTTATATTATTTCAGGCGGGGCATTTAAACAGCAAACCATCAAAAAGTCACTTAAAGATGTGTCCTACTTGCTTACTTTCTTATAATTGGGTTCATATACACACAGTGTAATCAAATGTTTTTTTGTTTTTTAGGGACACTCTGGGTGCACTTGTGTGTGTTGTGTGTTTTGCTGTGCTTTTACTCTCATAATTGTGTTTTTACTGCAAACCAGATTAAAGTTATTCTAAGCACACGGTCTTGTATACCTTGCTGGCTTTCTTCTTCTCACCGATGCTCTCGGCCTCCTCATGCTCCTTGGCGCCCTGCGTCAGGTTGGTGTAGTTGGCCAGACGACTAAGAAGAGATGACACCTTTGGTCGAGTGTCCATCTCCTCCTGTGGGTTGAAGAAGACGAGAGGAGAGGGGAATGAAGGATGGTAGAGGGAGATGGCAAAAGGTGAGAGAGAGGGTAGAAACAGATGAAAAATGGAGATGGACAGTAGGGGCAGAGCAGAGGGAAGGAGTGAGATAGTCAGGGGGTAAAGAAAGGGCAAAGAGATGAAGAGAGAGAAGGAAGAGCAGAAAGAAGACAAAGAGCAGAACAGGGTATAGAAATGTCAGGGAGGCAGGAAAGGAATCAAGAACAGAGAGCAAGTGGGTGCAGAAGATAAAAGATGTGAACAGAAGAAATGAAGGGCAACAGAAAGGAGATAAAACAACAGGAAATTGAGGAGACAAAGAGGCCTATTGAACGGCTCAATAAAGAAGTGGGAGAGAAAAGGCTTCTTTTTTTTTCTTTTCAGGGAATTTAGCAATCTATAAAAACTGAAATTATCTCCACCCACCAGCCAAATGCTGGTTATTTTTGGCTCCAGTTTGGCAGACAAACTGGTAAATAGCCGAACACCACTTGGAGCTTTTTCATATTTTTATCCATGTCAAACATGATTTTTAGGAAAGCAGCAAATACTGTCACAAGAAAAAGCAAAGTATGCAGAATACGGTTAAAATGTGTTTGTGTAAGATGAAGTTTGAGCAACACTGTGCTTCGAACCTCAAATAAGGCCAAGTTTCTGTCATAGAAGTCATCGTCGTCCACCCCATGAGTGTTGTTGATGTACACGCTGGAGATTTTGGAGTTTCCATCACCTAGACAGAGAACAAAAGAGATCATAAACAAGAAAGGAAGAAATACAGAAATACAGAGAGAAGAAGAGAAGGAAAGAATGACTCTGCAGGAAACTATCTTTAATGCGACTGGACACACTGTTGACCACTTCCATCACCGTCACCATGACTTGGTGGGGTCGAGTTGCACCCAGATTCATTTCAACTTTGTCTCCTATAGATACGCACGCACAGTTTGATGCAGCAGCCACCATGTCACCAGTTCAGTTACGCCTCAGTCAGCACAGACCGCTGCATCGGCAGCACCTGAGTCAGCAACATCACTTCCCTCCTGCTCCGCCACACTCACGCTACTGGCAGCAAGCAGCCGTGCACACAGTTACACTTCATAGAAGGACACTCGGACAGGACTTGAGACTGACAGCAAAAAAAGGAATGAAGAAAAATGAGGCAATGTGCTGGCTCGGTTGACTTGTGCACTAACTTATTGTGTGATGTGTGACGGACTCGTTGTTATCCTTCTTTTCTCTTTCATGTCAGCTTGTTCATTAAATGTACTGATGTAGAAAACATAATGCTTCTCTATCACGTAACTGTACTGGGTCACCACATGAGTGATTGATGATGAGATGAGAAACCCTAATTCCGGCTTTCATTTTTTTCTTTTTTTAAATACTGAATGCTTTCACCTCCTCAGGTCTTTAAATTGGCAGAACAGCACACAACTTGTCTTCATAATCCGTGACGAGAGGGTGCAGATATACCTCGATTCAATTTCATCCAGGAATGCTGAGAACATCTGCTTTGCACTGTAACCATGAATGAATACTTTACAGTCCAGGCAGAAGACTGCATGACCCACCAACTGGTGAATCCCAAACTGCATCAGCAGCTTTCACCATCTTACCAGCAAAGTCCATTTTTAGAACAGAGCATCAGCTGGTTACATGCTGAGAAAAAAAAAAATCAATAGCCATAAAAGAGAAAAAAAAAAACAGCATTTGGCTGGTGGGTGGTGACTTCCCATCCTGTTCTCAGGCTTTCATTTGGCCAAAGATAGTGAGTGTGAAACTGACTCCACACCAGCAGAAACAACTTGCTGGTTAATATTCAGTGGTTGAAGCATGCTGGTGTTGTGGGGGGAAAAAGAACTAGCAACCTAATCAGGCCATTTCTTCAAATATCCAGAATGGTTCTTAATTCACAGCGTATTTACTATAAACCTGCCGTCTACACTTGCAATACTTCTGATTTTAAATAGTTTTTACAGTGATTTTTGCATCAAATAAAAAAATGTGTTTAGCATAAAACCAGACACATATCAGCAAAGCATGCACACGCTCAGACCTGAGATTTCCCTGACGTCATGTTTAACACCAACCTGCTGATCAGGACAATCAAGATTCACATGCTTCTGCTCAGTCTGGCTGACATGACTGCTGCCTGATATCATCACATCCACCTGACACTGGAGTCACAACAGGACTTCATTCGTTGTTTACAGGAGAGCAGTTGTCAATTAATTTGTTTCCTGATACTGTATTACAACTTTTTAACTGTTTGACATTTTATAGATTAAACAGGAAATCAGCTGGCAAAATAATTTATAATGAAAATATTTAGTTAGCGTCCCTCGTCTTAAGTCAGTTTTAAAATAAGTTTATAAATTTTAAGGATCCAACATCTCGACTGTGAATATTTTTTTCTGATCTTGTACTTTGAGAAGATCTAACAGACATTTTTCACTATTTTTTGGCATTCTGTTATAAACTATGTCATTCTGTGCTTGTAGTTCATTTACAGATTTTTTCATAACTATGACTACTTGTTGCTTCTATAAAATACAACGCAGCATAACTGTTGTCTTCCTTGTCCAGTCTGTGTCACTTGAGCCCGTCTGCAGAGTGACAGCCCCACCCTAAGCTCTGATATCAGCCAACATGAGTCTTGTGTTTAATGTCCGAGACCCATCATCTGTGATGGGAAAACATTAGATTTCCACACAGACAGACAAAAATATGCATCTGGCTAATAGTTCAGTTACAAAATCCAGGGTGTCTCCTGCTGCTGAGAGGTCAGTCAGCTGAACATGGTTTCTTTTAATTAAACATATGTAAAAATAGAAATAAACAAATCCATTTCAAAGAAGTTTTGTAATAGAGTTTCTGTTGTTGTAAATTTTTACTCCAATTTTTTTTTATGTTACTGCAAATACATTTCAATTCCAAATATCAGCCTCCATGACTACTAATAATCAGTATTCGAGTCAGTCAGCTGATAAAATGTGACTTGACTCAGGGACTTTAACTGAAAACTCAAAATAAGTTTTGATTATTTAAATCGGCCAGAGACATTCCAAAGAGCAGACTCACTACTTTATGAATCATGACAAGAAATCTATGGGATTAATCCATAAGTGCAAAGCTGGTGCTTGTGTGACACAAGTCCATGTTCTATTTTTTAGTCAGAAATAAACTTTTACAGCAGTTTTTATCAGATTTTGCTAGTTGTTCTATATTGTGTCTCAGTGACTGTTGAAACGGAGGTTATGGTTGTGTTCCTATTCATTTAGATAGGAGCCTGGTGTTGTTAGGCCAAACTAACTTTCCACATTGCTGCCAAGTAGCAAGATTTGCTTATAAGAACTTTGTTTTGGCCTAAAAAAATCTACTGGTTGAGTTATAGATACAAGCATGCTCCTCTGCAAATGTCAGAATTTAGAAATAAAGTTTGCCAATATATCAGTAAAAATACCATCTGATCCTTTAAACTTCCAAACATCGTTACTGGTGCTAACCACAAAAATCAGCTCTCAGTTAGGAAACAATCCCAACTGAAAACTGTTCAGAAAAACCAGTGAGGGACTACTGCTGTCCTCTCAGTGCCTCAGCTGTTGAGCTGCAGCGTTTACACCCAGCTCAACACAAGGAAACACAGCTGTTCCCCAAGAGGAGTCCTCCACCTGAGATTTCCACACCTGAGTATGATGCCTTTTTGTGCGTGTGAGCAACCAGTGAAGCAGAAAGTTGCTGCAGCCAGATGCATCCGACTGTGGACTGTATGCACATCAACTTCAGTAGCTAACTTTATTGGTGTCAGAAATAATGGATCGTGGAGCATTTGACCTTTCTGAAAATAACTCCACTCTTCCTGCCTCCTTTCCTCTTCATCGCCTTTCAGGACTTTGATTCATTCACTTCAACAACAGCATTTTTCTTATCAGCATGCTGCTTTTCTATTTCATCCGAGACAACTGCTCTGCTATTTCTGCTTCTTTTTCCTTTTTTTCTTTTTAGAGTGGGCGAGACACAGAGAGATGGACGGAGAAGCCGTGCAGCCTTTGTTTCTCTGTCTCAACAACCACTGCATCACAACAACCTGATCGAAACTCAATCGGATTAACTGGCTCGATTTCTATTTATGGAAGCTTATTAAAGGAGGTGGGGCATCCTTACTACTGCAGCTGCTTAAGTGGATCAGTGTGGCTAATACAGTTACATCTCTCCACAGTTATAACCCCCTGTTGAGCCTGTGAATCAGCACAGCTATTCTTAAACACTTTAGGAGAGTGGATTATTGCACACAATATGACAACCGCACAGTCAAATTAGTCAGAGGAAAACTATTTACTATTTTCCTCATTTAATTATCTGGACTCCCACACATTCTCATGTCAAACTGCACTCGCCAGATGTAAAGCTTTACCTGTTAAACTGAGTCAACATGAGACGCTTTCTGCTCTGAGCTACCATTAAGTAAAAAGTGAATCACTGAATCTATCCTGTAGGTGGGCTGAAAACAGCAGTGGAGGAAGTGGAACCTACACTGTGATCACAGCAGATGACAGCACCCCTAGAGTTCTGTCACGTCTGCTAACCACAGTAACGGAAAAGCTGAACTGTTGCTCTGCTGCTGCGCAACTGAAAACCTAGACACCAAATGGAGAGCTTAATAACCCCGAGAGCCATAAAACACTTAAAAACTAGAGTTTGAAACTTGAGATATGCAGAAGGATCATTCTAAAAATGTTTTGCTTCCCATAAAAGCAGCATTTTGGACAAAGAGCAGTTTAAAACTTCACAAGCCTGAATATTTTTCTTGTTCAATGGGAACCTCTCTGACTGGTTCCTTCCTGGGAATTGGTTGCACAGGAAACCAGCATCAGTTTGTGCTGCTGGACTATCTTCATGCAGTCAAACGAATGCAAACAGGCAAACCTAAGGGTATGATAATACACTTAACTGATCACAGAATCATGAGTCAGCATAGCTAGTGTGTCACCTGTACTTGAACACAGCATCGATAACTAATTTCACAGGATTGGTGTAAATTCCTGCATTAAAACTGTAACTAATATGTGATACTAAATTGTGTTTAAACAAAAATGTGGTGTCTAATGCAATGCTTGGACGACACAATATGCGTGTTTGCTGAGGTGCTCACTGTGTCAGATTAAGCAATTACAGATTCAAAATTCTGGCTGTGAGACATACAGACTGGCACGCTACACAAAGGTCCCTGACCAATCACAGCTTGCCGTCTTTCATGGCATAAGCAAGACGTGTTCACATACTATAAGCTCCAAATGCCACACAAACCCAGACATTGTGTAACAGAGTCAGGAAACAGCACAGTAAATGCCCATGTTCACTGTAGCCCTTCTGTGATATTTTAATGACAAAAAAAGAGACTCAACGACGTGGATGAACATAGAGTCAGGTGACAAATTAAAGGCTGGAACCATGACCCCCACAGAGAGGGGTCTGGTGGATCTATTACGCTATGGATTTGCATCGATGCATTTTGTTTGTTTGGTTTGGGTCCACAAGTCCCTTTAGAGTAAAAGGTCTCTACAAATCAGCACAGAGTTGTTTTGAGTGATCACCGTTATCATATAATGGACTCTGACGGGAGTCGTCCCTACGACGGGGCATGAAGGGTCCCATAATGGTTTGATGAAAATGATGTCAATCAGGCCTTGGCCCTGTGGCCTTCACAGGCACTAGAGCTCAACCCAAATGAATGGGAGACTTCAGACCGACGTGTTTGACAGTGCTCTCCATCACCATCGTTAAAGCCCAGATGAGGGAATATTTTTAGGAAAATCTTGTTCATCCCTCCAATCAAGTTCTATAGACTTGGAGAATTAATGTCACGGCACACAGACAATGTTTTGGTGGCAGGAGGGGGCCAAACAACTTAATAAAACACTTTTCATATTTTTTTTAATTTGTCACCCATCTGTAGCTTCACACACAAAAAAGAAAAAAACACAGATGCTTGTATCATTTAACCAATTTGATTCCAGCAAAGCAATCAAAAACTAACACATAATGCATCTCTCTTTCCTGATCAATATGGAGCATAAATACTTCTGTATACATTGAGGCTCAAATAACATACTTTTCAAAATACACTCCGCATTAAACAACCTGTATTTACTACATTTAGAGGGTGTCATATTTCTTATCATGCCAATTCAAATTGTTGAGTCTGACTTTAACCAAAAACATAAAAGTTATCTCAATGATCGTGCACGTTCATTAGCAATGTTTTAAACTGTAGAAACTCATGTCACTGCTTTGATTCAGCTCCTTTATCTGAGACGCTGTACACAATGTCTTGTTTTAGGCAGAAATCTCAAAAATTTCTGCCAAATTTTTATGGCAATGTGACTCTCTGACCATTACAGGACTCAAAGGATTGAACCCAAATCCAACAGCATTCTCTTGTTGCAGTTTTTGGGACATTTTCTCACAAATGCCGTAGCTTTTTCTTCAAACTGAAGCCGAAATGCCAAGGCAAACAAAGTAAATCTGTAAAGAGGTGAGGTAAGGTGCGGTATTACATGTCTTTTCTCCCGGAGGACAGGCTGATTGTCATGTCTCAAACACAGGGATTAAGTGGTGGATTCACTCTCTGTTGCAATGTAAGTACTAGGATTAGATACAAGCCAGCACCAGGACAGGTGTGTGATCTGCTGGTAGGAACCAGGCAGTTCTTCGGTTAACCATGAAATGTTTAAACATGCTTTGGGAGGCCTGTTGTAAACATGCTGTCACCGCAGTAACAACACACTACGTCTGTGTGGATGTGTGTGTTCCTCACCTTGTTCTATGCTGCTGTGCTCCGGCGTGTCAGCCCCTCCTCCTGCTGCTGTAGCGGCCGTCGTCCCGCCTCCCGACGTCTCGCTGAGCGGGTCACTCCGATTGACGCTCTCCCTGGAGCCGAAGCGCACACGGGCGCCTGAGCGGGAGCTGATGTCAGGCGATGTGTCGGTCAGGCCCGGGAGGTCCTCGGCCTTGGTGGGCGTCACGGTGAAGCGCACTGATGCCATGGCAACTCACTTAGGAAAGGTAGAGGTTGAGGGAAGGGGTACTGTTGGGATGCAGGAGAAGAGGGATGGGGTAGGACGAGTCACGGACTAGCTAGGAGGGCTGTGCTCACCTGAGCTGAACTAGGCTAGGCTATCTCCCAGTTGATGCTGAGGTAACGGCGGCCTCTACAATTAGTTCTTTTGCTGCTGCAGTTCTCCATTGAAGCAAGCTGTTTGTTTTGCACCAGGCATATGAAAGAAAAGGTACAACTGGCCTCTTTGTAAGCCAACAAGTGTCAAAAATCTTTCTGGATGACCACTATAATGTGTCAGTGTGTAGTATACCAGTTTCAACCAGCTATCAGTTATAAGTAGGCATACACAAAGAGTCGAGTATGTCACTTTTTACAATTTCAATCTAAATCTTTAGAGAGTATTTCTGTTCTGTACAGTTTCTTTCTACCTGTACTATGTCTAGATTGCTATGGTGCAGGACAGTAATCACAAAGTGTACTGAACTCGTCTTTTTGTCTTTTGTTTCTCAAACAAATAGAACTAAAATTGATCTGGCATGAATCTTGGAGATAAAAATGTCTATATACCAGTGTCACCCATCAGTAGTCACAGCCAGGGCAGAAGTGGTGGGACAGAAAGTCATCGGTGCAGTAAGGGATAAGGGAGAGGATGGGAGAAAAATATAAAGCAGAAATTTAATTTATATGCCAACAACTGTCCTCCATTTTTGTCAAAAGGAACACTGCATCCTAAAAAGTAAGTAAGCAACAGGTACTGTGATTTAAAATTTAAAAAATGAAAAACTGCTCAAATCTCCACACGTGTCTTCAACATTTAATTTGACTTTCTCCTTTTTAAGATCTAGCAGTTGGATATCTGAGTCAATCTGTGTCATGGGTTTATTCGTGAAGACAAGCAAGTTTAAGACAGCTTTACAGTCCTTTGTTAGACCATGAAACAAATTCATGCACAGAATAAAACCGAACAAGGAGCACTGTGACTCCAGCTTTGGCTTCGTTCTTTTTCACTCTGAGTCTACGTCTGTGCTTCTAAAATTAACAGACCTTTCCATAGAAAAAAAAGTCAAGAAAAAGCGGCTACACTGAATATTACAGTCTTACTGACTATGATGAAGTTTCACAAGTTAAACTCCAGGAAAACTATGTCTCATGAATCATCCTTCCACTACAACATGCCTGCTCCCTCAACCAGGGAGGTGTAAAACAGTAACCTGTTGTCTTATGTTACTTCTAAGTGCAAAGTCGACTGATTTACTCCCTCATTTCAGGGAACAAAAGTGACAAGACAGGTGGATGCAGCTGAATTGTTGTTTTAGCTTGGTTTAACATTCAATTATTAAAGGAGAGCGGTTCCAACCGGTTGGGCCAGTAGCTACTGGCTGTTTTCTCTCGCTCTGCATGCAGAGGCATGGTTCTTTTTTTTTTTTTTTTAGTCTTGCCTGCCTCGCAGTCTTTGTCTGTCCACATTTAGAGGTGGACAGGGAAGCGAAAGCGAGGCTGGGTAGAGGGGTTTCACAAAGATAAAGAGCCCTACGATACTTGTTTTTCATGTTTAACTTGAAAAGCATCTCCCTGGGAAGAGGGCGTGGGGTTATTTTCATAAACCTCCAGCTACACTGGGCTGACTCAGTAGGGAAGCATGGGCCCTCTATACACAATGCAGGCAAGAAAACCTGCGGGAGTTACTATTTGTCTAGACAAACACATTCCCACCTAGAGATAATGTGACAATCAGTCTTCATTATACCTCAACTGTATGTCTTTGGACCTACGAAACCAGAGGAAACTTGCAACCTTCTCCCAGCCAGCTCAGTTTGACATCTACATTGAACTGTACCATAGTCACACAAATGTAGTCATGTATCTTGATTCAGTTTGTTACCCATCACTGACACGGACATCACAGTTTGTCCTCTTGTGACACCGAGGCAGTGGTGTTTCCTTCAGCACAGCAGACATTTGCTCTAGCTTACATGCAGATTTAGTGACCATAAAAGCTTAACCACACTTATGGTCGAAGCACTAATATTAGCACGTGACAGGATGCAGACCATTTTGTTCTCCTTTCTGATAATTCAGCTCTGATTTTTGCCTTTTAGGTCACACATTCTGCATCTTGGGCAAATATTATCCACTTCAGCTGCACATATAGAACTACAATACTTAACTGATTAGTTGTAAACTATTACATGAATCGCCAACTATTATAATAATCAATGAATTGGTTCAAGTAATTAAAAATTAACAATAGAAATCCTCTGATTCCAGCTTCAGAAATGTGACTATTTTCTGGTTTGTTTTTCTCCTCTATGACAGTAAACTGAATATTTATGGGGGGAAAAAACAAGACATTTCTCATATGGGGCTTTGGGAAACACCAATCGACATTCCTCACAATTTTCTGACATTTTATAGATAAAAAATAAATCAATACAGAAAATATTTCAGAGATCAATTACAACAAAACTAAGGTTGCAGCCTTAGATACAAAGCTGTATCACAAGTGATTGCTTTGTAATGCGCTGCATGCCACAGAATCAATGATGGGTAATCCCAAATCACAGCAACTGATAAAGCATCACAAACAAATACACCCATTAATGACAGATCAATACCGTGTGATCTAATGTCACCTGGGTCTTACCCTATTATCTCTAGGCTGTTTTGACTCTATCTTGTAATAAAGGAATTATAACTGAGGTTCTAATTCTCTGATGTAAACGTGTCCGTTGAGAATGCAATTTTAATGGGTGTCAAATCATATTAAGCTCACATTTTTTTCAGCAGAGATATCAAAGAGGTATAACCACCTCTAATTTAAAACACCACATCAAAGAATTAAAACTGGTTCCCAGTTTATTGTTAAATCGTTATTATCCGTCTATGTTAGGGGGTTAATGCAGTATTAATCAGTGGGATTCAAGAACAGAGAAAAATCATTTTCAAATAACAAAAATGCTCTGATTAATCCCGACCATCAACTTATGAAGACCCGGTGGATGCTGATGATGCTCGCTCTGCTAACCACCACTCAGTTGCCATTCTAAGCCAATTAAGCTAGCCATAATAATTCTGGCTTGAACCGGTCAGTCAACGCCTCTCAATATTAATGTACAGTCAGAGCTGGCGTTATGATAAAATTATGTGCAGATGTGGTTTTAAACTTGACCTTCGATAACATTATTGTGACAAAAGCAATGCGGCATCTGTGTGAAGCTGCGGTTAAAACGTTACGTTTTCGAACCGGCTACAATGAGAAAGGCGCGCAGTTAATTTAGGATAAACTGGCGAAGTAATTAGCCTGCTATCGACAAAGTTGTGGTTGTCGTTAAAATTCGTCGTACTATAACAAAGAGCAGCATGTGAAGCACCGAGCCATCACTCGGGTAGCTATAGGGACAAGGGGGTGTAACGGCTGAGGTGGTCGCAGGCGGTCGCTGCAGTCGGTAACAGCTAGGCGAAGCTAGCGTTAGCCAGCGGCTAGCCACGCCGCCGATAAACTGTCAACTCCGCGGACCTCCAGCTATCTCACTGACAGCGACAAATGCCCACTGAAAATCCCAAACCGGACACATTAGTCACACGAAACGCATACCTGGCTCAAGTTTCCTATGAAGAACGTCTCCACCATATGGCTGTTTTCATGTACATCTGGGAAGATTTGGCTCGTCTCCCAGGTTTTCTCGGCACTTTTTGTCCAACCGACCCAACAAAAAATATGCGAGTGCGTCTGTCAGGTCCTATTTGTCTTGCCGTTGTTCCAACGGTAAGCGCATGCGTAGTAACAGAGGGGCAGTTACCATCATAAGGGAAATGTAGTCCATACAGTTAGTTTAATGCTTTTGAAAAGAAAAAATATTTCAGTTATTTCAAACTGATTTTTTATTTTATTTTTTTTTAATCTTAGATCAAATGATTTGTAAATGACACTTTAAACAGAAATATACAGTTACAAACAACAGTTACTTATTATTCTAGTAAATAAACTGAAATATAGTTTTACGCTTCCCACAATTGTACTCCACTACTTTTCAGAGTAACATATCACACGTTTTACTTCAGTTTATCTATTCCTTGATATGTTTAAATGTCTCCAGTCCACTGAAATAAAGTTTTTTCAAACTCACCTTGAGTGTTTGGATCCAAACATTTTTATGCCTTTGCCTTTTTAGAGATGGTGTCTTTCATTCACCTTCCTTTACATATATCCAACAGATTGTTTATTTTTAAATAAGATTGTACATATCAAAAACAGCATCATAACCTTAAAAAAATAATTTACTGTGTACGATGAGTCGTGCTTCACATGACTTTTGCCCTGTGACCCCATAAGGACTTGCAAGGACTTCCACAGGAGTTTAATTTTAAAAAACTGTCTGAGATCTAAAAAGGTAAAAGCCCACAAACTGAATGCAATTTTAGATCAGATAAATACAATTTTGTTTTGTTCCTTCCTCTTTCTTACCCTTTTAATACATTTAATGGCTGCAGTTTGTTGCTTCCCCAAAAGTCATGATTTAATACGGCATCTCTTGCTATACGAGGTGAGCTGGTTGTAAATAAATCAGTCATAAATCTGTCGTCTGTCTGTTTTTGTGTGTGAAGCTCAAATGGGGATGGATACCAAAACAGCATTGTCCTCTATGTTTATCCAAAATCTCCTATAGGTGATAGTAAAGCAAAAAGCATCTGATTTAAACCATTTTCTCTCAAACTAATCAGTGAGCCCTTCTATCCCCAATGAAAGTGTCTACATTTGATAAGTTTCACACTCTTTTATTCATTTTCTAGCCTGGATATTGTACCCAAAGGTACAACAAGTCAACAACAATCAACAAAACATCTATCTAGCATAAAAAAATTATAACAATACCCTCAAACAAATGTGAACAAATTACAACATGTAAAATAAGATCCATAACATCCAAGTTACAGCTGATCCAAGGTATGAACAGTCCCTGAAATTTGGGCCAGGAGTTTTCTTGCTCTTTGCTTTGTAGCATCATCTTCACCTCCATCTATCCTGCCAGTCTGATCTCCATCCATCCTCCCTCCTCCTCCACTGATCTCTCACAGAACCGGTCTGGGCTGCTGGGTGAGCAGGATGCTGAAGCGTTTCTTCAGCATCACTCGGTGTCGGGAGAACTTGTCGTCTGGGGAGAAACGAGCCGGGTGGGCCGAGCTGGTGGGCAGACCCTCAGGATTCACCTTCTGTTGGTGACAAAGATGGACAGAAAAAGCAGAACAGTTTGGTTGATCTCTGACTTACTTGATAAATGTGTATTACCCTGCCCTCAAACCTCCTGCTGCTGTAAAGTAAAAGCAAAACCAAAACACACACGTATAATATACTTCAGTCCCTGTGTTACAGAGACCTTCATTCATAACATAAACACTTTTTATCATATTGTTTTAATGTGTGAATTTTTGCACAACATTATTATTCAGTGAACTCAATCCTTGTATATGCTAATTACAGAATTACCTATCTGCTGTATAACACAACTCAAATTGCATTAAACCTTCCTCTGTATAGGTGCCGCTACAATTATATTGCACTCTTTTGATAAGTTCCTTTTATGTAATAAGTTATATCACCCCACATGCCTTTTTTATGGCTACTTGATGCTTGAATTTCCCTCAGGATTAATAAAGTATCTATCTATCTATCTATCTATCTATCTATCTATCTATCTATCTTAAAGATGGTATATTCTCATCATCTCACAACTCTCTTTTTCCTCTGTTATTTGCTAGTAACATGTACATTTTATGCACAAAATAGAGGCTATTCAAATGTTCTGGGCCATCTGAATTATGATTTGTTTTTGTTTTTTTAACAGTTCCAACACATGTTTTTAAACCTAACTTTTGCACGTATGGAGCTATTGTGCGATTGGTTTCGTGTCAGTTAGAAGATATAATCATGTAATCATAGCCCTTAACTGTAATCAGTTAATAGCTATGATTAAATCATTAAACAAGGTAAGGCAACATAATAATCAGACAAAGAGCCCTTTAACAGCAAATCTGAACCAACAGTGGGGCCAGAATAGCAACGTGGGAAAACAGCCACACATTTTTACGGATAAATGATTTGCGTCCTCTCCCCCCTATTTGATTAAATTGAATACTCTGGGTGTTAATTCGCCATATAAACAACAGATTTAATCCACCGTTTCAGATATGCAACGAACAAAATAGGCTTATTAGATGATCTAACGACCTCTCTTTGATAACATTTGCTCTTATTATTAGCACGTCGAAGTTTATTAGGTCTTTGTTTCTGATAACCTCTGAGTTTCAAAATAATTTCTTGTCCTCAATTAAAAGTAAACTTGCAAGATTAAACAATAAGTACGTCTCAGGCTGGTTGGCTACCATTTAAATGCGTCAACAGGCTCAAATGAAACACCAGAACACGTTTCTACAGAGAACTGCTGAACACGGAGGCACGTAAACACAACGTTAGCATTACCTTCAGAGTGTAGACTCTGTCTCCGTTCTCGTTCAGGTAAAACTGCAGGAACATGGCGACGAAAAGGTGTTTGTCTACCCTCAGGGATTAAAAAGAAATGTCGAAGTTTGTTTAAAGTCCGAAAAGTTTGCAGACAACAACTTCTTTTCCCTCTGAATTCCACGTGCGGTGAAGCTTGTTTCCGCAGAGCTCATATCCGGGTCATCGGTCAGAGCGCACTGCATCCTGGGAGATGGAGTTTGTAATGTTACGCTGATTTTTTTTTTCTTCATTTTTCCCCATTTTATTTTATTCATACTCTTTTGTTGAATTGGTTCGTTGTTTTTTTTTTTTGATTAACCAGTTCAGTAAGGATTCTTAAAAAAAAAAAAAAGAAAGAAAGAGAGAGAGAGAGAGAGAGAGAAAAAGTGAAAATTAACAACGGTACTGAATTTAGTTGCCATGGAGATGCTCACTTACTATCATCTGACATAATAAAAGGGACTTTTGTATTAGAAATGTGTATATAAATAAAATACTGCTAAGTGTATGTTATTGTTGTTTTTTATTTATTTATTTATTTATTTATTTATTTAAACCGCTTAGGAAAACAGAAAGAAATTTATTAAATTAAATATGGAATAACTGGCTACTCTAGATTTCTTTATTCATCATCACCAACTGAGAATTTTGTGTTGCTTCATAAAACAACACATTCCGACTCAGCAATTTCCTATAAAAAATAATTTAGTGAGCACATACATGACAATAAACTGCAAACATGACAGCTATGTACTGTAAAAATAAATAAATAAAATAATAGTAATATTTTTTCTAAAAGAATTTTAAACTTCAGTTCTTGAGAGTTTATTAGGTTTGGAATGTTTATGTGGGCAAAACATTTAAACCTAAATAAAGTTTATTTTTGAATTGGACTGAGCGATGAACACACGGTTAGACTGATCATCTACAAAAGAAAGGTAAGACCAGTGAGATCTATTCCATCAAACTCAAATGTGCATTATTTTAATTGTTTGCACTGAGAGTTGAATCTTTAGCCTATGAAAAAAAATAGTATTGGTTTGGTTTACATACGTGCTGAAATGTGCATTAGTTCATTCTGAAAGATAATCAACGTTTTATCCAATCAGAAAAGTATACGTTCACAGGAGATCACTGTCATACTGTGGTGTTCTAGACAGTGTAAACTTGTAGGCTGCATGTCTGCTGGGTTTTAATAAAGTATGTGGTGTGAATGTATAATATAACAGTTCATTTGTTCGAAGTGATTCATTCAAGTATTTATTTAACATAGGTGAATCAAAAAAATATGACAAACACTGCATCAACCAGGAATGATATAAATCACAGCTTGTAAGTTCAACCTAATCCCATATAAAGTTCTCCAGTGTACATTAAATCACAACAAACATTAATTTGCATATACGTAGATGTGTTCTCTTTTTGCCTTTACTGCCATGTGTGCTGCTAGTGTTTCATTCTGTGATTTGATTTTCATTCATTCATTCATTCATTCATTCATTCATTCATTCATTCATTCGTTCGTTCATTCAATCAATCAATCATTTTTTAAATTTAAAGGCCACACCGTTCATGTTCAGGGGTGAAAACCAAATAGCGATGAAATACAGTTAAATGGCTGTAAGAGATGCATTTTAAAATGCTAAAAGTATAAGAATGAACAATGAGACAAACAGATAAAACAATGGAAACAATAAGAACAAATCAAAGATTTCAATTAAAAGGAATGACAGCTACAATCAATCTGAGCAGCAATTAAACCTTAGAAGTGTCTCAGTGGTGCTAATTTAACAGTCCATAGTCCAACACAAAAAAAGAAAACTCCTTCACAAAAGAAAACTGCTTCACAAAAGAAAACTGCTTCGACTATTCTTTCATCAGTAAATGAAGGAAAAATGTTTGATTTCTAAAAAACAGAATCCCAGAACAATTTTCTGTACAGAGACATTACAACATATCTATGCTCTTTTACTCCCCTTATTTAAAAGACTGAGTCAATAAATACTGTATGATTCCCTGCAGTTGTGCGTCAGGCTAAGAATTTATTTACAGATATTTTGGTTTTGTGGATAGTCTCAGGCAGATAAAAGAAAATCTTAGATTTTCTGGCCCGGAGTTTCTCTGCAAGTATAACCAGCATATAAACGCATGGTGTAATATTTTATTAAAATCTATTAATTAATCTGATTATTGTCCTTAAAAACACACCCCGAGAATGAAGTCAGTGGTTGAGAATTTGGTGCACAATTGACCAAAACAACTTTGGAACCTTAACAGTAGAAGTGACTTTTTTTTTTTAACTCTGTGTCTAAATCTGAAATGAAGACCATTTGTGGCCAACATTTATATAATGTTCTTGTTTAACATGCTGAGAAGCTGCCAAATTAAAAAACACTTGGATTTACCACCCCGTTCAATCCCTTATATTCCTCTGATAGTTACAAGAGGAAGAAGTGCAGAGATCATCGATGGATCCAGAAATGGCTTCCTCACCTGAACTCCAACCAAGCGACAGAGGTGACTGCGCTGAATCAGGAGCCCGGCCCTTTCCTCATTCCTCCCCACCTTACCCCCAGCTGCTTTCTGCTGATACATCTGCTCCACAAGAAGAGCACAAACTGTCACAACATGACCTTCTGATGAGGCCGGAAGCTATCAGTGGAGACGTACAGTGTCGTCCTCTGGGGCCTCGTCAGGCGAAGATGGAAACATCACCAATGTCTCCCACAGAGATGTTCACGAGGACAGGCCATTCTGAGCACATACAACCTCAGCTGAGTTTCCTCCCAGCTGTCTGTCCCTCTCCTCTCCTGACTCTATCACCTAATGCCAGGGTCCAGTTTTCTCCTCTTGTCCCAATGCTCTTATGTAGCCCCCTTTCTCCTCAAGCTGCCATCAGGATGAATACGAACTCTCATTCGCCTAATTCCATGTTTGCGTTCAGCCCCTGTTCCATCAGCAGCCCAGCAGAGCTCTGGTACCAGCCACATGTACCCAATCATTCTGACTGGTGCTTGTGTCCACAGATAGGGCCTGCTCATCAGAACTGCAGTCCAGACCTGTAAGAAATGCATAAATATACATACAGCAGATAACACAATATTACATTTACTGCCTCTGGAAGTCATTTAATTCTGATTGTCTCTGACTTTACAACAGGATCTGGAGCAGAATGACTCAGCAAGACAACAGGCAGTTGACGCTAACAGAAGGTCAGAGGTCAAGCGTTTAAATAAAATGACAGCTAAATAATGATTTTGGCTTATAAATGATATTACAGAAACTGTAATGATCTCTTAAGTTTTCATTTAGAGCAAACATCAAGTTATCTAGCTGTGATTCATGAGCAAATACCTGCAAAACATCTCCTGACAGGCGTCCTCCCTGCAGAACGCTGTAGAGAAAGAAACAGAATAGTTCAAAGTTTTCTTTTTTTTAAAGCTTTCTGTCTTCCTTCACAGGAGGACAGCAGACGAATGTTACACCTGTCGAGGCAGAACTACAAGAAAACATCAGAGACAAGGGAAGAAAAAAGTTCAAAGTTTCTCCGGGACTCCCTTTGGATGAAGAAGTGCTGGCAGAGAAGGCCTTTGAGGAATACATGGTGATCATGGACTCCCTCCGTCCTGAGGTACCCAAAACTGTGCTAACATATAAAATATTCAGACAATCATACCAATATAATGTGTCAAATGTCACTAGGAGAAGCTTGTAGACGAATAATTCCTATAACCTGTAACTAACTATAAATCCTAAATGTTTAATTAGAAAGTAGAAACACATCAAATTACCTTGAAAACAATCATTCGAAGGTCTTGTAAAGCTGTGTTTGTTCTGTAAACTGTAAACGCTCCGTCACTGCTGTTTCTCACTCTGCACAATGCAAAGGCCAAAGAAGCTAATGAACACGAGTCGGGCGAACCGGAGCAACTGGAGACAGAGAACGAGTCATTTCTGGCGTATCTGGATGAGCTGTGTGGTGATGAAGACTTTGTCAGAAACGTACGTCACCGCTGGCATTAATATCACATGTAAACCTTCAGATAAAAGTGTGATCCCATCATTAGATGAGTCGCAGCTTGCTGCAAAAAAGAAGCGGTTTTTAGAGTGAAAACCGTTCCAGTGTGTCATGGGTGATTGAATTGTCCTGTCTTAAGCTGGATTTACTGTTGTTGGGTAACACATGTGGGGAAACAGCTGTTTAAGCCACCAGTTTTTGAGCGTAATTGCTCAAATACTGTATTAAAGAACAGTTTAAGGTACTTCAGTATGTCATTTTAAGCCACTTTATTTCAGGAGGGGACAATCCACATTCATTTAATGTGCCAAATTTAACCTTGAAAGTTAGTTTTCTTCTGCAAGCCCCTTGGTGATATGTTAACTAAAACATTACAAGAAAAGATGCAAAAGTACACAGACACAGAACTTCTACTGCATCACATCAACCTGGCATTTAGTGTGTGAAACTTCAAATAACAATTCCAAGTCCAGTTAAGTTTTTACTACACTTAACCTACTTTTAAGGTCACTGTTTTCCTCTCTCTTTTTTGTCAGTTGAAAAGTTTTAAAGTTGAAGTAATTTGTTTTATTGTCTCTTTGTTCTAATTTGTGCCCATCTCGGTCCATCAGGTGGGCTCAGTACTGGATACCGACTTCCTGGACTCGCTCCTGTCCTCAGACAACGAACTCTTCGACACTTTTGCTCTTGAAGAACAAACGGTATCATGATGAATGTTTTTGTCTCTATGTTATGGTGCTTTGTTGTGTCGTGGAACATACAGTATTAGATCGGATAGCAGTGCAACATAAATCACTACGAGTAAATCTTAATTCTTTTCATCAATCTTTTTCTCTCAGGAGAGGTCATCGCTGAATACAGACTGCCTGGATTCCATCCTTCCCTCATACCTGGAGCCAGAGGACCTCATTCTTCTAGAAAATCTTGCAAACGAGGTAACATTGTCAGGAGCTACAACCTCACTGCTTTGGTAAAATAAGTAGAAGGACAGCAGCGAGGCAAAGAAATCATCTGAGGTCTCCAGAATAAAATATCTGTGCTATACGAGAAGAAAAAAAAGTAATATGTAGAGTATAAATACACTTTGAAAACGTTGCTCTTACGTGTCTGTTTATAGACTAAATCCTAGTCTTAGATCAGGTTGGTCGGTATACACGTGCATTTTCTGACAATCTGTGCTGAATCGTTGCTAATTTTAAGGACTTCCATTTGCATCCTGTGGAATGGATAAAGACAACAGATGCAATCCTGAAAGCAGTTTGAGATCCTGGTTTCATTTGGTGCTATGCTTTTCTGTGAAATCATCAAATTTTCTCTCTCAGAATTTTTTTCCCAACTTTCTTTCTCTTCCGTAAACCACCTTGTAACCTTCAGATAAGTGCTATAATGAAGTTCATATCATACGTTGGAATACTGTAAGTTGACATCAAAAAAGTCAGGATTTGTTCCCATTTTCCTTTTGTTTCACAGATGTTGGAGGGAAACCTACAAGAGCAACTACATCCACTCTCAGTCTCTGAAGAAGCTTCTGCAGTAACTTCATATACCAACGCAAGTCTACAGTCTCCCTCACACAATATGGGACTGCTGCCGACCGACACCACACCTGAAGGCCTGCAGAACCATCTGTTTCCATCCCTCCAGGAATACCAGAACCCCGTCAACACCTGGTGTCTTGCTTATCATTATGGCTCCTTTTTCGTGGACAAGAGTTTTGCTTCCTCGCCAGACACCAGTCAGATTTCTGATCATGATTATGTGTTGGCAGCGGTTCCTGCAGCCATGTTTCTTGCAGGTGGCATCTCAGTGTTCCAATCTCAGAACAGACCTCTAACTGCTGCCTCAGAGTGCCCCGCATCCTTCAGAGTGTCAGGGTCACTCGAGGATGTGACCCACCCAACCGAAGACGACCTTAACCATACACATCCTGCACCAACTACCCAGCTGGAGTCTTGCAATCTCCCAGCTGGTGGAAATGTATCAGACTTGGGGTCTGAAAAGCAGGCAGAAAGACTGCAAGTTTCTCAAGAACTTGCTGGTGTTTCCTCTGAGAGTGTGAGGTCGAGTCCGATGAAGAGACGCCGGCACAGATGTGTGGATTCTGAAGAGAGGGACGAGAGGGTAAATGAGCAATCAAAGGACAAAGAAATACTTAAATTAAGTCCGATGAAAAAGCACAAAGTGGCGAAGCAAAGAGGAGCTAAAGTCAACAGGAAACGGCACAAGGTGGAGAAATCTGGCTGCACTCTGCAACCAGCCTCAACGAGAAGTAAAACAACGGCAAAGAACTCAAAGGTATTAAATTCAGGTGGACGGAAAGAGAAGAAAAGAAAGAATAGGTCGTAAGTTGACCCACGGTTTTCCTTATGAGAGACGAAGAGCTGGTTGAAGAGTTATCTGGTGCAAATAAGACAACATGAGGAGGAGAACGGACAAACAGAAAATGAAAGTGCTGCATATTAAATGCTGGAGAATCAAGCAGCACCTCAAGATGCAGAAATGTGACAGTGAGGAGGAAAAATAAAACAATAATCTGTGGTTAAAAGAATTCACAGTTTAATTATTGAACAAACAATATTCACACAAACATGTAAGAATCCATTTATATACAATAAACGTTTAGATTTACAGAGTGTTTGGTTTGTTTTTGAACATACCAACGTCCCTCATAAAATACAAAACAGTACACAAAAGGTGATTTTATAAATAAGACACTTTATGGCTTCAAATGACAACAGTGACAGAATCCTTTAACAGCATCCAGGACAACACGTGAACATGAATTAAAAAGGCACACCAGTAAACAACACCTTCAGGTCCACACACACACACACACACACACACACACACACCTCAGACAGCCACTGAAGCATCACCAAGTCTTTTAGGTTCACTGCAGTTGATTTAAAAATACATCCGTAAACATCCTCTCTGACACACACTCAGACATAATACAATCCTTTGTCGTTCATTCTGGTTCGAGGAAGCAAAACTAACCGGAAAAACAAAACTCTCATTCCAACTTCTTGCTGTAGAGGACGGGTCCGTTGCCGTTGTGCATGTTTCCGTTGTTGTTCACAGCCTTCCCATTGGACAGAGAAGTGAATGACAGCTGAGAGCCCGCCTCCTCGGGCTGCAGGTATTCGTTCACCACCTTCTGATAGGTCGGGTGGGTCGTCAGCACTCGCAGCAGATTTTCTGAGGAAACAAAGTCGATGGAATGAGGACTTTAAAGGGTACTGATGCTGCAGTGTCAGAGTGACTTTCATAACTTCACCCTAAGTCAATCGAAACTTCTTTGTCACTATTTTAAAAGCTGCAACTTCATACGTTTTTGTAGAAAATTTAACATTAGCAGCGTAAATGCCAGCAGTTGATAACAAGAAGCAACAACAAAAAGAAGCAATCAAGAGAAACATTCTTTGTGTAACAACAGATGGCCTCCGATCAGGTGAACTTGATGCCACAGAAGAATTTGTACACAGTTATGTTAGTGAAACAGGCTGTGTCTATGCTCCTCTGGTGGTTCTGTTCGTTTGTGGTACAGACACAATAATCGGTTACTGAATGTGACGCCGTCCACTAAGTTTGTGTTAAAAAAAACCAAAAACCGTTCGGCTTGGTTTTCAAAAACCGGTTTTAAATATTTCCTGAAGCTGAACTGGAAATTGTAACACTAGAATGTATTTCTCAGCACCAAACCATTTAGTATTTCACAAATACCCTGGAAACAGGTGTGTGTTTTGCACCAGGAAGTAGCCGAGCATGTTCCTGAAGGAGCAAGAGTAAGTCTGCACACTTACTCTGCCTGCTAATGCACCATAAATCATTATAAGTGCTAAACATCCTGAGAACGTCATTGCAGATTCTCACCTTCAGTCAGCTGGCCTTGACTGGAGGCCTCGGCGTAGAGCTCAGCGGTGTTGTGCTGAGGGACGCCCAGCAGCGCCCCCATGAGGTGCGACAGCTCCTCTGCACTCAGACTGCCTCTGCTCTCTCTGTCAAACATCTGGAAAACAAAGATTGTACAATCAGGAAAAGAGGAAAGAAAGCACCGTACTTTCTGAGACAACAGCAGGAATGAGGAGTCTAAAAACAAACCAAACAAACCCAAAGTAAATCTATTTTTAAGAAACATAACTTGCCAATTTATATGCCAGAGCTTGAAGACAACATTTGGCAAAGGTAAGATAATTAAAAACCCCAGAACATTCAGTATAAATTATTACAGGATTCCATTATGTCATTAAAATGAAAACACATTCCTAAAGGTCTATCGTAGCGATTCTTGGTGCTTCACACCATCCCCTACGTATCTAACGTTGTCATCCAGGGTGCTGATGCTGTGGTGTCCAACTGCAAATAAATATTCAATGAAGTGTGAAGAAATATTTACTGAAGATAGACAACATGTTACAGTCAGACAGAAGCCGCTGCTGCAGGTAAAACAACAGGACTTACAGTAAAAGCAGCATGAAGTAGAGACTTGAAGCTGACGAATCCAGTCAGGGCTGAAACACTGAAGAAGATCTGTCTCAGGTCCACGGTTTCATCCTACAAACATACAAACAGCATGATTTGGTCATCAAGTACTTTGTCATTTTGTACTTCTTTCTTTCCATCAGCTGCTTCTTGTAAACAGAAGAAACTGAAATCCAGCACACATCTGTTATCAAACTGATTTGCTGATTAAGAATTTTCTAAATAGAATTTTTGCTGCAATGCACATTTTCTCAGGATGTTGAAGCTGTAATCTCAGCTTGTCTTGGCTATTAAATATTAAGAAAAACCACAAAACAACTGAAATGTTTACTGGCTAACTAGATGCTTTGTTCACTCTGGATAAACAGAACTGGGTTTTGGATACTAGAAGGAAAAGCATCTTTCTCTGCACCTTCTGTTACTGGTAGCTGGAGAGGCTTTGGAGTCATTCTCACATTCTTCCAAGTTATTTTCTTGATTAACTGAATAATAAGGTCTTCCATCACAACTTCCCAGGGCCCAAAGAGATAATAAAAGTCTTCTTTTGTCCAACCAACACTCAAAAACCCAAACATTTTTCATCATCTTCGTCATATTTGACAAAACAGGCAGCCACATTCAAGAGAAGAAAACAGGCTTCAGTTGTATTCTGACCGGTTATCTAATCTAACCATCTAATCAGTGCAGCTCTAACAACAGGACTCTTGTCATTTTCCGTGTTAAAGTCTTCAGATCGGACTATAACTGGCTCTGCTGGTCTCCTCTGGTGAAAAGTAAATATTTGACTTTCATAATATATTAACTGGCAAAATCAAACAGCGTGAACACATAACCGCTGTATCAAAGCCATAAAAGACAACAGTTTTTGCTGCACCCGTTAGTGTAAACACAGTAAAAAATAAATGCTGTTGGATGTTCTGATGAAACAGTTATTCTTATTAGAGACACATAGAAGAAAAACCTGCTTGTACCTTTGAGTAGAGGCCACAGATACGGTCGGCTGTCTGTTTATCCGTTAATGCCAGAATAGAGATGAGCTCCTCGACACTGGCCTTTGACCCATGAGCGTCCGACTCACACCTGTTGATCATTCTTTCCAGCATTGCTTCTATTTTGTGTGCTCCAACACTGAGAGTGAAAAACAAACGGGGGGAAAAGCAGCTTGATTATCATATTCATGAAAGTGACACTGCGTTTTCTCACAGAAAACAAACAGATCCTTTCTTACCCATTTCTGCGCAGCAGTGACAGTGTTTCTCTGGCAGGAGACTCCAGCGGGAGAGACAGACCACCCAGTTTACTGACAGGAACCCGGCCCTCCATCACATAGTCGGTAGCTGGGACTCCTAAGGCCCTAAAGCACCGCAGACAAATACATCACGAGAGCCAAAACACTGACAGACACAACAATAAGTGTTTGTTTTTGCAAATCCACATCACGTTCACTTGTAACTGTCAGGGTGCACTTAACTGAACTAAGTATAAAAAAGAGGAAGGAAAGTTTCAGACCGAAGAAAACGAACCATGCAAGTCACTACAACTGTAGAAATGAATAGTAGATGCACAACAACTACTCTATGGTGCACACGTCACATTAGCAGCGGTTCAACATGTTTGTTAAGTGAATTTAACTTCGCAAACTTTTTAAAGTAAATCCCAGAAAAACAACTGGCACCGTTCAGCAGCACTTACAAGCCTCCGCCCACAATTTATAGTCATGTTATGGAAATATCCACTATATGACTAAGTACTCCCAACACTACCTGCAGACGAGCTGGCAAGACGTGAGAAAGAAAAACATTGTAATTTGGTTCTTACTTGGCCATGAGTTTCTGAACATTGTCTGCGTAGAGGTTGGGGTCATTCTTCTCCTCCTGGGAAGGGTTGTAAACTGGCAGGAACTGCAGCACAATAATAAAAATGGAGCCATTGTTTTGTGTAGTCACAGTAGCAGCTCAACAGTGAGACAAAAATCAAAACATGCTCTGGATTTTTAATAGAAACACACGCAGTCGGCATGTTTTTAAAACCGTTAAACATCTGAACATCTGCACACACCCTCCATTACTGATTAATGAGATCTGTGCTGCACCTGTACCTAGAACCACAGTGAGGCCAGACTGAACACACCCTGTGTACATTTCTGTATCACTGAGGTGTGCTGAGAATGTGATGAGTTCATCTGAGGTGAATGACTGGGCCTTACCTCAACAGTCATGTTGGTGTAGAGCTGTGACGTGGTGTGCCACAGGGCCTCGATCCTACAGGATTAAAAAGAACACTATATAATTACAGGACAAATTATTGCAATAATTGCCACTAAAAAGGAAATAACCAGTAGAGAGAATTCATTTGAGCACCATAGTTAAATCCTATTGTGCAACAGTTGTTTATTCTGGCATTCAATGAACAGTTTCATTTGGTCTTCAATCAGTAACACAATCAATCAGGTAGTTCTGACATCTTTGACAGGCAGTAAACACAACACAGCTGAGCACAAACTGATGTCTGATCAAATAATCAATTAGGATTTTTAATAAACAAATAAATAACAAATGTGGAACTGGTTTTTACTTTTGACAAATAGTTGAGTTTTGGCAGGTTGCCATGGAAATTAGGTGGTCATGCCAACTACTGGAATAATGTGTCGTAGCGTTTGCCTTAATATGAGAATTTGAACGTGGTACATAAGACATGTGCATGTTGACTGTCCTGTTAATAGATCATTTACGGTTTAATTCAGTTTTCTGTTTATATTAGTTTTATTCTTAGAGAGAAAATAGCAAAACACCGCTTCTGATCAAGGTTTAAAGAGGACAATACGGGTTATTTTTTCTATTACATTTAGAATAATGTATGTATTTCCTTAATAATGTATAAAAACATACATGATAAACATTGTTATAAATCTGAACTTCCTAAAAGAAACCTGTAACAAAACTAAATATAGCAGCTGTGTTTTCCACAAACTGTGTCCAGGTGTAGTCCTGAGAGCTGCTGTTGGGCCACATTGTGATTTTGATAATATTTTGATGAATGTTTCCGGCCTAGCAGTCACTGTTGGACGCAACTCAATACAATTCTTACACAGTAATTTTCCTGATACTGACAGTTTTATTTATAGAGCTGAAAGAGGTAAAATTCCTACAAGCTCACCCAACTTCAGCCCCAAGTGTCATAAACGAAACACGGCGACATTAAACAGCTCTGACAGATATGAAGAGAAATAGAGGAACTCACCAGGTTGTTCCTTTGTATGTCCAACGAATGGTATCCTGAGAAACAGTCAAACCAAAAAGATTAGAAACAAACAGTTGACTCAACTCATGTCAGAACAAAAGAAAGCTTTAAGTCAGACTGACTTTAGAATGTGTGGTTCAGAAACATAACACAGAACACAGCCTGACAAAAAAAAAAAGCAGCATGATGTATGTTCAGGTCTGTGGCCATGACAGACATGACACATACACTGCAAAAACAAACCAAGAGACAAAGCATCTCCTGTATGTGCAGAGTTATGCCACTAACGCAGGTTGTGAAATTTTAATGACACTAAACCTCCAACATTTGTTCGTTCATGGACTTACACCAGTTTTGTTCAGTAAAAAGTGCAGCTTGCCTTAAATACTCATACAGTCACTATAATTAAGGCTTCTAAAAAACTTTAATAAACGACATTCCTGTTCTTTTGGCAGCATATTCCCTCTCTTCATACGGAGCTCCCCTTTAGTTCAGTTATTAATACACCAGTTCAGCTGTTTACGTTTTGTCTGTTGGTGATTTATTCATTTGTTTTATGATGTAAGTGTACTTGAGTTTTCTCTGCGTAGCACTTTGGTCGGCACCTGTTTTGAATGTCCTCTATAAATAACCTTGACTTGTGAACATTATGACTACATTTATGTTCAGCGAACATAAATAACTGACTGACAGTTAAATACAATTCAGTCCAAAGAGTGGTGATATTTGATACCAGACTACTGAGCTGTTGTGCACCACCAAACTCATTTATTACAACAATCGACTTCAGCATTCCGCATGATTTAAATATTTTCTGTTAGCTAGAAAAGATCATCTAAACTTAACATTACAAAAAGGAATAGAGACATCTTTTTCTATCCTTTTGTAAATAAGTGAACACAAAAAGGCCTTAAACACATGCTTTCTTGTTTGTTCACAGCTGCAAATCACCTCTGATAACTGGGTTATGGTTCAATGTAGTTGAAATGTACTCTGACGTATGTTTGATCTTCGCACACTGCGCCTGTGTCTGGACCATGAGTGGATTTACATCCCGCAATAGAAGCGCTTTGTTTGTACTAAGTTTCAGACAAGGTTGCAGGTGATAAGAAACAGGGTTCCGCTGAGGGCAGACAGCTGAGGCTGATGTAGAAATGTTATTTGCTGAACTCCGGGGCATCCATATGTATATGCTGGTTTTGCTATGAAACCTCTGGAAAAAAAAGCTTTCACCAAATTGCAGAACTTAAATGTTTTATTCTGAGATCTTAAAATCAGGGCCCCAGTTTGAGTCGTGAAGGAACATTATATTGAGTCATATTGATAAACAGGCAAAAATACGACTTCCTGAAGTGCTGTGGGATGGATTTAGACAAAGTGTGTCTCCCGATCCAAACAACCAGAGCCAGCAACCATTGTTAGATTTCCTATATCGGAAAAGGGGTTTTGAAGTGATGAGGTGACCCTGTTTTATTCATGTAACTGCTCCAGGATCTTCCCAAATAAAAAACTTTTCACAATTGTTCGACGTCGCTACGCTCCAGCAGATAACCCTGCCTGTCACCCCGATGATCTCACTCACCAGCTTGTTGGGGTAACGCAACACAACAGGTTGGACAGGAACTCCCGCAAGAAAGGCACCTGGTGACATTGAGATGGAGAAAGAGCAGAGACTCCTGTCAGAAACTGGAATGAGAAACCGACGTACTGCGGAAGGGGGAGCAGTGAATCACTCAGGAGCAAAACAATAACCTGCTCCACCCCTCTCTTTCATGCCACTCATTCCTACTTGATTTGTGCAAACAGCAGGCAAACTCGAGAATGTCCTGCTTAAGACTTCAAGAAAAACCAGACGGGACCTGCTTCTCTTCATGTTCTACTCATTCACATCATTTAGGAGCACAGCGCCTATTGGTTGTGTTTGTTGTCATGCGCATGTTTTATTGCCTCCACTCACCGGGCTTGAATTTGAGGAGAGCATGGCCGTTAGTTGTGGTTCCCTCTGGAAACATCAGCATCTACACAAGAATTAAGAACTGTCAGTTTGTAGGTTAAGACTTATGGCTGCATTTCCAGCAAGTGTATTTACAGCTTTTTTTTTTGCGATATCAACGGGCTGTTAGAGTCAGAAATCAAACAACAATCTTCTACTGACTGTACATCTTTGGGTAAATCTGCTTTTTATGGCTCTGTGCAAATGTGACTGGTTGCAACGTGACTTTAACACACTACTCCTCCATCAAATCAACAGATTTATGGTTACTTTCGAAAATGTTCAGACTGTAATTGAGGACGCAATAGGAAATGTATTCCCGAAAGGCAGCAAAGTTGTTTGTTTCCCTCTTCTTCTATCGAGCGGATCAAATTCCCAATCACAGACTTTATCTAAACATTCAGACCTGCTAGTTTGTGCACAAGAACAGCAGGTTTTCATTAACTTTCTACTGTTTCTAGTTTCTGGGGTCCCTGTAACTTTTGCAAATCTCACAGGATAGTTTGGTTGTTACTGCTAATTCTGTAAAAAGGTAAACAGACAAGCTAGAAGCAGTCCATTTCTCTATGTTTTTGCTTAATAAATTCAAGGTGCAGCAGGTTATCTTTGGTCAACAGATGCCTTAATAGTGCTGAAACATGAAATAGCTCACCTGAGGCCAGTAACCTTTGGAGGTCAGCCTCTCATTGAGCTGAGCAACTGCCTTTTTCCTCGACTCTGGATCTTTCCTGCTCACGAGCACAGACTGGTTGAACTCCAGCAGAGCTGAAAAACACACACACACACACGCAGAAAAAAAAACTGTTATTCAAGAGCAAAATCAGAACCAGAACTGAGGGAGGAGTCCAGGACGAGATGCACAAGAAAGCAAGACAGGAAGCACCAGAGTGAGCAGAGCAGATTAGAAGCCAATGGAGTGAGTCACTTGTTTATCTTTGGACTTCCTTGCATACTTTCACTCTCCCCTGACCACTCTTTTCCAAATATTACTCTTGGTTGTTTGCATAATAGGTGGGCAACCCGGGGAAAGATTTCTCATCTTTGAATGCCAGTTAAGCACTGAGAAAATATTATGTCATCCAACACTCTGAAAGCAACAGATATGATGGACATGAACAAATGACTAAGTCCAGTCTGACTGCAGCTGGCGGTGCTCACTTTTTGTTAGCGTCTCTACTCCATCCAAGCTCTCACTCAAAATAAAATGTTACACCTCTCTCTCTCTCTCTCTCTCTGGCTGCCGTCAGCCAGTGTTTTCCTTTTCCTCATTTTTCACTGCCATTATCCAAAACCTCACTGCTACTCAACTCCTACCAGGAGACAGTGCAGACTCAAGGAAAAGATGAGGAAATGAGTGAAGATGAAACTATGGCATTGTATTCATTCTGCACCTTATTCAGGTCATTTACAAACCTTGATGGATTGAACTGGCCACATGTTCGATGTTAAAGTAAGTTTGATAAATCACATTACATAATCTAAAAATCTGTGGGGTTTTTTTCTGTTTTAGACACTAAACACAGCACAGTGTGTGACTGGCCATATTTGAAACATGTGAAACAATCATCTACACCAGTTTGTCCTACAAGAGGAAACTTCAGAGGTGCAGAAAGTAAAGCGGGGTAAGAAGTCCATGATGTGCCCCAATAGGGTTCAGGGGCAGGACTTCGACAGCAACATAAAGGGAAAATGAGAGGTAGTTCCCAAAGTGAACACTGCAGGTCTTGAAAATCTAATGAGGAAATGTCAATTAGCCCATATAGAGAGAAAACAAAAAAGGTGGGAAACGCGGCTTTAGCTTCCCTCTCACTGGTTCCACAACAGAGCTAGCAGGTAAAGTGACTGCAATCATTTTGCCTCAAAAATATCTAAATAATATCCATCAGCTCCTCAGAGTTCACAGCGATGTCTCAAAAATGTCTGGTTTTGTCAAAAAATGAAAATGACTTTTCTAACTCACTATAATTAAGCAATCAGAATGCTATTTTCCTTTTGATCGAACCATCTGAAAGCTTTTACAGGTGGATTTTCATCATGAACTGATTTCAATTCAGTTCAATTCAATTTTATTTGTATAGGGCATATTTACAACAACAAGTCATCTCATAGCACTTCACAAAGGCAGAGACAGAAACACCCAACAATCCAAAACATTTGGATTCCCTATAAGCTTCAGCAGTCCGCAAGCAGTCCGCAACAGTGGGAAGGAACCGAAAACCCCCACAGGGGAAAAAAAAAACCTCCGACAGAACCAGGCTCAGGGAGGGACGGCCATCTGCCTCGACCGGTTGGGTGAGAGTGGGATCTGTTGATCACTCCTTTGATTAATCTTTTAGACTTTAAAAGTGATCGTGTGCATGACAAGTTCACAAAGCCCTTGTTCATGTCTTGATGCAAGCGGATGTTTTGTGTTTCTGCCTGATTAATGGCACTTAACTGATCATCAAAACTGTTGACCACCTAAACAGTGTCAGAGAACCTGTAATAATTACCTCCGATGACCGGCAGGCTAGTGTTCTCCGATCGCGACACCACCGTTGCCAGTTGGGTTGGACACAGAACCAGCATGTCCAGGTAGCCGCTGTGAGGTGCCACCACCAGCACCGGCGCCTCCTTCAGATCTGCCCTGCGACCTTTGACCTTCACCCACAGGAAACCCAGCGAGAAGAACACGGCTCGGCTCAGCAGCAAGATGATTGGGTGGAAAAGCCAGCGCCGCCAGCCCGTGACGGGTCGAGAGCGCTCTTCCTCGGACAGGCCGGCCAATCGCAGCCGGGCAATGGGCCACATGATGAGGAAGAAGAGGGCCGCCAGGGTGACGCGGAGAGGGAAGAGGATGCTGCCCAGGATGATTCCCTACAGGACCACAGAGATGAAAAAATAGAAAATTAAAACATAATATAGGTCTGTGGGTGGAAAATCATACACAAAGCTGATAACAAAACTCCATTTTGTTCTGAAACTGGACTTTCTAATTAATTTCTAAGATTTATCAGTTTAAACAATTAGCACCGCTGGAACATTCAAGCATATTTGTAGAGCTTTGATTTAACTCAAATATCAAGAGCTTTTTTAGATAGATAGATAGATAGATAGATAGATAGATAGATAGATAGATAGATAGATAGATAGATAGATAGATAGATAGATAGATAGATAGATAGCCCACAAACACTTCAAAACAATATGGCCAGACCAAGTGGATCTTATTTGCTGTCCATGTTTACAAATTTGATGGCTTGTGGAATAAAAGACAGTTTAACAGCTTACATTGTACACATCTGGATGCATATGAGTAGGGAGGATAGTTTCTATTAAGAACGTTCCTGCCTTGCTGCCCAGCCCTATATGTGTCAGTCACAGAGTTACACAACCCTGTGGTTCCTTGTTATCATCCCTCATGACTGTCTATCCCAGAAACTTTTATGACTTGGCTGCTTTGCTTAAGCATCACAGTCAGTGAGAACAGGGAAGGTCTTTGTTCTTTAGTTGGTGCGGAATTAAAAGTTAGTCTGAGGTAGTGGAAAACAGAAATAAGACACTCTTGAGAATTAAACTTTAGCCCCTCCACTCCTGGAGTTTAAATCACTGGCATTAACTTTTGCTGTTCAGGAGTGAACAAACAAACTGTTGGTCGCCAAATCAGCGCCGGATTAGTTCCAGGTGGCAGAATTCAGTCAGTAAACAGGTGAAGTCACTTCTAAATAAACTGATTTTTTCTTTTTTGGTGACTGCTTCTCTCTCTAACGCTAATTCAGACATAGAAATTAAAATCCTGGAAGGTTACCCTGATTCTCTGCGTCCTGCTCAGCTTCACCTCGTGAATGAACGGATGTGGGTACTCCTGCGTTGCTGAGTGACAGTCGGACTTCTCCATGGCGACGAGACGGCGCGAGGAAGTTTAGCTAAAAATAAAATAAATTAAAAAGTGAAAAAATATTTAACAATTTACGCTCCTTTGTCGTCGATGTAACGTAAAAAAAAATATGTAGAAAACAACTTTGTGGCGTGTTGACAGCTCCTTACTCTTCTTTTTTTTCTCGTCTCGCGCACTTAAAAACAGACCGCGAGCTAAAACAAACGCTCCGAAACGACAACGAGCTTAAAAACAAACTTGTCCGGTTTCTGTCCTCCACATGGCGAAACACACACACACACACACACACACGTTAAACCCCCCAGACCGCCCATTCGCTGCGTCTTGTAGCCGGTCGTCCTCACCTGTCCCGCCCCTTGGCCGCCTGACGGCCCGGCCCACCTGCACCGACCCGGGGCCGCGTCAGGCGAGTCAGACCGGTCCCTGAAACCCAACGCGCCCAGGACGGTGATTAGTACTGTATTTATTGAGGCTTATTTCTGCCAGGAGAAGATGATTAAAAGAAATGATTAGTTTAAAAAAAAAAAAAAAAAAAAGGAAGGAAGGCATAAAAAAAAATTAACAGAATGACAACAAACATCAAAATTGGGATAAAATAGCCAAAAAAAATATGAACAGGACTCAAAGCAGAAGTAAAAGCATGAGGAACTAGTGTAGAATGTAAACTCATGAGACATATTACCTGGATATTTGACTTAATCTCTCATAATTTAACATTAAATTCAAATGTTTAACGTCATAGTTTTGATATTTACCATATTTTTATTTATCTTTCTCTTTAATCTCTAATAATCTTTCTTTCTTTCTTTCTTTCTTTCTTTCTTTCTTTCTTTCAGCATGAAAACATTTTTTGGGCTTTTCTATAAAGGGAATGATCAACACTTACTGTGAATATCATGATGCCATAGAATGACTCTGCTGGTGAGTTTTGTAATTCTCTTGCGAAACACTCGGAGACCTTTTAATCAGAGCCAAATGTGATTTCATCAGTTTCTTTTCCTAAATGTTAGAGCCTGTAAAAACCTTCAGGGCAACAAGATGCAGCATTTTTATATTCTGTAACATGACCTCAGTGTCAGGTGATTCAAAACCTCTCAATAACGGCATTATTTCTGAGTTTACAAGTATTTCCTCTTATAAAAAACAATAATAAATACTTCAGAGAGCGCTTGTTGAAAGTACAGGCTCCAAAATAGAAACTCAACACAACAACAGTGACTACACCTGTGATCACTGATGCAAAACAGATCGTAATCTCCACTTCGCTTAACTGCATGGACATGCTTATAAAACAACATGTGAACACCAGAACTTTCTCAGTTCTGGACCTGTGGGGTGTCCCTCTATCTGCATACCTGCATCATGGATCCACTTAGAAATGAATTGCCAGAGAAACTAAAAAAAACAAAAACAAAACCTGATTTCAATCTGACTTCACAAAGATGAGAAAGGCTGCAGGAAGATCAGTAAAAATCAAACCACAGTTGGAGCAATAATCAGGAGTGAGTAATTTCCTGTAAAGGATCAATAAAGTATCTATCTGTTTATGTAGAACGAGCCGTAGTAGCACTAATTAAAGCCTCAGCGGTTGACCTCCTAAAATGACGCCACAGTGCTTGTTCAGTTTAGATATGAGCAGACAGGCTTCAGACTCGTGGTTATCAGTGGAGTTCAGCCCAAAGCTACAAAATTTGCTAAAGAACATGAAAAGACAATATCAGGAGTAGAGTCTTTGGTCAGATGAGACAGCAATGTAACTGTTCAGCCAGTACGTTTGGTGTAAATCTGACCAACGTGAACACAGTCCTGACAGTGAAGCACGGAGGTGGAGGTGTGATGATCTGGGGCTGCATGAGGACAAACGGTGGAGATGACATTGATAGAAGCACCATGAACGTCTGTGGATAAACCAAAATACTGTCTGATAAGATGGCTAACAGTCTGCAGAAGAGGAATTTTCCTACAAGATAACCACCTTAAGCGCACTGCCAAAATCACACAGGAGTTTCTAAAGAAGTGAAACCACAACCTGGACAAGTGTGTCAGCTGACTTGAACCCAACAGAACACCTTTGGGGTATTTTAAATGGAAATGCAGAGCAGTACAACCCCTTCAGCAGAGGAAAAAAAGTCTTCTGAACATCTCTGCAGAGCTTTGTTCAACTCTGGTGTCCTCCATAGAGTCTGTCATCAGAAATAAAGGTGGATCCACCAAAAGTATTGAAAAAGTAATTGATTTAATGTGACTGATAAAAGGTGTACTGACTTCTGTTGCGTTTAGTTCCTACTGTGGAGCCTGTATTTTAAATCTACATTGTTGTTTTGTAATTTTACAGAAAAGCAAACAGTTCAACCTAGAAGTAATGTGATTACTGTACAATGATAAAACTGTGTATTATCTGACATTTGCACAGGCCACTTCTGTTCTATACTGTATCTGTAATGAAGTCTTTTGAGCTTTGGGAGCTTTTACATTTGTTTTTCTAAACAGCAGCATCAAAATGAGCATCACTCTTTGGAAAACTGAACTTGAGATGTGCAAACGAGGGTCGTACGCTGTGCTGTTAAAGGGAAAACCGTTCTTGTAAATACACTGTGTTCCCTTATGTTAACAAATCTTGGTTAGACTATCTCGAGCTCACCTTTTCTATGCATTGATCTTTGACTAAAGCTGTACAAACCTCCTGCTACTCGCCTCTCAAGTTTAGCCTCTGCCCTACCTGACTGCTTTTGTTCTTTCCAGGGTGTTGCTGCTGATAAATACCAACCTGCCTCTGTTAAGTAAACGCACTCACAAATAAAGACATGAAGTTTGTAACTTTTAAGTGATCTTTGTACCGAAACTAGGGCGAAAAATAAAAAAAATACAGATGAAATTAGTGGATGTTTTCATTTCAACATGTATTTTTGTTGGAAAATCAAATAGGAATGGTGAATAGGTTTAGATTTAGACACCTGTTAATCTTCTATTTACATTAAACACAAGTAAAAGACATTACACAAAGGGGAAATCTTTGACAACTAGAGTTTTCTTAGCAGCCATGTCTCCTGGGACATAAAGCTTAACCCTGCTTGTACTGTTTGATCCTGTTATCTTGAGATATCAATCACAACTCTCTTGTGGTTGTGACTGAAATCTGTTACAACCCTGAACAAACAGAGTCGTGTTTCTCAGATTTCAACATGTCTGCCTGCCTCAAGAGTCAATAGATCCACATCGGATAAGTCTAATATGTGAGGATTAAGTTTAAAGTGTGACATTTTCCTGATGTTCTCCACACGAGACTGTTCACCAAAGAGCGCTCAGTTACACCGAAAGTAGTTTCGCCACACCCGGTCTTACCCGAGAGACGAGGGTCAGCAACACAACAAAGGCATCACTCAACATTAAATTAGCTTGTAGCATTGCTGGCCTCCTAAATAATTTTATAGAGAAATAATTTGATGTCAAAACTCCCACACACAAATCCAAACAACTCCTTTCTCCATCAAACACCTTTAATGACACTCAAAACCGTTTAGTTTCAACCAATAAGGATTTATTATATAGAACATTTTCACAGGGCAAATCAGTATAAATTAAACAGACCTATAAATTAAAACAGGTTAGTAAATGTTGCTGGCTAGCATGCTGAAATCATGTTGACAAAATCAAGCGTTTCACTACAAACTGAGAAACAACTAAACAAGAAATGGTGAAAGTAAAAAGGAAGAAAACACGATTCTAGTCCAACAGAACCAGAAACGCTTGACAAAAAGAAAAGACTTTACAGACTATGACCTCCGTTTTTAGGAGTTATAGATAAAATTCTGGTAATTAGTGATGTTTGCCCCCCACGAAAGCAGGTCTAACTCTGTATAAATAATCTCTTATCATGTGAAGTCAATTTCATCAGGAAAGAGAACTACAGTAGTTTTAATGAGAGTCAATACGATGATCTGCTGGCTTTGAAATCTTTATGAGGAGAATAAGAAAAGGTCATGGCCAACACATGAAGCAGAGCAGGGCTGAAGTAATGTCACGTTGTTGTCAAGAAAGGCAAACTGTGTGTGTGCGTGTGCGTGTGTGTGTGTGTGTGTGTGTGTGGTGGATAAAATCTTGGCTTTAAGCTGTGCCGCGCACCCTGCTGCTGATTTAACAAACATCTTGCTTGTTTTAACTGCCGTGTTCGCGTCTGTTGTATACAAGAAATAGACAGCTGGCAGAATTGACTTCGACCTGAGCTGTGACGGGCGGCCTGTGGAGAGCGTACAGTATATAACCTCTGGAAATATCTGAATCCTGTGTGTGCATGCTCCGTCCTCTTCACAACACCATCCCTCCGCCCATGATCTCCATCCTCTGTTGAGAAAGACATGGGTACATTCAGCGTGTGCTCTTCTGGAGCAAGTCACAACAAGAGCAGTCATTTTGACATAAGCAACAACCAATGCAGAGCGAACACACAACGCTCTGACGTGTACATGTCAGGAGAGGGATGCTTTTATACTTCAGGCAGCTGAAGTCGAGCTTTAATTTAAGGTTGTTTATATGCAAATAGCCTATAACGATATATTTTAGATAAAATGAAAACTTAAATCAGTTTGTTCTTTTGTCTTATTAGGATTGTCAACAACAGCAGCAAAAAAAACATCAATTTCATCGCTTCATTATTACTTTTGACTACTTTTACTGATATTTGGGAATTAAAATACCTAGAGATACAACAGTTGCGCTTCACTACGGAGGAAACACAATATATTTTCTACTAAACTGATCTGAGATGTGACAAATCAAGATCTGGACAGCTCACTATCACTTCATCAAATGATTTTTGCAGGGAAACCCTGGCTTTTGTCCAATCGTGGTTTGAAGAATGGTGAAACAAAAGCCTTTTTTTCCTGCCAAATCCACGTTGCAAAGAGATCTGACAAACTTAGATTGAACATCAGCTAATTATTACATTCTTTAAAGAAAACTCCATTAAAAACTTAAATGTGCATATTCTGCCCTCTGCTGAGCTACGACCAGTACTACAGCAGGGTAAAGCACACAAGAGCCCTTATGAAGGTTTATATGAGCCTTGAGGGGTGTTAAAAATCACGAAGACATGAAAAGCTTCATTCATTCAGGAATATCAAGAATGTCCTAGTCCTAAAATAAAATGCACACAGACGGCACTCTATGAAGAGATCAGCTCACAGCAACACTGACCTCAAAACGTATTTTTCAATATTATTACATAAAAGTGTGAAGTGTGGAACTTTTACATAATAGTGAACACCCGCTACATTCAAGGTTTTACCAGATGAGTTGACACAATGCTGCCTAAGCCAATCAGCAGCAGGTAAATCTATCGGTATTTTCCAGAATATTGGCGTTTAAATCTGGTTTCACTGGTGACATTCCTGTGACAACTAAGAGTTGTGAAGTTTTCTGATGCTCCAGACAAAATACTAATTCAGGGGAAGGACTGCAGTCTAAAAAAGAAAGTGAGCGGGGTGACACAGCCAAATGCAGTCAAAACACAGCGTGCAGCACTTTGCAAAACCGTGAAACCTGCATCAGCTTGTCTTATGCAAACATGCTGTCATGGTATGATAAAGTTCCCTCTCCAGGGTGCCAGAGTTCAACATTTTTCCGTTACCTTTTTCTGGAGCTTAGAAAACCCAGAATGTTTGTGACTGCTGCATGTTGAGAACTTTACCTGAGGTGGGTCTATGAAAGCCAGCCAATCAGACGAGTGTGTTGGGAGCAGGCCCATTGACTGACATTTGTAGATGGCCAACGCCGAGCCCAGAAGGTTACCGATCAGGTAGACGAGTCCCTGCAGCCACTGCTGACTGGAGCTCTCCAACAGCTTGAAGGCTGAGACACAACAGCACAAAGGAAGGAATGAAACAGCACAAGACTTACAGACTAATCCTACAACAGTCTCAGACAAGTAAAGAAAATGTCCTGCCCAGTCTATAATATACAGTGAACGTCTAAACAATGTGAAACTTGGATACTCACTGGCAGACATGGACATAAGAGCCTGTATGGGCCTCCAGGCCATCATGCAGACCATCATGATGGGGAAGATGGAGATGGTGTTGCCCGACATGTACATGATGAACAGGTTCATGGGGATCTGTTTTAGGGGCCCCAGGGCCACGTCCCAGCAGCGCTGTTCAGCAGAACGAACAGAGACACACAGGGTCATTCCAGGCAGCAGATTTGTGAGATTATCACTGACAGTGTGGATTTCTCTTAAGGGAAACTATAAACACCAGAAATGTCCTCAGAACCCCTCATTAGGGATGTATAAATGATGGAAAAACACTGAAGACTGTTTCTGTTTTCAAAGTGCCTAATAGTCTGTGAGAATGTGAAGGAGTTCTTATCTATAGAAGCTACACTCCTGTGACGGATAAGAGGGAAATTACTGATACTGACTACCTGGTAAAACTAAAGGCATCTAATACAACAGTCCTCGAGTAAATTCTTCCTCCACCAAGCATTTCTGGTGAAAATGGTCCCAAACAAGCGCAATGTCAGTTTCTGAAATAGTGAATATAAACCCTTCCTCACCTTCTCCACCAGGTTCTTGTCGGTTTCCTGGATGCTGGTGTCGGGGACGGGTTTCTCAGAGTAGCCGATGGGGTAAACGACGTCGCCCTGCCCGCCCTGACGGTCACCACGACTCCTGCAACACAAACAGTTTCAATGTTTTTCTCTTCGTCTGATTGCAAATTTTTCTGTATTAAATCAAACTCTTCTAATCTAATTCTGTGTTAAACCATGACAAGTAATGTAAAGCATAAATTGGTTCAGGAATGAGTTAGATCTATTCAAAAGAGTCTGTCTGCACATACAGGATGCTGTTATTAACAAAGCCCTGTTTTTTAGCTTAGCTGGGCTTTGATTTAAGCTGGCTGTCGATGCCATGGCTCATGTGCTTTTTTTCCAATGCCATGAGCTCTTACAGCCTATTTACCACAGAACTCACAGAATAATAGAAACCTAACATGTAAGTATTTGAATTTGCATCAGAAACTTACACGCAAACATTCATGTAATTCAGGCAAAACGCAATTTCTGGCTTAAATTGATGAGAGTGAAGATTAACAGATAATGAGGGGAAAGAGCAAAGCAGCATTTGAAAAATGTTTTGAGCCACAACTGAACGATGACAAACACTCAGTTTCCCACACATTCCCCGTGGACTTCCTTGTTGAGAAATTGTGTTCCTGAGGAGAAACACAAGTCGTATCGATCAGTTAAAGACCAATCAATATGATGGCTAAAATCCTTTTTTTTCTTTTTTACTTCATGGTGTTTCCAAGATCTAAGACATTTTAATGCAGGAAGGGATTGTTTTTATGTTCATGTGTGGCTTGGATTCACAAACATGTTTCACGGTTAAATTCACCATCAACAGAGGGAGAATGATGCTGTTTTCTGTGTACCTGGTGTTGCCCAAGCTCAGCTCCAGAGCCCACTTCATCCTCCTCGCCCCGCTGCCTCCTCTCGTCGACAGAGCCCCTCCTCCTCCTTGTCCCCCTGGAGACGCCATGGCAACCACCTGTACTGCTGGACCTTAGAGACAGAAAGCACCTGGAGAGATAAAAATAGAAAGGAAAACAGAAAGCTGATGATTTAAAACTTGAATAGCTTTTATGTAACAGCTTTTCTAGTCCTCCTGGGCGCAAAGAGCCCATAAAACAGAGCTTTATAGCGCTGGTTAAAAACAACATATTATGCATCGCCTTATGACAACTATGAATCCTTTATTTGTAGATTTTCAGATGCAAATGATACGATGTTAAATATGTAACTGCCACTTCTATGATCTTTCTTGAACATGTTTTTCAAAGCTAGCATTACTCAGATTACAGATTCTTATCCTAATGTCTTAGTGCCCAGTCTGTCCATTAGTTGATATTATGTCTGACTTTTACGTTTCATGTGATGTTCAAACAGGTTTTATATTCCAGCTCTCAGACAAAATACAGTTCATATAGATGCATTTTTCATATTTGAAATGACTGGACAGTTATAACTCTTATACTAGCTTATTCTATTATATTTGCATAAACGTGAAAATGTCATCTTCGTGCCTGCCTGCCGACAACATTAGCAGGTAATCTAGTGACATGTCTTTGTCCGTGCAGATAACATCTAACGGTTTATGTGACACCGGCTCGGTTAAAGACAGAAACTACGAGCTAGACAGAGGCTCTTGGTTACTGCCAGGTGACTATCAATGATCAGCATCAGCCGGTTTCAGCTGTCCGACTAAAAGAAGCGTCAGCTGGACGAGGTCAACAGAAAACCTGTGAATTCAAAAACGACACCACACGATGCAAAGCAGGACGTTACTGTCACTTGACGTCGCTGTGAGCAGCTCAGACACAACGTTATACATATAAAAACATAAAGCACTGTCATCATAAGTATTAGATTACCTTATAGAAACATTCAAACCACCGCTACGAGATCACTTTTGTCGCTTTCCTTTGAGGAAAAAGGCGAATATTTTGCTCGCGGCCAGTACTGAGTCCTCGTCGCTTGATGGTTCCGGGGCCCGCAGTGATGACGTAGTCACGCTGCCGCTGCGTGTTTTGCGTCATGTCCGGATATAAAATAAAATAAAATAAAATAAAATAAAATAAAATAAAATAAAATAAAATAAAATAAAATAAAATAAAATAAATAAAATAAAATAAAGAAATTAATTTAGTTTAATGTAATGTAATTTAATGTAATTTAATGTAATTTAATTTAATTTAATTTAATTTACATTATGAAATAAGTTGTTACACTATAGCATACAAATAATTTCAAATAAATAAATGCGGGGCATAACGAACTTAAAGGCCCCTGAAATAAATCAGTCGTCATTTGAAAAACGACTGATTCATTTGTGCTATAATTTATTTCAAAGCCATATTTACTGATTTCGTTGTAATTTTTCATTCATTTACATATTTAAGATAAGACTCCATAAGATACCAGATAACACTGTCTTGATAAAAAATAAAAATAAAAAATCTACATTGACTATCTCAGGTTCTGGAAAGGGTTAAAATAAATACAAATCATCCTTTTACCTCTTGTACGTCAAGGTTTTTTTCTGTGTATGTACTACATTGTTTTGGAATAATGTTCAAATGTTTCTAGTAGGAAAAAATGTTCAACTGGCTTTTGAGAATAACTCCACTGAAGAAAAGATTGTTTTAAAAAAATAGATATATCAAGAGTAGAATAACATTACTGCATTATAACGATCCCTGTACTTCAACTTGTTTACTTTTCTGTACAGCTTTTCTGCAAATGTTTTTACAGCACTATTTATGGCACACATACCATATGATTCTGACTATTCTAATTGCTGAGTGATATCTGCATGTTTCTGGAAACATTTCAATAAGAAAAGACACACAAATACAAGCAACTAGTATCAAAGCATTTATTATCTGGGACATGATCCCAGTTGTTTGTTGCTGCATTTGATTGAACAACCTGCAAGCAAGACAAAAGTTCAAACATCTGTGTGTAATCTTTACTGTCAGTTTAGGGCAATGCTACTATATACAAAGAAACTGACACGTAAACCAAGCAGTGCAAATTAAACTGTAAAGTGTACATGTGGTACAGGCACAGTGGTTCTGTCCAAGGCACAGTAAACTCAGATATGAAGTCAGAGTAATTTACCGACAAGTTCACGAGTGTGCAAAGCTCTGTATCTACCAACAAACTACAGTGCACATTTGTTCATAAGGCACATTTGACCTGTCTAAACATTGCTGTAACTGTCATGTTTTTATTTTATTTGACGTGACAGCAACTTATTCTCAGGCTCTGATTAAACTATGGTACATCTACATAAAGAACTGTCATTTTGTTCTTGGTGGAAAAACTGCAACAGTAGCAACACAAAAAAAACTAAATATTTATTCTCGACTCTTAAAATGTTGCTCGCTAGTACTTTGCCCTGAGTGCAAAACCAGTAGTCTGGAGATGTAGATTGGATGCTGAGGTCTGTGAATGTCATGGTAATTCATGAGAAACTGCATTTTAGGCCAAGGAAGCTGACTACCTGTGTTGAGTGGTTTTTTAGTATTTCATATTCTGCTGGAAAAAGTGATAAATAGATGTTGCTCACAGTGACAACAAGGCTGCTCTTCTCCTATACTTTGTTATACCAGTGTAATGTTTTCATCTGACAGCTATATAAGACAAAAAACCTGAGGACAAGAGGGTTGTACTGCAAAGTGAGATAAACTTATTAGCAAGATACGTTGAGCCTAAAGTCAAAGTTTTCAGCATCACGAAGGCGGCTCACTTTTAACCAGCTAGATAACTACTGTAACTCATGCTGCGCTGCTAACCAGCTCCAGAGAAGGTTCTGTTCAGTGTGGGATTTGAATCAGCTGTAAGAAGCATCACTCTTTTAAAATTATTTTTCTGATGATAACTTCTACGACTCATACAGAGTCTCAGCTGTCACATTAGACATAAGTAGCTGAGAGTCACTGAGTGGTCAAATAAATATAGTAATTTAGATCATTAACAGTTTTCTACGAGCATTCCTCTCTTGCATCATTTGCAGTAACAGCGCTTTTTACAGGAATACGTTTTTATATTCCTCACAGCTGTCTATGTTCCACTGGACTGAAGTAGGCAGCAAACGACTGGTACATTTTGTACAGAAGAAGAGTCAGAAGACGCATCAAATGCCCACTTTCATGTGAAGAACATCTGGTTAACACAGCATGCTGATGACCACCCTTGTGATGCCCATTATCTTAATGTCGAACTGGCTTTGTGGTACAGCCCTAAGGTGTCTTTAATCCTTCTCAGTTTGCAGGATCTGTGTGTGTCGCCTGTGTGGAGTCTCCATGTCACTTGTACAGGCTGAGCTCAGGACTGTGGTACAGACACATGTAGGAGTCGCAGAGCAGGCGGCGGGCGGGCTCTCGCAAGGAGGCAGAGTCCACTCTGCTCAGCTCCTCCTCCGACAGGCTGAGGTAGCGGCCCACCTCGGGACACGCTTTCACCCGGGGAATGTTGAAGCCGTTCTCGCCTCCTGGGTGAGAGCAGACAGAGAAAAGGGTGCTTGTGTTTGAACCTTGCTGAAATTCTTGTTGGCAGAAGTTGTATATATATATCTTTTTACCTTCTCGGTCTGCCATACTGTCAAAAAACAGCCAGTCGGTGGGGAGGGGTCCGTGCTTGATGAAGCTCACATAATGGCTGGTCTCAATGCACGTCACAGCAAAGAGAGACATTCGCTGGCGGGTGCAGTGCAGAGAACCCGTCCACGGCCCCCCGGGCACACCGATGTTCACCGGGCTGTGGGACGCCCTCTTTTTGTGACTGTGGACCTGATGATTGATGGAAAAGATTCAAAGTCAATATGTAGAACAGACAGCGCCAGAATGCTTTACATGTCCAGTGCTGCTTTTTATCCACTATCGAGCAAAACCACAAGCTGGAACCACAACGCTGACATAACATCACCTTATAAAGTTTATGCAGCAAATGTTTGTCGCTATCAGTTGCATAAATAGTAGCATTGATTTACTTGATGAATATCTCTGTTTTTGGTCTCCTCCATGTCTTGACTTGACTCTTTGGTTCTAAATGCTTCATTATGTGCAGCAGCTAGTTACTAACTATGTCGATCTGCTGCTGATGGGAGCTGTGAGCAAGACTCAAAACTAAAACAGTGGCCAAGAAAACCAACACAATTAGATGGACAGCTAGCTGGACTACTTTGTGCTGGGAGTTCTCTTTGTCTGGCCAAATGCTGGTTGGAGTTCTTATATTTCTGTGCATATCACTCTGTGTACATATCACTGTTATTTGTATATACGGAGAGAAGTCGTGCAATTTTATAATACATTGTGTCATGACAATAAAGCAGGTTCTGATTAGGTTATAAAAGGCTACCTGTGTGTTGCAGGTCTGGCAGTACTGTTTTAGACGTCCAGGAGTGATGTCTGGGTCTTCGTAACACTGCAGACACTCCCACTCAGCAACAGCCTGACAAATACTGCACTGTCTCAGAGCTACAAAGACACAAGGATGAAGAGAGCAGGCAACACATGAAGACAGTAAAAATGGAAAACATACACCAGTAATACTACACAACAAATTCTAATTAAATCACATTTGTATTGAGGTGACAAAAGACTTCGATGTACACAAAAGCCAAACCAGACAAAAACCACAATGCATCTAAAATGCTGACTGTTTCCTAGAATAGTTCCTACTGTCATCCAGCAGGTCTGTGATGTCCAGGCTGTGGGTGGGCAAGATGGCGTCAAACATTTTGAAATCCTTCCCGAACCTTGGCATGAGCAGTAAGAGGCAGGAGGGAGCCTGGTGGGGAGATCAATACACATGATCTGAGTATTAGAATTTCTCTTAAAAAACACGTAGAGTTATGATTTCTTCCACTTATTCGTGTTACCTCGACAAACTTGAGGCCGGCGTGGAGGAACGAGGACTCCAGCAGGGCCTGGACACTGGCGACCCTCATCCGCCTGGACGATGGTGATGAGAGGGGGATGGGGGAGTCAACTGGGGAGAGGGGTAAGGGTGAAGAGGGAGAGGGGGGAAGGGTAGGCGGGAAGAGCTGGTAAAGATGACACTCCTGAGGCTGCTGGGTCATTGATCTGAAAGAGGGCAAAGAGAGAAAAAAGAGAGTAATTTTGCAAAGTTTTTTTGGCTCATGACCTTGTAAAACAAAGCCACGTGGGCTGCTCACCGCTTCGTATTTAGGTTTGTGTTTTGTAGTTTTATTAGTCTGAGGCAGTGAAAACAAATACTTTGGCGGAATTTTATGAAGCAGCAATTGCTTTCTTTGGCTCTCTTATCTTGTTATCTGTCCAGCATCCGGGTTAGAAAGCAATAAACTCAGGCTGATGAGGCAAAAAGCCAGACAGGTTTATCTCTGACTTACTTTCCGCCGTGTACCAAACACAACCAGCCAAATGTTTCCATGATGGTTTACACTAATGTGAACTAACAGCAGATCTCAGCTGTGTCACCTTCTCACACAAAAATGTAGAAAATGCAGGAGAATCACTGCAACAAACATTCATATCAAAGAACAACAACTGGCCTGTGAGATGGTGAAGGAGTGGGTGTGTGTGTGTGTGCGTGTGCGTGTGTGTGTGTGTGTGTGTGTGTGTGTGTGTGTGTGTGTGTGCGTGCATGTGTGCAGGTAGGAAGCTCAACAAATAATGTGTGAGCCAAGTCCTTGTGAAAAACTGTGGTAAACCGCAGTCCTGCTGACATTGTGCAGACAAAAAGGGGCAGCGATGTTACCTGATCTTGAGGAGCGGCTCGACTCGGAGGAGCTGGAAAAGCCTGTTGAGGAACTCCTCGGGATCTGACAGAAAGATTAGCAGCGTGACAACATTCCTCAGTCTCATCAACACAGTCTGATGTTTCACATGCACCTGCAGGAAGCTGATGGAGGGGTAAAAAACTGCTAAGGCACAAACACCTTCACATACATACCTTTCTCCTGGTTGGTGAAGCCAGTGTCACTGTTGGCAGCTTCCAGCAGTCGCCTCAGTGCCATGGTCTTACTGGCACACACATAGCCATACCTCAGAAACACACAAGCACACAAATACCTTAGAAATATATACTGAAAGCATGCAAACAGGAATGGGATCAATCACCCTGAAAGTGAAGTGCACATTTATAGTACTTTTCAGGCATTACGACTGATCAAGTCCAAGTTGGATCAAGGTTTTGCCGCTTCGGTCCAATTTAACCACAAATACTTTGGTGTTAAAAGATTCGAATGCTTTGCTTTTCTAATCTGTTTTGACCAGAACTGAGACAATACGTTCTCTTCCCTGCATGTCATACTTTCTACTATTCACAATATCATTCTTAGCATTATCAGTAGTGGTAATTATGAGAGGAATCTCATTCACACGAATAGTGTAACACCTGTAGTACCTGCAATTGCAACAGAAATGAGTTGTCAGAAAGTAGTTATATATATCACCAAACAATAGAGAAAGAGCCAAAAGAGCAGCACACTCACTTTCGCAGCGGGTTGACTATCTCACAGCGCAGCAGGTCCTGAGCTTGACTGGCGCTTTGGTCAGTTTCAGGGTCAGAGGGCCAAAACAACACCCAGTCTGCTGAACTACAGCAGGAGAACAGACTGGAGAGAGAGACACAGACAGGAAATAAAGCATGGGCTCATGAGATACTTGTTGGGATTTTTTACACTCAAACTAATTTAGTCTGGCTGTCTGTAGCAATACTCAGCATGTCTCACTCCATCATTTTTTTCATGATCTGTTCAGCCATTAAATCTATTATTGTTCATCCTAAATTAAGCTTCAAACCACACAGTCTTGTGCACCAGAGGAACAAACAGTGGCACAACATCATACATAGTTAGCTTTAGGATGATGTTGCAGATTATTAACCAGTTGTTATAAGACGTGAACAGACTTCTTTGGTACGAGGGTTGATCAAAAAGATCGGAGACTGTACGTGGTGTGCTTGTGCTGAATGCTCTTGCAACATGTACGAGCAATAACCGTCATGTTTCGAAAGTCACGTGACTCTGTACTATCAACAGCGGGACCTGTGTTATGCACAACCATGTGAATGACAACCAAGAGCCATGAGGGCTGTTCCACTGTGAGAACTTCCATTTCTTCTCTCTGTGTCAGCTGCAGACAAACCCCGCATAACCAGTGATGATCCTCTGAATGTGCACCTACCAGGGGTCACTAACAGTGTCTGTAACATGAGTCCCACTGTTTATACTGTAGTGACACATGACATCATGAGTCATGCCAGTTACTGTTCGCACATGTTCAAGCAGTACAACGCACAGTCCTTTGGATCAACCCTCCAATACTAGTTTAAAACTTCAACATGTATCCTCATTAATTAATAGCTTAAAAAACCAAAACATTCATGACATACATTAATCAAATGTTCTTTTTTTGGATATTGGACACATTGTAAGGTTTAATCTGATAATCTTCTCTCTGAGTCCAGATTTCCTACGCAGACTTTACCTGAACAGCGTAGCGTCCAGGTAGCAGGAGTTGAGGTGGCCCTGGATGCCTCTCTTCCAGCCCTGGTAGAGCTCTCTGGCCTCGTCGCCGTCCACAGGAGGAGTGTGCTCCTCCACACGCTCACTGCCCCACTCCGCAAAGGCTGGCAGCCACAGACACACAGAGGATACAACACATTAAAAGGTAACCACACTCTCAAAACCGCAATAACCCTTTTGTAAAACGCAACAGAGGAGCAGAGGAGCTGTGACTGCAACAGGCGTGTCGATACACGGTGGGCGATGCCGGGGTTCAGGAGGGGGCACAGGGGAGACAGATGGACCACCGCTCAGTGTAGGACAGCAACGTCAAGATGGTAATGAGATTCTGTTTGGAAAGGTGGGCACTAGAAGCACACTCATGGCCCTTTAAGAGAGTTGTAGAGTCGTTGTAGAAGTCTCCAGTGTTGGTGTCTCTTTGGTTGAGCATCAGCACTCAGCTGTGGTCATGCTGCTTCTTCTTGATCACTTTATCAGCCCCAAATATCTTGTTAAACTCTGGTCACTGAGGAGGAATAAATCAGTCATGTACTACATTGTGCCTTTTCTTCATCTGTGTTTGTGAAGGTTTTGTAGCGTCAGCAGTTATGTGGGACAAGGAACAAGCTGGTGCTCCAGTCATCTACTGTTTATACCTGGTGCAGCAGGGAGAACATATAAAACAGACCTCAGAGTGTTGCCTATATTACCATTGTTAGAGGAATACAGAAGAACTGACCTTTAAAAAGGCAAACACACAATATGTTAATTATAAATGGGAAATATATTATTACTTAAATCTGTGCAGTGGAGGCAGAAGTCCTTAGATTCAGGCCATTTTTCACAAAAATCTTCTGATCCTTCTAATGTGTGTCATGAGTGGATGATAAAATGGGTCCTTTTATGGTTATAGTGGGTGCTGCTTGCTCTTCTTATTCAGGTTCTATAATTTGCTTCAATGTCTTGCTACAGCTGTACATGTGCTTGGATTGCTGCAGCCGCTGGGATTCACAACACCCATACCTACACCTGATGTCACACTTCAACCCTGATTTCTTACCTATAGAGTTGCATCGCTCCACTTGATTGACAGGCGTCTCAGGAGCGGGGAACCTGGAGTCCCGCCTACAGTTTCGAAGTTTGACGAACAGCCCCTTGTTAGCCGGGCAGCGAAAGTGACGTTCACCGAGGTAACTGCCATCTGTGCCAGCAGACAGCTCCTGGTCCTGAAACAGGAGCAGAATATAATGAAGGAAACCTTTCTATGTGACTGACTCCTAGTGTAGTCTGCGTGTTACCACACATTTCTGTGTTTTTCAGCGTTAATAATAAAGCAAGGTAGTTTTCTAACAAACTACGTGTTGTCTCATCTGTTGTGAGTCTTCATCAGGAATCAAATCCACAACAACAAAATAAAATTACACATTTTCTTTGATAAATTTAATATGGCATAAACATAAACATGTGCTCTGAAGGACACACTGTGAGAAGAAGCAAATTCCTGTTATTTTAAGCAGAAAGCAGAAGCAGAAAACAAAATCATTGTTCATTCAGGAATGTAAAATAGAGCTTAGTTTGCTGTAATAATGAAAAAGCAGCATTTTAGGTTTGTTACCTGGTCAGATTTTAAAATGATGACCTGTATGTCTTGTTTAACCTGTAACTGATTACTGGTTATATATTAGCTATAACTGACTCAGTGGTTAAAGCTTTGGGCTACTGATTGGAGAATCAGGGCTGTAACAGCATCTAAAAACTGTGATAACTTTGATCTACTTGCTGCTAGTTTTTAACTTGTCTCTGAAATAAAAGAACTGGGGATAGGAACCAATGTTCCTGGACTGTGGTGGTCAGGCTACCCTTTTAGCCGTCGCTCCTTAGTTGACAATGCAACCGACTGTGTCTTAAACTAAGACTAAAAGAAAACTCTCTGAACAGTTTCAGAATCAATTCAATAATAAAAACTGCAGCTGAAAGTGTCCTTACCAGCTCGAGTCCTGCCACCGGCTCTGAGACGCCACTAATCCGTCCAATCCAGCGAATAACCCCAAACAGCGGCGGGTCATTCACTTCAACCATCGACCCCACCTCCAGGTCGCCCCCCAGTCCGGCCTCTCCATCCTCCCCAACACCGTCACCATCATCTGGAGACTTCAGAGGCGAGGGAGGGCTGTGAATGCCGTTGGTGTACTGCAGCTGGTCGTCAGCGGTTGGCGATGTTGGGCTTTGGGGTTTGGGGGGCGGTAGAGGGGGAGGCAGCACGGGCTTCTGGAGGGGTTTGGGTGGAGGTAAAGGAGGAGGCTTCAGCACCGACTTGCTTGGGGGCATCAGGGCGATCTTGGGAGCAAAGGCAGGCGGTGATACTGGGACTGATTTAGTGACAGGGGGCAGGGCTGGCTTCAGGATGGATTTGGGAAGTTGGAAAGGAGGGTTGTGACGGTTGGACTTTTGTTCTGAAGATACAGAAGTGGAATAAAGTCAGTAGCTAGCAGTAGTTGGACACTCAGGTGTAAACATATTTGTGTTTCTACATCGTCTCAGTCCATTATATATACACATATTCTATTCTATGTTTTTATAACCTTGACAGACAACAGACAATGAATGGAAAAACTGTTAATTTTGGAAAAAGACTGGAGCAAAACTGTGGGATTTGTGAGACATGTTCCCATCTACAAGGTATTTTCTTTTCAGAACAATGACTAAAATGTAAAATGCAGACACTCAGGTTGCTGAATCATTAACACAAGGTTAGAGTCTAAAATGCCTTAATCATGCTATGAGTGAGGTCAGCAGGTGCTTCACCTGAGGAAACTTTGGTCACTGGCAGCAGGACTCCATATATACGGGAAGGAATGTGGCAGAGCTTCTCTCCTTTGTAATATCCGTCCCAGTTACCGACAGGAGTGTCCTGGGATGTGTAACACAAAGCCAAACACAAAGCAGCCAACAGAACAGCTATATCAAGAGAAGGACTTTAGATTAAAACATACTGCCTGAAAAAAGCATGGCAAACGTGTTGTTACAAATAGTTTCAATACAGTAAATATTTAAATATCACTGACCGTTGTACTTTGAGCTTCTGTGAAATTAAGATTATTCTAAAATACATCAAAATGATGAGAAGCTCACTCTGGAGTCAAACTTTGATAAATTGTAAATGAGAATCTGTTCTCAATTAACCCACCTGGTTAAATAAAGGAAAAATAAAATAAAAATACACCCAGTTTTATCTCCTGTGGCTCATACTGACCAGAAGGACTCCGACATACATTCCTGATGAGGACCGGCCAGGCAGGGGACCACAGAAGAGCACCTCCCCTGCGTAGACGGCGTCCTCCAGGGGGAAACACACCCGCTGGCCAACATGGAACAACGGAGGCGACGCCGGGCCTCGCATCTGGTTGTGAGCCATGATGGGTGCCGACTCCGCGGTTCGTGGGAGGATGCCGTGCGACTGAGGAGGGCTACTGGGACGATGCTGGTGGAAACTAATATGACGGCCATGCTGCTGGGGCTGCTGGTGATGGTTTGGACGGTCATTGCTGCCGTGGTGCCCGTTGCTGGGGGGATTATTGCTGCTGCTGCGGTGGTCTCGGTCGCGAGGTCGCTCATGTGCGTCTGAGTTATTGCTGCGGGACCAGTGGCGGAGTCGGATGTGACTGGCTGGGAGGAAGAGAGCGCAGGCTTCAGGGCAGGTGAAGAGCCGGTGACCTTTATAGGAACCGTTGCCCGACCCTCTACCGACTGCTGAACCCTGGAGGAGTAAACGGAGAGGGAACAAGGTTCTTAAGGAGCGACTACAGGTGTCCACTATCTCAAGCAAACATTCTTACAGCTGCAGGGGACACAAAATTACACTTCTTGTTTTGTTACATGAGCATATTTTTAGGGATGTCCTGATCAAGGCATTTTTATTTTTTAATGGGATCTACTTTATTGAGCACAAACCTATGCCTGTGTCTGCTGTCACACTGAGAAGACAATTTGTGGCAGGAGGTAGCTGAAACGTCTGCAGTGGGTAAATATTTTAAATTGGAAAACAATACAACAGCCACAGTCTGCAATGCAATTATTTCAGAGATAGTAACAACAGAGCTGCATTCAATTCTACCAGCTCGATATGGCACATGAAAGGAGCACAAGTAACTCAGGCAAAGGCTGCACAGAAGCAACACACACTGGAGGAAACTTAGATCAGGTTCATAAAAGATTTGCACCATCTTTTGGAACTTGTGGAACCACAGTACACTCTGCACTCTCCACACTGCATTTCAGACAGTGTCCTACTTTACGAAAAGGTTTGTGACCACCTCCGTAACATTAAGGAACAATTGGATGCAAAACATTTCTTTTCTTTTTCTTGATGCATTTCAAAGCTTCTCAGTTATCAAGCCCATTGGATTGATTTTAATAACTTTAATGTACTTGAAGTGTGTATTATTGAGAATAAATGCTACCAGGTTGGAATTCAGAAGATATTAAATTGTAAACGTCTATAGTCTGATACACTGACCTTGAGTTGTACCCCAAAATACACAGCGCTGCTTCCTCTGGTCAGCGGCCCGATGTACTTAAGCTCTGCCTCTGCCAGCTCGTCCGGCTGCCCTATTTGGACCCACAGCGGGGAATCAAGAGGCAGAGCAGCGAAGTGCTGCAGCTTCCCAGGATTGGCTGAAAAATACACAAGAATAAACAAACTAATTAAAACCACAATACAGGCAGGAAATACCTAATTACTGTAAATTAAAGGGAAGACTTTAGTTACTTTTTTGATCCTAAAAAGTACTTGTAAAGTTATGTGCTTTAGCATTACTGTGACAAACATCCATGACAGTGTGCATAAAATGTAAGTAACCATGAGCAGTAAAAAAAAACAGGTCAGTTTTGGATGCAATGTGGCTGTGTGTCCCAATATCCACTCAAAAAATACAAATCTGAATTCTCCCAGGAAGTCATCAAGACCATATTTTCTCCTTACAAAAAACTTTAAGGCACACTTTAAGTAAAATGTCGCGAAAGTAACCGTACCTTTGCCAGTACTCACCACCGAATAACTACTGCTACAACTGCTGCTACTTTGAGAATATTTACCACCTTCCCCCTTTACTAAATTCCCTCTGTAACACTACTTCTGTAAATAATTGTATTGCATTACTTAGAAGTTTTAGACGAGCTTCAGGATCCACTACAGGCTCCAGCAGGCCAGTGAGTTCAGTTGGGACTTCAAGCAGGAGCTTCCTTTCTATTTTTACCATGAGGCCATTGTCTAACACCTGCAGGAAAAACAAGAGGTTCAGAGAAAGACAAATATGTGGGAGACAGGAGGAGAGAAGAGATTAGGACATGAATATGAAGCAAAAGAAACTGCAGACTACAAGTGAAGTTAACTACCATTTGAAGGATGGGTAAGCCAAAGAATTGGACCACCCAAGAAATGCACAATATATATAATTAAGGGAGATTCCACAAGAAACCAATATGAAAGGCCTCTCCATTCTCCTTATGGACACAGAATAAACCAGTCTTTTGTGTTTTGTACCATTAAAATGTTTAATGCTCTTGATGAGACGGTTAGTGTTGAGACACATATCAAATTAAAGGGGATAATGGCAGTTCTGTTCTAGTCATAAATTACTTAATTATCAAAATAACTAAATGCAGTTTTTAACACAGAACACAGACTCTCCTGGTGTTAAATAAAAAAAAGCTCTGGTTTCTTTAACCAGATATCAAAGCTTCCTCTCCATAGAAGGCTTTGTGTTAACTTTGATGTAAATCTGCGAATGTAAATGTGAAATAGTACCTTGACCCAGGGGTAGTCCCCTCTGTTTTTCCCCAAATCTTGCTCCTGGCAGATGAACCCCCGCTGCAGCCGAATGGTACCGTCCAGCTGGTCCTGGACCTTCAGGTCGGTCGAGATCAAGAACGTTTTGGGGGGGCGCCGCTTCCTGTTATGCTCATAAGCTCCTGACATCTTAAACGTGTCTTTATATGTGGCTGCGTTACAGTTGAATTAAGCCCTTCATTTTTCCTACAAATTGAAGAAATATAAATGATTACAGCGACGACAGGAAGGCGATAAGTGTCGGTCTACGTGAGGTGACGGTAGCGTCAGGTAGGGACAGTTAGTAATTTAAACTCTCTTCATTAACGTTCAAACTGGAATTCGTTAGTCAAGAGCCGTACAAATAGCAAAAGCGACCTCTGTGCCACATTCTTGACAAACAAACAACGTAGTTAACTCTGCTAATAATTGTCCAAAAGAAACTCACCAACTTCATTAAATACGACCGTCAACTTTTCCCCTCATATTTAAAGGAGCTCCGCTTCAATAACAAAACGCACCGTGAAGCAGGAAGCAGGTTGATTGACAGCAGCGGAGCCAATAGCAAGTTACAAATGAGGAGCGAGGAGGAGCCTCAGCCAATCAGAGCGCTTGTGGGCGTTTCCAGCGCAGTGGGGGAAATTCCACAAATAGTCAAGTACACACTTTCTGCATGTAGGAAGCAGACAAGCAGACATCAGAGGCTGTATTTTATTTTATTTTTTTAATGAATTTATAAATAAATAGAAAAATATTTCCCTATAATGAACATACTCGAGCTCACACCTCTCATCATCCCTCACAGAAATACACAAACAGAAAATGAAAAAATACTCTGTGCACAGTCAAGAATGGATCGTAATGCAGAAATCCCTTAATACATACAATAAATTAGAAAGTGCAATGTCAAATGTGCATCATCTAAGTTTTCATGGCATCATTTCACTCGTATGCAGATGTGTCACTGAATAAATAATGTCAGTTTCGATAGTGAAAAAAGAGATAATTTTATATCACTTTATTTATGTATTTCACTTTATACCTGCATGGTTGCATTAAATCTCTGATTCCAGGAGCTCCCAAACTTTTCAGCTTGAAGCCCCCTTGGTAACTGGTTGCACACAGCTATGGGAAGTTTAACCAAAGAGTGGTTTTCCCTTTCCAGGTTTTATCATTTCAATATTCTTATGTGGCAGAATAGTTATACCTAATCAGGATTTCTCAATTAAAGCACATCTGGATTTAACAAGAACAATCTCAAAAATAAATACGTTTCACACACTACAAATACACTTTCTTTCTGATCCCATTAATGGTCTTGCAGTCCTTTAAGTCTATCTCAAGAGGTGAAGACAAGTATCTGCTTCAAGTTGCACAAGAAGACCTTTTTTTTTTTTTTTTTTACAGAAGGCATTAAGATTCAAAATGTCTGCGGTGAAAAGTGATGCTGCATTTTATAGGTGCTGAATGTTTTGTACCACTACAGTGAAAGAAGCATAAATAACCCAAAATATAATCCTGTATATGCTAAAGAAAATTGTCACATTTCATACGTGAGGCATGAGCTACTTCTACGTGATCCTTCATTAAACAACAGAAATCTTTGGTACCTTTTCTTCTTCCTTCAAATAACCATATGCATTTACATTGTTTTGCAACAGGACAATGCATGTGACTGACAAGTGTACCAAAAAAAAAAAAAAAGAGCAGATTGTAGATAACGTCTTCAGAATAATACAGCAAAAAGTGTCTACTGTAGTTTCACATGACAGTATAGATACAGTACAGCATGATGGCTGGCCGTTGAGTGGTCCATTTGTAGAAAGCGATGCTTTCAGTTGCCGGTAGTATTCTCATGTCTTCTTTCAACCAGCGTGGCTTGATTTTAGTGTCTTATCCAGAAGACAAAGGCAGCCACTCTGTAGATGTAAATGATTAACAGGTCTCCATTTTAGCGCTGAGTCAGTGCAGGCGTTTGTAATTACTGCAGGCCTGCTTGAACATACAGCGGTTTTCTATTTAAAGTCCTTGCCACTGATTGTGTTTCTCTCTGTGGGAAAACCAGAATGAGTCATGTAGTGTCAGGTTAGCTGCAAAAACCTACATCAGGTTTATTAAAACAACGTTTTAGAGTTCATGTCTGGATCCAGGCCTGCGCTGTGAGTTACAGTCTGATCAGAACTGAGGAGACGACTGGTCCGTGTTAACAAAGTAGGTGGTGAGTTCCCCTTTGCCCTTCACGTTGACTTTTCCTCTCAGAGTGACGTTGTAGCCCACGCTCTGGACCATCTGGGCCGTCTCCTCGGTCACCTGGGAGCGCAGACAAACAGAAAATGATTACAATAAAAAAAGAGTGAAGTTTTCACATCAATCTAACCGCTTTTTATCTGCTGTGTGTTTCTGTTCCAAAAAGCCTGGAGCTACTGAATCAAGGTTTTGAAGTTTATTCCTGAACAACCATTGATCTGTTCTCCCACAGCGACTGGCAACAAGCTGCCAAGGTTCAGCTCACAACTACAGCACAAGTAGATGGAAGTTAGTATGAAAGAAAATGTGATGTGTAGTGCTGGAGTGTGAAACTACTGCTTATGTAGACAGACTGCCTTCAACTGAAAAGCTGCATTTTGTATGTAATTTCTAGTCAGTTTTGGTGATATTTAAAAAGTTTCTGATATTTTTTGGTCATTTTTACCTTTAATTGATAGATGAAAGTAAAAGATACACACTGGACATACAGGACAAAGGACAAGCATACGAAATGTAACTGAACCAGGCTGGAAGTGAAGCTGGGATGTTGCCGTTAAATAGTGTACATCTTAAAGACTACAACGCCCTTCATTTTCTATATTTGAAACTACCTTGTTTTTAACTTGTGCTTTTCTCTGTATTTATTAATAACTCCTCTTATTTTAATGTCAAGCTTATGTAAGATTTATTGGATCACACAAAATTTACCATTTACGACAAATAAACATTTTGAGATGTTCCTACTTCCTATTTCTTCCTGACACATAATGCAGTATATATTATGTGTTTCTACTTGTCTTCTAACTCTTCACTTCTGACCTGTATCTTGTCCAGCACTCCAGTGCTGTCCATCCTGCTGGCCACATTAACAGAGTTCCCCCAGATATCATACTGAGGTTTATGGGCTCCAATAACTCCTGCTATGACCGGACCATGATTTATTCCTGCAGGTAAACAAAATGAGAAATTATTTAATTTGTATTAAGGTAAATCATAAATGTGTCTTTCATAACATTGTGTCGCAGGTGATTTAATCACAGCATGTGTGTTATCTTTGTCTGCAGAATCTTAGTCATTCATCATTTCATGACTTAAATATATATTAATAAAGTGACATGATGCACAGGCGACCTTTGATTAGATTCCCCTCTAAAGTCTAGTGTCTGGAATGAAATGTCCACATTCATTAACAGTAAGATGTTTGTTTAAATGTTCAATAATTCTCGAATTTCTACCGACTCATTCTGTTCAAAGCATTTGTACAGTCGTATCAGTGTTTATGTAAACCAGACTCACCAATCCTGAGTTTGAAGCTGTTAAAAGAGTGTGTGTTGATAAGCTCCAGCTTTCCCATCAGAGCGATGGCAAACTCCACCATGGAGCGCACATGGCTGTAGGACAAGTCAACTTTCTGCAGGGGGAGCCAGAGTTCATGCAATTCATGCAGCTCATTAGTCAAGCAGGGTACAGATTTGTCATGTCAAACATCTTTCGCCTTAAAACACAACACTGCATGACTACATTTCAGATTAAAGACTTTCCTTGTCTTTAGTAAAGCAGTTAACTTGAGTATAACTAAAAATGAATAACCAGCTCAGCATTGTGATACTCTTACATAACAATTAAAGCACAACGTGTGTCTGAGTAAACTTTTAGGACACAAACCTTTCTGTCATCCCCTTGCGGTGAGTGTGTCAGCCCTGCAGCAGCCATGTATGTGCTGCCAATCGTCTTAATCTTCTCCACTGAGGAGAATTTAGGCTTAGAGAGCAGCTGTGTGAAAGAGACAAAAGAGGACAGAAAGAGTAAGAACAGGAAGACACAGAGATACAGACAAAATGTCCCGAGCTGCAGACACTGCCAACAACCATAATTAACAGCATCTTCTTCCTCATACCTCATCAAAGTCTGCGATGATTTCATTGAGGAAGCGCAAACACTCCAGTCCGTCGCGGTTGGCGCTGCTCTCGCTGTAAAACTCTTTGAACTGAGGCACCGATGCAAACATCACGCACACACAGTCATATGACTGACTGTACAGGTCCTGAAAAAGAGTTGAAAAATAAATATAAAGGCGTTAATTCAGTGATACCTTATTCTAATTTGCAGCCACAAGGCAACAAAGTGAGACCAGTTTTGCACAAGAATGTCCTAAAAAGTTTCTGAGTAACTTGAAAACATCACATTAGTGCCAACATTCAACATTCAAGAGTTTGTTTTTTACATTATAAAGCTACATTTTTTAATGTTTTCAAATAAGTTTAATGGTTGATGGAGTACGAATAACATGTATCCTACAAAAACAGTGATCTGCAGCTTTACCATCTTGAATTTTTTTGCGAGTCTCATCATTTAAACTGATATTTCCTTTCCAAGCAGTTCAGCAGGTAGCATTTAAAATCTTTTATGCCTCACAATTTCATACTGCAGAAAGTGATATGTGAAAGCTGCCATAAACACCAGAATAACCAGGATGTGAAATTGGTTTTACATTTAAACCAGGATGTAATGAAGTAATAAATATTTGTTGTGCATCTCTGCTGTGTTTTGTCGTATTTACTTGGTTGCGAACGGTTTTGCCCATGAAGAAGGAGGCGACATGATGCGGCAGAACGTTCTGAAGGAGGAGCTTGTTGACGTTCTCCATGGTCTCCATCTCTTCTCTTTCTGTCCTGAAACAACGCTCCAGCAGAAAATCTACACGGCAACCCAACTCGTCCTGAGAGAGGACGAAAGAGAATGACAGAGCTCAAAAATGTAAGAATAAATCTGAGTATAATTCAACTTGCTTCAAGGTTAGACACCAAAACTCCCCTTTATGAGAAGAAAATGACAACCATTTGTACACACACCTGTCTGGCCAGAATGAGGCATACGATATAAAAGATGACCAGCCAAACCCCAGACATGATTTGAGGGTCCTTCAGCACACCGGGCCTGTAGAAAACCACATGCACATATGTAGAACCATTGGGGCGCTGTGCAGACTACTTAACTGCTAAACAACTTCCATTACATATTTCCTCAAACAGCAGTGTCTTGTATCTCGCAGTCAATGGGGCCTGAACCCCCGGGCAGGTCTCCGTCTATAGAATACTACTGAATAAATAATGGTGATCTGAAACTCCAGACAAGGATTCACAATCTGGACAGTGAGTGGCAGACAAAGAGCAGGAAATTTAACACCTCGGCTGAGCGAGCCAGGCTGTGTAATGACTAAAATGAGCAGTGAATGAATGTGGACGAGTGGAAAGTGTCATTTTGCAGGACTGCTGAGGGTCTGCATGGCTGTGTGTGCAACTAACAAGCTAAAACATTAGATATATATTCATGCCTGCACACTTTCATGAGCATTTGAATGTGACCAACACTAAACCATGACTTTGACAATTGTTCTACCTCATTTTCTGATCATTTACTTACTATATTGTTGCATAAAACCAGCGCTTTAATTGACTTTAATAATGACTGAACCTCACAGAACACGCAGATGTTTTAAGCCTCTGATTTGTAACATACCAGGGGAGGATCTGATGTGGTTAACTCCACCTTGCTCTGGATTGAAACCTGTAGAGCCACACCTAAAAATACTCATTATTTGTTTAGTCTAGTCCATAGTTGAATAATTCATTAGTAAACCACAAGGCCAAAGTGCAGGTTCGAGCCTCTCAAACGTCTGGATTTAGTCCTTATGACAGTAAACTGAATGTGTTTGGATTCTGCAGAACAAGACATTTTACGATCACCTTGGATTGTGTAACTGATGTATAAATGTCCAAATGTTACCCACCTGGTGCCATTGTCATAAAGCAGGCCAATAAGGCAGGTTGACCTCGGAGCGTAAACGTGGAGGAAGAGGGCAAGGTAGACCACCACAGCCAGGGTGAGCAGCAGCGCTTTGATAGAAAAGCACGTCCTGGTGAACACAATCACTCCCAGCATGGCCAGCAGGCAGCAGTACAGGTAGTACTTGATGTTTAAACAGAGAAATACACGGATCAAACAGGTTAGTGCGTTGTTCAAATATTGTACTGAAACTATCACTGTTCAAGAGATAAAGAATAAACAAAAAAATCCTTTGGAGGTTATAAGGAAGGGAGGAAAAACTTTGAGCTACAATACGACTCTATATGTGAGGAATTCATTTGCTAAAAGTGATAAAATATGTAAGAGATTTTTGTAGTTTGTTGTACCATACTGGCTAATAATGCATCAAAGCTTCGATTTTTGCTGTTTGAAATCCTTTTTTCCCCAAAGTCAAGCATGAATCAGAGTAGTAGGAAAAGTTAAGGACAATGCTAAACGTATTAAGGACTGAGAGGAAATAATGTTTAAACTGAAGATAAAGTAAAACGCAGCATCATGCGTTCACCACAGAATTCTAAACTAAATGATAAAAAAGAAACGTGTGAAAACGTGGAGGCACTCACAGGCACGGTGTAGAGTTTAAGAGCTTCCAACTCCGTCCTGTTAGCGATCGAGGTGCAGTTGTTTCCTGGAAGGAAGAACTGGAAGGAACACAAACACCACGGAAGAGAAAACAACAAAGAGAAGCGAAGAATTCTGAGAATCATTTGATGAATTAATAGAAGGATTGACAGACAATACAAACACACATTTCTGTTGAATAATTTTACGTCCTAATATGAGACAATAAGACAATATGAATTTAGAAATGAATAAAAGTAATCTTGCTGGCAAAATAACTGAAAAAGGAACTTACAAAGTTGAGGATGGCCATGAGCAGGGTGATGAGCGTGCACAGAGTGACCACAAACACCCGCAGCGCCGCCCTGGTGGAGACGCCGCGGGACAGCCCAGATATCCACTGGACACTCAACGGCATCTTGGAGCGCCATTTCTGAACAAAACAACAAAATAAAGGCACATGTTTAGAGGTATTCAACGTCTGGGATCACATGACTCTTATCACTTCACAAATCCACCGTGGAAGCTGTAATTCAGGATTGAAAAAGTTGGCAAACTTATTTTTGCTGATTTTGTCTTTTCATTCATTTTAAAATGATTGCTGATCAGTGACTGTGAAACTGATCGGTAATTGTGTACCTACATGTACAAAAGCACCTGTGTGCTGTGTCTGCAGTCATGTCATCAACCCTGAACTTGTGCTATGAGTGTATGAATGTTTGTTTTTACTTGATGTAGCATCATGATATAAAAAACCTTTTCTTTTTACCAATACTGCACATAGTGTTTACCTCCAGGTATCCAGTGAAAGCGACGGACAGAAGCAGCACAAACACTGGAAAAGTCGCACCGTAGGAAACTGCCATCTCAAAGTTCCTGTGAGAATTGAAAATGTATGCTTTTTATTCCTCAGTTAATAAAGATGTGTGTTTGTAAGTTAGCAAGCTTGTGACTGCAGACTTCAGGTTTTCAAGCATGTTTAACTTCACTAAAACTTACTTCAGAATTTGGTGAGTGTGAACAAATATGACATTGAGGTGTGACCACTACCCACCTTATAGAGACAAGCATCTGAACAACGAAGAAAGTCACAAAGATCAAAGCGTTGCAGCTCAGCGAGTGGTGCAAACCCTTCACTTCTGAAAAGCGAAACTGGAAAACAAACAGTTCAAAAAGTTGATGTAGTTTCATTTCAGTTAAGGTTCTGCATAATGCAAGAGCACTGCTTTTACTAAAAGGTCCATCAGTATATTCCTTCAATACACACTGTACATTACACTTATGTATTCGTACATATAGTCAGAATCTACCTTTTTCTCTAAGCTGAGGTCATTAAACAGCAGAGTCAGACAGTTGAGCTTCTTCGCTCTCCTCCTGAACGAAAAATTAAAAGAAGAGTCACAGGAAGAAAGACAGATGCAAGGAAGCTACCATACAATGAGACAATATGAACAGGGGCAGAAGTAAATAACACCATAAATCAATTCAATCAAGTTCAGTTATCTCAATTAATGAAGATCAATATTGTGAGTGAAAATTTAATAAATCCTATTTACAAATGAACGTGAACTGACTTTTGTTAAACACTGAAGAAGTCCAGTAAGAATAAAACTTACCCTGCAGTGTCCAAAGTGTCCAGTGATCCCCTGACACCATTATCGACGACCAGACTGGGACAAAACAAGAACACATTTAATATCAGTGCTGCAACGCAAAGGGCTACTTGTTTTGTTCTGCTTATTTGTATTAGGTTCTTTGAATAATTCTTGGCATTTACCAGTTGGGGTTGTTCTGAAAAGGTGGCCTTTCCTGAATCAAACACACACAGAGACATTGTCAGGCCCACTGAATGCATGACCTAACATCACCGCTCTCAGACATACAATAGAGAGTTCATGATCAAACACTGGTGCGAGACAAAACAAAGAGCCAGAAGTGGCGTGACATACTGCATGTCCATTTATATACACAGCTCAATATGTGTTAGAAGCTAAGCAGCAAACAGGGCAGCAACACAAATACATACCGCAGACAGCTGCGACTGGTTCATGACAACATTGGTGGGGATGATTGGCTTCTTGGAGGACTTGGCATCGGGGTTGCTCAGGTCTGCGAAGGGGTGGATGGAATGCCAGGACTGAAGATACTGAGACATCCGGACCGACGCCCGCTGCCTGTTCTCTCCTGATGCAAGACTGTTCGCCTGAAATTACAATAAAGATAACTGTGTCTTAGCTTTTTAAGTTTTTTGCATGTCCTAGATCATAGCTGAGAGTATAATCGGAGTAACTTAGGGATCAGTGCCTTGCTTCATTTGTAAATAGGGATCGTGAGCACCACTGATTCTCATACAATACGTACAGTGATGAGAGTATGCAGGTACTTTGAGCAAGTTTTCCCTTTGCTTGTTTTTAGGATCAAACTAAGATAATCTTTTATCATGGTATTGCATTTAGAGCAACTCGATTTCTTAGTTTGTCAAATCTGCAATCCATTGACAGTGCAATTTTTAAAACTGCAATCCATTTACATTTCCTTCATAGGGTTTGATTTTTGGAAACAAACAATTCTGTACATGTAATATGCTGTTAACTCATAAACAATAGTCTACAATACATGCAATTCAAATGCACGCATGACTCAAAGACACCTACCAGTTTAGGCCTTCTAGAAATACTGTCTGGCTTGTGGGGGTCAATCACCAGGTACGTTTTCCTCCCTGTAAGAAGAGGATCCCGACTCCCTCCATCCCCAGTCTCCACTTGGTACGCTCCATTCAAGTGCTGCAGTGTCTCCTCTGTGATGTGGACTCGCCTATTTATGATAACAGCATTAATAACAAAATACAGAAAGGAAAGAAAACTGAACATGTATAATCTATGTTAACCTCAAACTTTAGTTCATTACTAAAAAAGCATTTACACCAACTTATTTTTTTTGAGATTTTCTGGGCTGAGTTGAAGACTGTCTCACCCAGGAAGGCCTCCCGACTCCATGTGGTTGGCTAAAGTCACATCATGCGACCACACGTCGTACTGCCACTTCTGCAAACCGATCACACCACAGAGCACGTTGCCGGTGTGGACGCCTACTCGCATGCTAATCTCAACCCCTGTCGCCTCTCGCAGTTTACTACAAAGAGATAAACACATTGCTTAAATCAGAATAACAACGTCGTGCCAGTTTCAGATACGTCTTGTTGGGCTGTATACTGTATTTTCAGTATGAATTGTATGCAGAGCACTAACACGACTAAAAAACGAAGGACAATTAATGTAAACAAGTTAAAAACTGTCTTTTTATTTTGAAACAGCTGCCATTCTGCTACAGCTGTTCTTAATGTCTTTGTACTAAAAACATGTTGCTGCACTGCTTCTTATAATCACACGATATATGGTATACCCTTAACAGTTTTCTTCTCAGGAAACCAGTGAGGACTTAAACATGGAAAGCAAAACAGAAAGTAACACAAAATTCAATTATAATGTTAAATGTCACGTAACTCACATTTGATCTACATGGGGCCTGAAATTAACACAAAACTAAAAACTGAAAATATTATGGACAACTGATAAACTATGGTGCTTCTAACTCTTGTAAATGTGTGCTTATAGCTGTAATACATTATTGTAGATTAACCATGTGGACATCAGACAGGAACATCAGATGCAAAAAAAAATCCCTAGCTTTACTCCAGAAATCAGGTGGGAGGTACCTCATGAGATTATTCTGTACATTGCAACCTCACACATTTTAAATCGATTTCACCAGAAATTCCTCATTACTACAAGCGCTATAGGTGTGCACAGAAGAAAAAGGAATGGAGAAAGCCAAGAGAAAAGGTGGCGAAATGAATCAAAACAACAACAAAAAACTTTGGAGGAATTCAGATAAACTGACCTGATGGCAGTGCACATGTCCAGGCCCATCTGGACACAGTTCCTGGCATGGGTGGGAATGGGGTCAGGCAGACCTGACACACAATAGTAGCAGTCACCCAGGATCTTAATGCGAAGACATCCATTCTTCTACAAATAGAAAGAAGCAGAAAGAGGGGCAGCGAGTGAGTCACGGTGCTCAGACCTACTAAGAAGCTGTTCGTTGTGAAGAAATAAAAAAAGTGCTGTCACCTTGGCGATGTCGTCGAATTTACCAAAAAGCTTATTGAGTACTGCAACCAGTTCCTCTGGTGAGCACGTACTCGCCAGCTTTGTGAAGCCCACGATGTCGGCATACAGGATGCTGTAAAACCCCACACAGAAAGACACCAATATTATACACGTATTGATGTAATAATATCTTGGAGTGACTGATAAATACACCACATTTCTCTGATTTTTTTTTTGTAGTTTAGAGATCTACAGCCTCAACACATACTTAGAAGGCATGTCAGGTGTTCCTGAATTACTGTCTTTCATACATCTTGGGGGTTGAATGACTACTTTTCCATCATATACCAGTCGATGTTTTCTCTGATTGTAATTTGCATAATTAACCCCTTTGCAAAACTCTTCACATGTTTAATAAGGCTAATAATTACCATGATTTAAACCAACCATATCTGAGTAGGACATGGATCTGAGCCGTATTATCACTTAATCAACAACCCAAAGAGCACAAAAATCCCAGACAAGAGAGTAGAGGCTACAACATGGAGAAAAAACAACCTTTAAGGAACTGACAATGTTTTCAGCAACAACCTCAACAGTATGAGTCTCACCTGACGTCTTTGTGCTGCCGTATATAAAGGCTGTGAAAGTTGTGGAAGTTGGATTCGTTCTCCTGATCACCCTTGGGCTTGGACAACCTCTTTATCACCTCCGTTTTCAACTCCATGGCAATGTACCGTGGCAACACCGACAGGAGAAGCTGCTCCTGTTGCCGAGGAAACACAGAGAATAGGGGTAAACGTGTGAGCGGAGAAGGTCGGCAATAAGTTTTGAGACCTTGCGCACTGGTTCATTGGATTTCTGTCTCTTAAAGAAGTGACAATCTGTTCACAATGGCTGTAAAAGAAATAGGCGGCCATCAAAGGCCTCCTTGAAGCGAGGCCATGTTTACTCAGAGGATCACGTTTCATGTGTTTGCTTACTTGCTCTGAATAGCGTCCATTTGGGTTTGCCTATTCTATTGCTGCTGTGCTTCAGACAAGTGAATGATTAATCTATTGGCTTAATGGCAAGAAAAGCATACAGTAACCAAACCGAGGCTGTCCACATAAAGAGCCCCTTAATGAGAGCAATTACACGTAACGATTTTAAACTCAGAGTGAATGAAACAAGCCTGCCAGAAGAGACCCAAAGAGGGGAAGCGGATTTCTGCAATAAAAAAATATCCATTTGATCAAACCATGTCCTAAGGTATTGAGTGTTTAAAATCATTTTGATAGATTCAAATCATATTTGGATCACAACATGCATTTGTATGAAACAGTACAAATAACATTTAGTGATTTTTTAATTATTGTTTTTTTTTTTTTAAATCACATCACTAAAAGGTGAGTTCATATTTTTAGGTTTGTGTCTTCAAATGACAAGTGACCTCTATTGCAGCAAATTAAAGCTCTATTTATATGAAAAGTTTTCTGTTTTCTACTGAACTAGACTGTTCTCTTGTCTTCATCCGAAGCACAACACTGGAACACATAAAAGAAATGATGTTGTTAATTTGAAGCAACGCTGTTTAAAGAGCTTTAACCTGCTGATATTTGCTTATATCCTTCTGGGAGCGTATTGCGCTGAACTCTTCTCTCTTCTGGTTGGATATCCTGAGATCATGTTCGGTCATCCACAGGTGAAAAATTCCAATGCAGTTTACGCACACAAACAGCACAGCATTCGCCACCAGCTGAGAAGACAATCAGAGCAGAGGAGGTGACTTAAACTTTATTATCCTCTTCTATTGAGACCACAGTAAGTCTATACTGCAGAAGCTGAGCCACTATTTTGTTATGTAAATTAGTGACAGAAAATGTAACAAAAATAGCATTTCAATTCGTGTAGATCATCGACACACTTTCCTACTTCCATAGAAAACACACTGCTGTTTGAAAAAACAAATAACTGCATGTGCGTGAGCAGCACTTCCCTGTAAGACAGTTACAGGACATTCACATCGTTTTTTTTCTAGATGAACTAAGCCAGGCAGGTCACACACGACAAAAAATCTATTGTGCAGGCTGCTCAAAGCTTCATGCAGTATTTGAATTTGGACGTTGTTTGCTGACACATGCAAAAATTGCTTTATAGTTGTGTAGATCATTTACATGTGCAGCTTTTGCACCAATTACAACTTCAGCACTGTTAAAACTACATGGTTACCATTGTATTTGTACAGTTAGAGATTGTTTTAAATATATTCAAATATAGCAGGACCTCACCTGCACAGCCAGATCGGGTGTCTCTGGGCTGGTAACAGGGACGTAGACACTGATGATGATGATGTGTGAAACACTGGTCCCTATCCCGACCATGAGGGCCCAGGCCAGAGAGAGAGGCAGCACCGTGTACACACTTAGAGAGAGGAAGAGGAAAAATGCGACCTGAGGAGGGGACAGAAGGCGTAGGAGCAGAGGAAGAGAGAAACACGTGAAGAAGAGTTAGAGATGAAACAAACTCTTGCCAAAATACAACTCAATCCCTCCCTTTATCTCACCTGTTCCCATGTTGTAACAGGCCCTCCTGTGAAGATGAAGACTATGGCAGTGATGTATAGTGTTCCCCAGACAAAGAGGGCCAGTGCTCCTCCACAGCGCCTCACCGTGGCCAGCCAGGGCAGGCAGACAAGTAGCACGACACTCAGACAAAGAACCACGCAAACTACCGACAGCGCACCTACATGAAAGTCAATGTTCTGTGCAGAGAAGAGGGAAGAGAGTTGAAAATTAGCGCATGAATGAAAAGCAACATCTCAAAAAAAGCGGTTCATTTTCCCAACCACTGGACAGATGCTGTGTCAGGTCAGTGCAAAAAAGCAGTTCACCTAAGTTTAATTTCATTAGCATACACGAACAAAGGAAAAGGAGTTCTTCATATTAATATGCATTAGCAAAGCTTGATCTTTCCTGTTTTCACTCAGCTGTTTACTATATCCAAAAAACACCTGTCTGCTCAACACTAAGGACCAAAATGAAAATGCCTTTATTCATCAGACATGAAAGCCAGGCGGAGCTTCAAACAGGTGGTGCAGTGTTTTTAATCTGCCCCTGCCATGTGGAGAAAAGGTATTTTAATTCTAGCGATGAGAGCAAGGCTCATGGTTATTTTTTTAAATGGAGATACTAACTTTGGCTGAATGTGCAGTGGCCTAGTCATAAATTCATGTGGTGGGAATTCAACAAGCTACTTCGGTGATGCATATGTACTGGGACGCAAACCCTCTGTCATTTGTTGAGTAGAATCTCGCTGTATGTGAGCACAAAACACTTGTTACAAGAGGCTGCACTTTTTCAATACGGCAGACATGTTTTAACAGTTTGACGGAACCTACTTTTGACTTACAGTACATACTGTAAGTACTGTCTTCATGTGCATCACTGCTTTGCAGGAATGAGAAATCAAATAGTTCTTTAATTGAAGCAAAAGAATGCTGTTGTGTTTTGGAAGAACAGGTTTAATTCTCCACACTGCGGCACATTTCTTTCAGCAACATGCTTGATCCTCTCTACACTGTTGCAACACAGACAGATAAACAAGATATTTTTCATTCTCTTCTCTGCTTTTCTGTCATCTGACCGTCAAACACAACCGTCTCTTAGAACACAGAACATATTAAATATGTTTTGTTGGTTTACAGAGATCTGCAACTGGTATTTGTATTACACATAAACCATTCATAGTCAATTGTCAAAAAATAATCTGCCACTTTTTTGATAGTTAATCAGTAATTTTTCAAGCAAAAATGCTTAACCTTTTCCAGTTTCAGGGTGTCGACAGTGGGAACATGATGTTTTTGTCATTTAATGTATTATCTATGAATAGCTTTTTGTAGATATTTAAATATACACTGAAGACAAGCAGTCAATCCTCAGCTTGGAAAAGCTGGAGCTACATTTAACTGACGTAATAACTGATCATCAACTCCTACAAGTGTCAGCAGACATACGGCAGGTTGTTAAGAACATCCATCCATCCATCTATTATCTATACACTGTTTATTCCTCAGTAGGGTCGTGGGGTGCTGGAGTCTATCTCAGCTGACTCAGGGTGAAGGCAGGTTCACCTGGACAGGTCACCAGTCTATCACAGGGCTACACTTAGAGACAGACAACCAAGCACACTCACATTCACACCTACGGACAATTTAGAATCACCAATTAACCTCAACGTGTTTTTGGACCTTGTCGGAGGAAGCTGGAGAACCCGGAGAGAACCTATGCTGCACGGGGAGAACATGCAAACTCCACACAGAAAGATCTTCTAGGTGCGAGGCGGCGGTGCTAACCACCTCGCAGCCCTGTTAAGAACATGTAAAGTTTAAACATCATGTGTGTACATATACAACATAAACCCTCACACACACACACACACACTCTCTCTCTCTTGGTCTCACCCTGCCTGTGGTGGGAATGAGGACGATGATGGCCACACAGAAGAGCAAAGACAGCACCAGTCCAGGCAGCATGGCTGGAGTCTCCTCCACACAGCGCAGAAAAGCTCTGTGGAAAGCCTGATAGCAGCAACACACCCCCTCCTTCACACTTCTCCTGGACCGAGTGCTTCGCCTGTCGCCGTCGTCCTCGTGCCACCTGACATCGATACTGTCTCTGCTTTGGTTGACTTGGGAAGAAAAATCAGGGAATGCTGCCGAAGTGCCATTGAGTGAGTTCTTTGGTTTCGATTTAGCAGATAAGTCTATATCGCAGTCGCCCCTTTCATCATCTGGACTATTTTTATTGGTTTTGTCAGAACAGGAAGTATTCAAACTGGATTCAGACAGATTGACAGCAGAGACAGAATTAGTCTTTTCAAATGAGCTTCCATCGAGCTCAGATAAATCCTCACCACAGAGATCTGTGCTGAAACTAGTGCAGGCGTAGCCAGGGCTGGACTTTGTGCTGCTGTAGTCCGAATCACTGTTGTCATTTTGTAGCTTCTCACTGGATGAGCTGACCGGAGCATCATTGTCCGTACTCTGCGGGGTCACACCTGTTCCCCTCAACAAAGAATTGGTCTTAAGAGGTTCGGGGGCCTGTGTTGTTTTTGCCACGCCCACCTCCACTGGAACCTGGGAAACAACACGTCCTGATTGGTCCCCAACAGCAAGACTTCCTGTGGTGTCACTTCCTTGTAAAATGTCAACGTCGCCGCTTTGTGCAGAATGTTTTAACTTGTTTGTTGCGTGACTGAAATCATCAAGCTCCAGGATATTACCTCCAGTGTTTTTGCCCTCCCCATCACTGGAAATGACAACAATGTCCGGCACTAAGGACACCTGCGATGCTTCTGCTCCAGGCCTCTTCTTGTCCTGGAAACCTTGGGACTTGTCTGGCATTGTGACCTGCGTGAGTGCAAAGGATTTCAGGGTCTATCACCTTGTCACTTTGTTCTCTCTGGCTGTCTGTCAGCTTGTCTGTGTGATAAATACACACTAGGATAGCGTTTATATTTTTATTTCTTCCTTTTCAGGTGTTGTTAACATCCAGAGAGAGTCCAGCTCCTCTGTTCCAACACTGATGGTCACAGCTGCTGAAGATGGTAAAACACGATCCCTCTGAGTTAAGGTCCCAAAGATCTGCCACAAGGAATCTTGAACAGCAGCATAATGTCCTTTGAAGAGCATTGATCCATCCTAGAACCATGAAGAGTCTCTCTGAGAAAAAGAACCACCAATTAGAAAAGCAACAACACAATCGGCAACAAGTAAACAAAGCCAAACAAACGTATTCAGTGTCAGATTTTTAGGTCAGAGATCTGTCTCCCTAGCAGAGTCCAACAATAAGAGCAAACAAGTCGTACCTGTGCGTGGTTTTAATGCCACTTTAATGACGGACTTCTTCTAGCCATTTCCCCATTATGCAAAGAACTTGTTAGTCTAGCTGCAGGCTCTTCCCCAGTAACACACGCTCATTCACAACACGCATACACACTGTTCAGGTGTGTACTGGAATGACATGTCAGTGACGCACCCAGTGCACATTAAGAACATTTTTTCCAGTCACCACCTACACTCAGTGGTTCGCTCTGATCTGCCTCTCTGTCGCTCTCCTCTTTGCTTCTCCTTCCCCGTCACTTGTCACGAACCGAACTGTCTCGCTGAACCCAATCATGTGGCAAAATATCACCGCTACCTTCCTCAATCCCTATCTGCTTCAAACTCAACATTAATTCCAGGATTAAAATATCTTTTTAATCTGTCTCCTCTGCTGCAAATACATATCTGATTTAATAGCAAAGTCATGGAGGGATTACGCAGTAATTCATCTGATTCATACCTTTAACCTTGTACGACCTGCCCACTGTGGCAGGTCGGCTTTGTGCTGCACCCCTGTTACATTAAATGACAACAATCTGGTTTCTTTTACACACTTGCACACAGGGGTAGTGTTTCTGTAAAAGGCCAACACACTTCTGTGACACTATGTGGTAATGACAATACGCTTATTGTTCGTTCTTGTGTGAAATGCTGTTCCACTGGTGTCCTTTTTCCCCTGTCTGCTGGTTTCACTACTCTGTTCTGCTTGTCTGAGCCACTTTCCAAAAAGAGGAAGGGGTTTTCCAAAGCTTCAGTCGATCGAACTCAACCCTGGAACATTGGGCTGCTTTTTGTTTTTATTGATGATTGCTTGAATGGCACAGTTCCTGGTAAAACGTCAGCAGGGTGCTTATCTTGTGAGGTTTCCACTCGTTTACAGAAAACAAGATTATTTGTCAATTGCCATCATTGTGAATCCTGTGAACTTAGTTGGAAATTTGAAAAGGCTTCCTCTTTACAGACATGCGGCTAACATCTCCTGTTGTGTATTTACCAAGGGGTTGTTTTTAAAAATGACTGATTGTCAACTATTCTCTTCATGAATTCTCCCTGCATGGAGTCCAATGGCTGTTTTCTAACTGCTTGTTTGAATAATTGTATAAAAAATATTCAGTATAGCAGATAAGACAAACAAAGACAGGATATTTGAGAGAGGGAAATAGGCTTATATTTGACATTTTTGACTGACACACTGATAAGGTTCACCTGTGTGTATTGACTACAACATAAATCATCCAATTTCATTTGTGACAAAAATGTATTATTGGTGCAAAATGCCACCAAAAATTTTAGGATTTCTCACAAGTTAAAGCCCACCTGGTTAACTTGTGGAAGGAACCTGCTTTTTAGAGACACCATCTTAAATTTTGAAGCTGTTTTAAATAAATTAAAAAAACAAAACAAATCTTATCAGCAACGAAGGGAAAGTGAATGAATGTTAACAAAGCTATCTAAAATCTAACTCCCTATCTGTGGCGTAACGGATGACGGCAGCAGGTCTACAACAGCTACCTGGTTCATTTACTTAACATGGTCATTCACATCAACATAACTTAATTGTTCATATTAGGAGGACAGTTTAAAACTTCTCACGGTGGCTAATAGTTGTGCTATCAATGACATCGGTTCAGAATTCCTGCTGTTAAAGGCTTAAGAGGCTAAATTAACTGTGACAGAGCAGAAAAACACCGGTTGGACATCAACTTAAACGCGCTAAAGCAGGAAAAGTAAATGATTTTAAAGAAAGTTAATGTGTTGGACGGACAGGTGATGTTTTTACCTCATTGCTTCTGGATGCTGGCGTCCTTCTGTCCGTCACTCTGAAGCTCTCACACACGATAAGCTTAATTTCCTTCTGCGTCTTTATCGCCAAGCTTCCTCCGTCATCCTCTAACTGTGGCCGGACAAAACCTCACGGACGCCTTTCACCTTCACAAGCGGAGAAAACGTTATATATAAAATAAATAAATAAAATGAAACTCTCCTTTTCTTTTTTAAAAGCAGACGTTAGAAAGTTCCAGTCCGCTCCTGCGCACGAGCGCCTCTGTGTGTTTGTGCGGGGGTTCGAGCGCGACGCGGGGGCGTGCGCTCGCGTGCACGAGCAGGAGCGGTCCAGCGGCTACGCAAATAGGATGAAGGTAAACAGAGGATGAAGGTCAAAGGTCAGCGGCACGCCAGGATGCTGCCGGGTCTGGTGGGACCGAGAGACAACAAGGCTGCAAGAAAACAAGATTAAAGACGTGATGCTGTCGGTAGGTCCGCC